GTCACAGTCGAAAAACATTCCAAATGAAATCGGCAGCTCACAGTGTCGTGCCATGTACTGAACTCAGAAGCTGGGCGACGAAACTATATCCTCTAAGTCTACAAATGGAGCATAAATGCAACGGCCACTGTCTGGTAGAAGCATAAATTTTACCACGGCTCAAAACAGTGATCGTGTCTAGCGTCCATTTTGACCGGAAGTCGAACAAGATCACCGTTTACATAATAACAATGATAATAATTATTATTGTGCACACGAACTAGGTATAAGTAAGGGCCCCCCCCCCCAACACCCGTTATTTCTTTGACGTGATGCCCCTGCTCTTACCAATTTCAAACTATTCTACATGAGATCATTAAGTCAATGACACACATCTGTCATGATGTAGATCCGAATCCAAGACACAGCCACTGTTTATAGTGACTTTTGGATAATATAAGATGCAAATGAGTGTTCTACTCCCTCACAGTTGTTATAAATACAAGCATCCACTATAAACTCTGGATCATCATGACACAGGACTACTACTTCATTATCTTTTTATTCATTCGCCATTAACTCTTTCAGTTGCAAACAAGACCCTATGTTCATTTGCCACTGCAAAGATAATATAATGTTTCAACTGTCTTCTTCTAGCTGTTATATCAACCCTTTGAATCTGTGTTTAAACTATTTCTGTCTCATCGTATCTTTGTTGAACCCTATATATTTACTGCTCTTAAGCGTAACCTCCTTGGAAAAGAAGGAGTTAAATTGACAAGTTCTTGGGCATGAAATTGTTGAAAAGGCAGATTGTACATTGTACTGCGGTTGATAGCTAGGCTGCGATGTCTGTGCTCTTCAGCCTGAACACATCCGATTTCAGCAAACTACTGATTAATCGCCTCTTACAACATACTTGCTGGGAAGCAATAGTTCACAATGCCTCCTCACAGAACATAGGCCCTCAACAAACTCATGCCAAGTCGGTCTATCCTTCGATATCACAGTTCTCCTCGTTATCCTCCCGATCTTTTTAACTTTACTCTAGCTCCCTTCTCTATGTTTTTTTTTGGGCTTCTATTATTTATATGTCCTCGTTGGTTTCAGTGTAAAGACATTTTAGTAACAAACATAAGACTAGTAAAATTTAATTGATGTCTTGAAAGTGCATCTCGCTTTAAAAAAAACTGATTACAGTATTCCCTCTTGCTTGACAAATACCTAAAAAAAAAAAAAAATTTTTTTTTAATACGAACTGCTACGATTTATGTAGCTCTATGTCAATGCTGCCTACAGCAAGTTTGAATGACCTGCTGTTAAAGTAATCCACATACAGGGTGAGTTGTCCTAGCAATGTAAGTGTAATGACATCCCCTAGTACAGTTAAAATGCAACTAGTGTGAAAAACTTGTCTGCAGCTGTCACTCTAATCCATCAAATCATTAATTTTCTTTAGTTCACTTTATCAGAGTAACAGATCTAATGCTCAACTGGTAACTTCCTGACATTCTCTCTCCACCACTTATTAACCAACCCTTCCTCTCTTTTTCCCCCCACACTACATATATTACAGAAACTGTAGTAAACAGAATTATATTATTAAATTGTGATTAGCAAAATAGGTGGAAATAGTCTTTAATTAATTTAGCTTTCTATTTCCTGCAGCTGATCTTGTGTTTCCTCATTCTTCTTCAGCAGATTTGAATCTGGGCAATTTTTATGCTATGCTGTTTAGTCATTTATGCACATCCACAGTTATAATGTCTTCGCAATGTTCTCTTGATTCCACCTTACCATCTTCTGAAGACATGACACACTTCAGCTTAATGCACAATTAATTCAACATGATAAAAGCAATCTTCTGATAGATACTGTCATTCTGGAATAAAATATCATGCTTCTATATATTTCATGACACAGTATAACAGTGACGAAGAGAGGATCAACAAGAAGATGGGCAAAGGACATAAGAGACACCTTGGACAGGAGTGTACAAAAGGAGGAGGGACAGCTGCCAAGGGACCAAATTTATTTTAGGCAGACCGTGATGACAATGATGTTCTGTAAAGGACCCGCTACACAAGGAGTTTAACAGGGCATACTGGTTCACTGTCACTATTCCTTTTACATTGTTGACAACCTTCCATCTTTCTAAATGATATTGTTCCTCTGTGCTATAGGGAGGTAAGGGAATAATAGCCCAGGAGGAAACAAATAGCTGATGCCGGAGAGAAAGTTCCTCCTCTCCATAGCACAAAGAGACCAGGTGTTGTCCATGCAGCGTCTCTTTGCCTGATTAGTTAATTCTTAAATAAAATTAACACCAAAAGACCATGGTTACAACATGGTATCATTGAGATGATACAAGAAAAAGAAGAAGAAAATGGCTGGGGAAGAAAAGCAATCTGCAGAAGTGCCAGAGCAGAAGAGCAGTGTTCTGACTTTCTGCTTGTTGGAGCTTTCCCTCTAGACCAGCTGCCAACCAAGCCTGGTATGCCCTGCCATAACATTTTCAGGTTGCGTTTCCTCAACCTAGTATCCTCCCCAAAGCGCTCTACCACCCAAAGACTTTGACATTTAATCTCCACAAAACTCTCAATCTTATTCAAAACCAAATTATCTGGTTTCATTTCTGAGATGTGCTGGTCAGAGAAACAAAAATCTTGCCACAATTGCTGATGAACCGTTGTTCTTATAAGCATACACAGTAACCACTAAGTGGCTAAACTCCTATATATATTTCATAACTAACTTAACATTTCATGCCTCATATAAGTGTCCATATAGCCTGGTTATGAATAGAAGAAAGCTACAAGTAAATGTCCTAAAGTTACATAATGTGATAGGCTGGTTTTGAGGTTTACAGTCCAAATTTGACTAACCCAGGTGTGTTTCTATTCATAATTCAGAACATGTTAAATTTTTTTTTATTGTTTACCCTCTCCTCTTTCCAATCTATTTCTCTGTGATCATGATAATGAGCCAGATAAGTGAAAAACTGAACATGCAATTTGCATGCAGCTCACATAATAATTTTGAAATAGGAACAAAGTTTGAATAGGCTGCTGCCCGGGCTAAATAAGAAAACTAGACACAAAAACGAAGCATGTGTAATTGACAGGTTGTGCGCACAATGCTAAGACTCTCCTTGAAATATCCATATGCAATGAAAGTGTAATGAAAATAAAACTAATTAAGTTACTAATTACACTTATATTATCTTCAGTGTCAGTCTAATTTGCTTTGTTCTGAACTGGCAATAAAGGATATGATAAACTGGCTTCCACCATACAAAAGAATGAAATTGATTTTAAAATTCAAATGCCCCCCGAATATTCCACTTAGAAGTAAAATATATAAAGACATAAATAAACCAGATTTAAGTTTATAATATTTCAATAAAAGAACCCAAGTACCTGAATACTTGTTGAGGCAAAGTTAAAAAAAAAAAGGGTAATTTATGAGTCAATCTTTTTTGTTTAACAAATAAAAAGAAAGAAATGGTAAAAGATTTGAGGGATATTTTTAGCCACTATACCAAAATATTATAGTAAAAACATACACAAAAGGTGACATGAAAGAATTAGCTCTGAAAATTCTGTAACAGCTTATGGAGATTTACTGTCAAGAAGACAAAACATTTGGTTTCAGCTGCTTGAAAGATACATGTGATTAAATTGCTAAAGTCAACAAGTGCAAAATATCACAAAGGAATAAAGCAAACTTTTAAACTAAAATTAAAAAAAAAAAAAAAATGCGCTGCAAATCAAACAAGAGTGAAATATCATTGTTCACTAGAAGAACAGATGAGTCATGATAAAATAGACACTGAGCATATTGAAGGAAGAAGACAAAGTGATAGTCAAGGACAAAGACACAAACATGAAATGAAAACAATATTACACTGGCAGAGACAGATGCAGCAAAGAGCCATGGCTCATTTAAACAAGTACTAAATACAGCCTTGTGTGTTTATTTTCCCACATTATTAAAGTAGCTATTTTTTGCATATAATTATAGAAGTGGGTAAAATGGACCCCTTTCCATGCCTTAAAGTGTAATGGGCAATAGTGCGGGAGCTATATTTCATAGACCGGTCAGCACTTGGTGGGTGATGTGGTCAACGTCACACCGTCTGCTCTTACTCCCAGGGCTTTACATGGCACACATTTAAGACTGGTCAACATGGGAGGAAAGGTTTTTTTTTTTTTTTTGAAAAAAAGTTAGTCTCCGTTGGATTTGAACTCATAGCCTTCAGTTTCGCAGGCAAATATCTAGCTGCTACACAATGGCAGTTCTCTTATACAATCGGTGTTGTACTCTAACGTTTTGTAGAGTAAATCATCTTCCATCATAGTCTTAGTCTGATCAGGGAAAACTAAGCTTTCTGGTAGCAGAGACTGGAAGTAAAACTATGCTTTTCTGGAAGAAGAGACGGGAAGTAAAACCAGAAGTCCTGGTAGTAAGGATGGGAGGCAAGCAAGTGTGTGGTAAACACAGTTAAAAGACCATGCCGACAATAAGTGAACAAATATGTACGTGAGCAGACCAAGAAAATCACCTGTGCTAATAAAATTTGTTGTTAAAGGCTGATAGAGAGCAAGAAACCACTGTGGGTTGAAAAAGCAAGAGGAACCCACTATATTATTTATCAACCCAAGAATTTAATTATGAGCATGTCACAAATTTGGAACAGGGAAGTGAATATTCAGAAACTTTATATAGGCTTTAGGGCTTAAAAACATGTCATGATATAAGTGGTGTAACAGAGACTTGGAATGCCAACGCTGTTTTTGCAAGGTACTGCAAGAAGAGTTGTTTTGTTGCTTCTCAACGCAAGCTCATCCTGCCTTTTTTTTGTGTGTGTGTATTTTTGTTTTGTTGCTAAGCTCACAAATCAATGCTCTGGCACAAATGCCATCAGGAAAAAAAAGTTTGTTGTGCAAAGTCAAACAGTTTCTTAAGCATATGACTAATAAAAGTGATGTTTTACAAGATAATAGAAAGTAGCCACTTACCTCATAGGACCACGTACACTGAATTCCAGCAAACTTGCGCACACACCGACCAATCTCAACATCCTCATGGGAGGTGTACAAGTTGCGTAAACAGTAGCTTATGTGTGGTGCCATCCTTCTTAATGTCTCACGACTAAATATCATGCCTGGTCCTCCCATGCAAAAGTTTTCATGGGCGGACAGCGCTAATTTTCCCAACTCATCTGCCTTCCCTGTCCCAGCCTGGCCGATAAAAAGAGGCTGGGAGCTGTTAATTCCACGGAGAAAGTCGTCTAATTTATCTCCTTTTATGAAAACATCATCATCTGCTCGCATAAACCATTCATATTTATCCAAAAAGTGGTCATACATGTACTTTAGCATCATAAAAGACTTTTTCTGGGGAGGATAGTGGTCGTCAACACCCGGTAAAGCCACTACTGGAACCCCAAAACTCGACGTAGAACCTTCGCTGGAGAAGAACATTACTTTTCCATTGATATTGCTTGCCCAAGTCCTATGTGAAGCTAATCCACGGTTATCAATAAATTTTTTAGCGGTCATAATTCCTACAAAAATAAAATTATCTCTACCATCTGCCTTTGCTTCTTTATCGTTATCATCCGCCTGTGATTCCTCTGCACCTGCCTCTCCCGGAATAAGTCTAATTTCTTTGCAACATGAACCGTGTTTGGCACAATTGGACATGACACTTACTTTGCACCAGTTCACCAAGAATACACCACAGATAAAACCAACAAATGCCACGGACAAAATGGAAAAACAGCCCTTAAAGCTTGCTCCTTGATGTTTCTTGGAGGCAAAGTTTTGCCTGGACACTCCATTGGACTGTGCCTTAGGCATTTTGTACCCGTCATATACCAATGATGTTAAAACTGCGTGATCACAGATATGTACCAGCACTATATAATCACTACCATATAATTTTTCTCTATTACACAGTTGCAACTTCCACAGGTGAAATATACAAAGATTGTCAGGTGATAGGACTAAAGTGAAACAATTTGTAACTCAAAGACATTTAAATGATTGAAAACCAGGAGGATCCAATGCATTGAGATGATAAATTATTATCAGCATTTCCTCCTCTTTCTAGGAAAATGGCACAAATAAAAATATCCCATGTCAATTTATGTGGCTCGGTTCTAGGTTTCCGCATCAATGAAATCATTCTCCATTTCTTGCATTTGTAAATATCCGTTTGAAAACCATGGTGGCACTCACCTGAAAGTAATCACATAAAAATAAGTTGAAATTTACACATGTTAATTCTTGTAATGGTTTATGAAGTTCACAATTATACTATAGCTCCCTTTCTGATGTCAAACAACCACAACTAGCTAGAAAGAAGAAGAAATTTTACATTATATTTGCCTCCTAAGAATACTAGATTAATTTAGTAATTAAACAAAGTTTATTAATCAATTACCTATGTATTTCAGTCACAATGTTAGTCTTAATCTAATGCATTTTTTTTTTTAAAGAACAGACCAGTTACATAAACCGTGTCTTTCAGCAGAATCTACAAAAGTGTTATAAAATTAAAAATAAACTTCCAACAACAACAACAAAGAATAGTAATAACAAAAATGAATACTTAATACTAAACCGCTGTAGAATAACTAAGAAAGCAGTTTGTTTATTAATACTATAATTATTAATTTATTTGAGTTTAAATTAAAATGTATTCCTAAGTTTTCATTCATGTTCATGGATAATGGAATTTATAATGAATGGTTTAGTTCATTCACGAATGTGATACCAAAAGAAATAAAAATGTGCTTACTTTTAGCATAAGTATATACACGATTACTTTACTATGAAACACGAAAGAAAATATACAAAATCAAATCTTACAGTTTCGGATATTCTGTCAGAGTCAAGTGACGAAGAGAGAACCCGTGTATAAAGAAAACCATTTTGGTTCTCCGCTGACAGCAAACGATATACAGGAATTAATGTGCCAGGTAGCACTCAAGCTTTGAGCCGTGTATATTACCTCACTTAGTGCAACAGTACTTAAATATACATTGAATTGCTTACATATTACCAATCTGTAGGCGGTTTGTATACTTTTTCTGTGTCATATTTGAGCGAGATGTAATTTTCCCGAGCGATGTGGAAGAAAACTCTTCTATAAATGAACCGTAAAATCACTTACGTCTGGTTGTCTGCTGGCAAACGACTACATGACAGTGTTTTCATTTTTTTCATGCCACGTTCAAATCAAGGTGTGGCTAAAGAAAAGAAATAAAAAAATAATTTTTACACTAATAACCATATTTATCGTGCCTTCAGTAAATTGTAATGTTTGCAATTACATTTTGAGTTAATAAAAATATTAACAAACTGAGAATATTTAATTGGCAATTTTCTCCAATTCCCATTTTTATACGCTTGCATTTGGCAGCATCACGTCAGGACGAGATGTGTCTAACGAGATTCAATGATGGCTTCCTTGGCTTATGGGGAAGAAAGCAGGAGACTTGTGTTGTGAATTTGCACAGTGATCTTTATGTTGAAGTTTTCTACTTAATGTTAGACTAGTGTAAGCACGTTTTGCAACTTATTCTCTTCAAATGTCGACTGAGTTTGTGGAACGCGAGCTGTTAATCTAATCGGACACGTTTTAGTCGTTTTAACTTGCAAGCTATTCTTCTGTTGAAAACCTAAATTGTCGGTTTTTTAACCACTAAACACACAAGCATCGTTTTTTTTTAAGGTATATAGCATTCTGTTGGATACCTAATCTCGATTGTTTGTAAAATTATATCAGAATTATTAATTATTTCAGATAATTTTTAATCCGTTGGTACTTCATTCGAGTTTGTTATTGATAAACTCTTTTTTAAGTTTTAAAGTTTTAACCCCAGATATTATAACGGGCGCTAATTGTAAACGGCGCCGGGGGGGGGGGGGGGGGGGGGGGGGGGGGGGGGGGAGGTATCCCCTGGCGCGGGCCTATGGGGGGGGGGCCAAACTAGGTGCCTGGGACTCATGAGCAAATTAATTGGAGGAAGTTGCAACAGAGGCGGTAGCTGCTGCTCGTGAGTCCCAGTCACCTAGTTTAGCCCCCATCCACGCCGCGCGTAGGGCGCAGGGTATGCGGTGAGGCATAGTCACAGAAACATGTTCGCAAGTAACATATCGCTGAGACCCTGTTAGAGCATTTATTTTGTTTTACAGAGCCAGCATATTTTTAATAGAACTGAGCCCCGTAAGGATATTTTATGGCCGCCATAATATCGGGTTGAAGTTCGGAGGAGAGCCATTTCGTTATGTCTATTAGTATTACATGCCTTCTCTGTTCAGTAATATATCAGCTTGTTATTACTTGAAACAATTAAAATACTTTGCATGTTATGACCATTTTGTATTACGTCAGATTTCGCAACAATCAGAATTGGGAAAACAGATGATACGATTGAAATATTTGTTCAGTCTTCATCCTAAACCTAATCAACTATTACTTAAACAAGGTTTGGAACATGCATTATCAATCGTAATATCAAGTCTGTTGTCTCTATCTGACTGAGATTCAACAAGGACAGAGCAGTATGAACAGTATTAGACCTTTTCCCTTATCATTTGATATATTATATGTATGTATGTATATATATATATATATATATATATATATATATATATATATATATATATACTGGTCAGTAGTTTGATCGGGACAAATTCAGACACTATTTAAGTGGTGAATAGTCTACAAAAAGTTAATTGTTGTTTATTATGGAGACTCTCTTCACATCAAAAGCTGTATGTAAAGATTTATAACTTGATTCTTAACTCATTACTGTCAGTGCCGAATTAAAACAGTTGAATAAAACATATATACAAAATAATGAATGAAACCAGCCTGTAAGAACTGTGTTTTCCTTTCTTACTAATGCAACCTGTAAGTTGTAACTGTACTGACACCCATTGTTACCCTATGAGCTGCATATCGCAGAGAAGATAAGGACAACAAGCAGGTCTCTGTATCCTTGTCCAGGTAGCCAGATATGAAAATTTCACCACGGGCACAGTGTCTCAGTCTGGTTAATCAACACAGAACAAGCCTGATCTGTCGTTTTATACTCTTGTGAAGCTGTTGAAGAGGAGATCAGAGCACCTATAGATCTGTCCGGAGTGCGTTGATAATAGATAGTCCTTACTAATCAATAAGTAAATTAGTTAACTGTTTTATTATGGTATTCACACTGCGGCTATTTACCGAATAATGGTCTCAAGTTATCAAGGCAGAAAATATACCCTAACAGGGCCTCAGTCACGAGTCAGTTGTGCACTTCCGGGAACTATACCACCACCGCCAAATTGCGAACTTCTGGGGACTATACTGCCACCGCCTAGAGTATCCCCCACTCCGCGTGGATTGGGGCTAAACTTGATGGTTGGGACTCACAAACAAATAAAATCAAGGCAGCTGCAGGAAATGCAGTAGCTGCTGCTCGTGAGTCCCAGCCATCTAGTTTAGCCCCAATCCACACCACATAAGCGGCGTGGGGGATACTCTCGGCGGTGGCTATAGTGAGCAATTTAAGTCGCTAGAAGTGCACAATTGACATGTGACTGAGGCTCTTTTAGGGTATATTTTCTGCCTCGATAATTTTGGACCGTTATTCGGAACATAGCCCACACTGCTTTTCCTACATTTCTTACTGTAGAACACATCAGTCTAAAACATTTAGGACTATATGGCTAATTCAGTGTTATGTAACATGTCCTGTCCATATGACACTGACATTTATCATCACATACCCTGCCGACTGGCAAAGGCATTTGTGATCTCCGCAGGTCTTGATCCTTTGTCCTGCTAATAATTTCCACCAATAATATTCCTCTGTCTGCCTCTCCTTCTACAGTTGAACCCCCCCCCCCCCCCCCCCCCCCCCCCCCCACATGACCAAAGAACAGTGCTTGTCTTTTCCTTATAAATGACATTCTATTCCTATAATTCTTTTAGGTGAATCAGTGTCACTAGTAATAGTTACAAGTATAGGTATTGTTCCTTTTGTGTATGTGTTAGATAGGTTAATTCTTTAATGCTTATTATTCATCAGAATTAAAGTACATTAGTTCGTTTGTTTATTCAGGTAATCTGTAAGTTCACTGATCTATAAAGGACAGATTCCCACAAGCATGGATGGTTCAGAATAAGTTTAGCCGCTGTAGTCCACCACGTTTGGATGATTAAAAAGATGGCATCTGCACTGAATGAAGACAGTGTGGAGAAGAAACTAAAAACTGTGACTAACACACAAGATAGTATTCAAACTCTGTCACTGTGGATTATTCATCACAAAAATCATCATGCTAAAATTGTTGAGTTGTGGATGAGAGTTCTTCGAAAGTCAGGTAAGTTTTTTTTGTGTTTTTTTTAATAAATACTGTTTAAGATTGTTTGCTTTTTTTTTTTTGTAAATATATATATATATATCTTACATAAATTTACATTGAACATGCATTCAGTATAAATTACTCTTCTAGAATTCCCCAGGTAGCTTGCTATAGAAGAATTTGTTCTTCTGATATTTTTTTTTTTCCAACTTCTAGAACAATCCTTCATTTGGGTATCTGCCTAACTATGAATGATCTCTTCTACTAAAATTTCTCAACTGTCTCTCCATTCTGCCACTGCCCCTTTACTTTGATTAACATTTGTACTGAAATTGATATATGCAGTTGAGCCTACAGAGACTGAGATAATTTAAAGCACAGAAGATACTCAGTGTTTAAACCTTTTATCTGCAGTATTATATGTGCTCAGCCGATTTTATTTGGGGGGGGGGGGGGTTGTTGTCGGCGCTTTTCCATCTCTCCAGATAATAGTGTTCCATATTCATCATTGTGCTGTCCCTGTAGGAAGGCATGGTAATCTCAGCTTGTGGTGAGCGAACAATTCAACAAATTTTAGGCATGCAGGCCCATCTTACATTCAAACACTTGTCTTTCATACTGCCTTGAATGGTATGGCATCACTAGGCATTCTCTCTAATGGGCAAACCATTTGGTCTTTGTATGTTATTTACAATTATTTCTAAAGGATTTGCTTCGTTTATGTAATTGTTACTGTAGTATGCACCTGACGAGATACAACAAAATATGCCAGGCAATAAGTTGTGCAGTCTATTGTTTGTGTCTTCTTTGTTCAAAGTATTTTCATGTACGACCTCAATCCTGATTTGATCTCTTCTGATCATTCTGCAGCCCTTCTCAGACACCTAATTTTTATGGTTGCCCATTTTATTGGGGTCTGATTTGTTGTTAGTTACTATGTCTGGCACTGGAAGCGTAAGGTGTGACTGAATATGTTATGTATGAGCTGTTTTTTTGTGCTGGTTGAGATTGTATTATGTCATAAGAGGGGTACTAGCTGTCCTAGTGCTTGGTTTGCTCCACTGCATCATATGATAATTTCTTTATCCAATTTACCATCTTCTGTGAATGTTGCGGCATCCGTGGCTTAGGCGGTGCGTGTCCAACTCGTAATCCAACGTACCACAATCGACCACATTACCCATCGAGTGCCGATTGGTCTGTTAAAAATATGGGTGCTCTTCCCCATATGCCTGATGCGCCTAAAAAGGCGTGAAAGGGTATCTATACTTTACTTTTTTACTGTGAATGTTGTTTCTAGATATTTCTTCACGTACACTGGATGTAAACTGCAGGAACAAGTTCTTTCTGTTTGTCCGCCTCCAGACTTTAATCGTGTTCCGGAACCTGTTCCATTTTACAAATCTGGCTTATTTGTATGCAGACTGTTGTTTCTTTACCTCTCAGGCAGATGCACTAATTATGGGCATTTTCTTTGAAGTCATCATGTATCTACCTGAAAGGCCGAAATGCAGTGTCTGTTCTTGTTTCCCAAACAGTGGAGCTTGGAACCCACATAGGGAGTTCCTAGATATTTAAGCTCAGATGCTTGTTCAGTGCCTTTGCACTTGGCTGTTATATTCAGGTTCTACTTTTTTTTTTCCTGTTGACATTACTTTTGTCTTTTCATTCATTGTTCTCATATTTGTTTTACATTCTGTGCATTCGCAAGATATTATTGCAAATTCATGTCTATATCTGCAATCAAGGCATCAGCAATAGGTATTTGGCTGTTACTAAAAAAAAATTGTCCTGGACTTGGCGTCTTTACTGTTGATGTAGGTAATAAATGGAGTTATAAGATACATCCTGGTTTTCCGTTTTTTTTAAAATCCAGAAACCATGGGTTGTGAACCCTTTGGCTCTGTACTACAATCCCTATATAAACTTGTACGCACTCCAGTGAGTTGTTAATTAACTCCATATCAAGTCATTTTCAGTGCCCAACTTCACGGTTTCATTGTTCATTTTCAAGATCATCTTTATCACACATCGGGCATGGTGGTCAGTCGTCCAGGAAAGGCTGGACTTTACTGCTCTTTTGAGAAGGGGGTAAAAGCGTGTAGGGGGTGGGGGTATGATTTTATTTTTCCAATTTCTTTGCATTTGGTCTGATTATATGAAACTTATGATTACAGTGCAGCCATCTCATCGCCTCACTCTCTTCTACTTATGTAACGATGTGGTACAGACCTGCAAAAAGAAAAAGGCATATGTGTACAATGCTACATTTAAGGAGCACCTGAGAGAAGCTGCCGCTTTAGTGAGGTAAGTGCCTTAGACCCAAAAATGTATCGTTATATGTAGAAATTATATCATTTATTGAATTTTCTTTACTACTGTGACATGTAGAGGCATCATGTGTCATTTTTTTTTTTTTATATTTATCATTGTTACCACAGTCCTGATTTGTTAATTTGAAGCTCTAGAACTTTAAGTTTGCTTGCACATTCATTCAACAGATCTGGCTCACTTGTATGCAGACTGTTGGTTCCTTGTCTTTCAGGCAGATGTAGTGCAACTTCAAAGGAAACTCTGGCTCACTTGTATGCAGACTGTTGGTTCCTTGTCTTTCAGGCAGATGTAGTGCAACTTCAAAGGAAACTCCTCAGATCAGTCATATTTTTAATGTGCATGTTAAGCAGCCAGTGTGTCTGTTCTTTTTTTTTTTCCTCCCGGGGGCCCCAGAACCCACACGGGCAATAAGCCAAGCGGAGTAACAGTATCACTTATCATGCATGTCATAATGGACACATAAGAATGGTTAGTGCGAGACTGTCCATCTTGCCCCAAACAAAGCTCAGCTTCAGCACCCTGTCAGTAACAAAGGCAATATTGCAGATATAGATAATCTATTTAGAGCAAATCTTCTTCTTTGCGTTCACCAGCTGTAAACTCTGGTGGAAAGTTATGGTTGTTCGTCCACTTCTGGACTGCAGTCTTGTTCCAGAACCTGAGTGTTGTGTGTGCATCTGTTTGGCAGGTCTGACACATTTGTTTTGCAGACTGTTGGTTCCTTGCTTCTCAGGCAGATGCACTCCGACTTTGAAGGAAGCTCCCAATTAGTCAACTCTTTCGACATACTTTTGGGCAGGCAGTGGGTCTATTCTTGTTTTCTCTATAATAGGGCCCCGGAACCCACACGGGGGAGTTTTAAAGCAAATGAAAGAAGAAGAATAACAAATCTACAAATGGTTTGGCATGAGTTGGTCGAAAGCTTATGCTTCAGTGGGAAACACCCCCGTGTGGGTTCCAGTGCCCCATTGTGGGGAAAACAAGAATAGACCCACTGCCTCCCCAAAAGCATGTCGTAAGAGTCGACTAATTGGGGAGCTTCCTTTGAAGTCGGAGTGCATCTGCCGGAGAGGCAAGAAACCAACAGTCTGTATTCAAGAGAATGAGATCTGTAAAACTGATGCACACGCAACACTCAGCTTCTGGAGCAGGACTGCAATTTAGTAGTGGACAAGCAACCAGAACCTCCGCCAGAGTTTACAGCTGGTAAACGCGAAGAAGAAGAAGAAGAAGTGGGAAACAAAATACAGAAGTATAAGGAGATCCTCTCACAAGAGAATCAAATCTCTAACCTGATTAGTTGTAATTATGTGGGCTGTCCATCTACAAGTTAATAAAATAGTTTGTATTCTCATTTAACTTTGATAAACTTTATTAAATAATCTTTTACATTAGTGATAACAGCTAAATATGAAGACCAAGAGATATTTACCTAGATAACTTGACCTCTTGTTAGCATTTGCAGCAGCTGTAAACTCTTGTGGAAAGTTGTGTGGTTCAACCATTTCTTCTGACGGTCGTGGGTTTGTTTTATGGCAGCGCCATTCACTTCACAAGTGCGCTGTTTACAGAAATCCCTAGGGGCCGGAGCTGTGTGGGGTTGTGCTCTGTGTGAGGCTGTCGGCAAGCAACTAGTTGTTCTGAGACAGGGGATAATAAAGTCGACGCTCTCACCTTTACCTTACTTCAGTCTTAATGAGTTTTATAGAAGAGATGGCTCGGCCAGATGACCTGCTTTGGTGATTGTAGATTGTGAATCATTTCTGAAGATACTTATTTGCAGATTTATATAACTGTTTAAAAATGATATTGTTTTTCTTTTAGCATTATTGTCGGTAACATGTTAGTTGTTATCAATGTTTGAAAAAGTATTAATATATGAAATAATCTGTATAGTTGCACAGTTACTTTTTTTTTTGCAGAGATCATTCAGTGAAGGGCAAAGTGGAAAGAATTTTCAATATCTGGGAAGAAAGAAATGTTTTTGACAGTGCATTTGTAAAGAGCCTACACAGTATTTTGAGTAAGCTGATGTTAAAATTGTGCCTTTTGTTTATATCTTCTTCTTCTTCAATTTCGTCAGCTGTAAACTGGCAGAAAATTCTGTTGTTTGTCCTTTTCTAGACAACTCTTGTTCCAGAACTTGGGATTTGCATGCACTGCCATTTTACAGATCTGTCTTATTTGTATGCAGATTGTTGATTTCTTGCCTTTCAGGTGAATACACTCCTAGTCTTTTCCAACAGGTTGTGCTTTTGCCAGAAAGCCGTGAGGACAGTTTTTGTTTTGAAATAAACAGTCAACCATGGAAATTGAACTTTACTACTTGAGGATCTGAGTCACAGAACTGCACTTCCATTGACAGTAGAAAAGCAGAAGATGAAGAATTAACTTGTTGGTCATGCCAGTTTCTGTTAGCCAGAGCACCTATGGAAACCTCAAACTTGTTTTCAAGTTTGCAAAAACTTATATAGCGATTGTAGAAGTCTGGTTAGAATAAATCAGGGAATATCTAAACCATTTAAAGTAATATCTGGAGTAAGACAGGGATGTGTCTTATCACCTTCTGTTTATCACCTACATTGACAGTATAAGTAAGGATGCCAGGCCCAGGAACAAAAATAATAGTAACATCAACAAATTACTCTTTGCTGTAATGACCAGGCCTTGATTGCAAATACAGTCATCAATTTGCAACAGCATCTCATATCCATTAATGTAGAATATAAATCAAATGAGTATAACATCGAAAAGACAGAAGTAATGTCAGTAGGAAGAAAGAAGCAGAGTTTAAAAATAGCATTAGCGCATACATATATTAAAAAGGCATCTAGAGTTTAAATATTTTGGAACAACATTTATTAAAGACGGTAAACTACTGGATGTAAATTTGCCTATAAAGACCACATAACAGCAAGGGGCTTTTGGGGTTCTGCAACGTCCTATAAAGGATACGCAACTAACTTCTAATCTCCTTACCTTTCAGCCACTAGACTGGCTGCTACACCTTCTGTGTGAGATAGCAGTGTGTATGTTTTTTTTTTTACTTTGAGGTGTGTATGATAACCAGGGTGTTTTGTTTGCTCAGTAAATCTTAGTTAGTTGGCACTTTTCCTTCTTTTCAGATGATAGTTCTATTGTACTGTAAGGGTGCATGGGACTCACAGCCTTGGTGATGACCAGTGTGACTAGCAAGACCCTGCCACGTTAAAGACAGGTCTTCCACAACAGTTTCATAGCACAAAGCCTGGGCGGTGTTGTAGAGACCATATGTTTTTCTTGCAACATGACCCCTCTCTTAGCCTACCTTGTTTATTCGAAAGGAATGGTAACACCAGTATGGTTGGAACAAAGCATAACTGCAGAAGCTGCTGGATCAGAAGAGCAATGCACTGCATCGATAAATTTTAGTATGTGCTGTATCAGAACACATAGTCTAATGTTTCCTTCTGTCATAGGTTATAAATAAGTAAATATGTTTACTTTTGTTATCCCTTGTTTATTTGTTGAATGGGGGAGGGGGTGTCATCACTAAATTTCACTTGTCAGTTTGTAATTTCACTCAGATGGGCAGCCTGTGAAATCCCCCCAAAAGTATAAAGTTTTGACTGAAGAGGAGATCACTAATGCTCCCATCAGCCCAATGAACACTCCCCGGGTGGAGTTTGAATCAAAAGAAGCAGCACCGGAGCCACATAACACTGATGGGATGGCTGAACATGATGAGGAGGAGAGTGCTCGAATATTGGCTGAATTTAAGGTTGGTGGTTTATTTTGTAAAATGATCTTCTTTTGTCCTTCTTTTGAAGCCTTACAGCGTCACAGAGAGGAGTTTTGATGTAGTTTCTTGTCTTCTGCTGGTTGTGTAGCTTGCGTTCATGTCATAATGTTTCTTTCCGGAAATGAAAGCTAAGGAAGGTGCAACTGAAGAACTACCTGACGTACCAGTCTCTTAATAACAGAAGAAGAAATTAATCAAATCAGTCAGAAAGCCACCGAAACTGGCACAAGGCGATTACCATATTATGGACAGACCAGAGCAAGTCATTATCCTACGCCTTAGAACAGGGCACAATCGACGTCGCAGCCACATGTGCACAAAATTTAAGATTAGCTAATCAGCCATGTGTACCTGTGGACTGGCACCTGAGATTATGATGTCCCAGATACGTTTCCAGACAAAACTTCTGGCCAAGAGAGATACTGGCGAAAGCCAAACTTTAAAGGCTGCTAAGTGAATTACAAAAGACGGTGAAGTTCATACTAGATACATCATTGCAGGTATTAATAATTTATTTCTAGCGCTCAAAAGAAGAAAAAATTTTTTCTTTTGTTTTACTCCGTTCACCTATCTCTTTCTTGTGCAGCTTTTTGACTTGTAGCCTGCTGTTCTTATGTAGTACACTCTAGCTGCTGGCTGATTTTGTTCCACTCTGACCAGACCATGTGACTTTGTGATGTTCTGTGAAATCATTTACTAGTATTCTGTGCCTACAATTTTTTTTGTGTGTGTGTGAGTCTTGTCTCTTCTGGTTTTTCACACTGTATTTCTCATAACATCTCATGTAAAATTTTGCGTTTTTATGATATGTGATGTAGTCGATTTAGACCAACTGGCACGTGATAAGTGAAGTAGTTAGTTTAGACCAACTGGCACGTGATAGACCAAGTAGTTAGTTTAGACCAACTGGCACATGATAGGCGATGTAGTTAGTTTAGACCAACTATCACATGATAGGCGATGTAGTTGGTTTAGACCAACTATCACATGATAGGCGATGTAGTCGGTTTAGACCAACTGGCACATGATAGGCGATGTAGTTAGTTTAGACCAACTATCACATGATAGGCGATGTAGTTAGTTTAGACCAACTATCACATGATAGGCGATGTAGTTGGTTTAGACCAACTATCACATAATAGGCGATGTAGTTAGTTTAGACCAACTATCACATGATAGGCGATGTAGTTGGTTTAGACCAACTATCACATGATAGGCGATGTAGTCGGTTTAGACCAACTATCACATGATAGGCGATGTAGTCGGTTTAGACCAACTATCACATGATAGGCGATGTAGTCGGTATGGTTGTAGTCGGTTTAGACCACCAATGATATCACATGATAGCTATCCATGTAGTTGTAGTTTTTAGACCAACTATCACATAATAGGCGTAGTCGATAGATTGTAGTCGGTTTACCAACTATCACATGATAGGCGATGTAGTAGGCGATGTAGGTTTAGACCAAACTATCACATGATAGGCGATGTAGTTAGTTTTAGACCAACTAGTGTAGTTTTTTAGACCAACTATCGCACATAATAGGCATGATAGGCGATGTAGTTAGTTTAGACCAACTATCACATGATAGGCGATGTAGTTGGTTTAGACCAACTATCACATGATAGGCGATGTAGTCGGTTTAGACCAACTATCACATAATAGGCGATGTAGTTAGTTTAGACCAACTATCACATGATAGGCGATGTAGTCGGTTTAGACCAACTATCACATGATAGGCGATGTAGTTTTACCGTTTCCTCATGCTCATTTTAGGCTGACTTTAAAAAATTTGCGCCCGTGATTTTGCGTATTTCACTTGATATTCATATTCTGCATATATTAAGTTATTTGAAAATAACATGCTTAACAGTAAAAATGCTTTGTGAAAGATGAATTTGCATTTTCCTACGTAAGTAGACTGAAAGGATATAGTTTACATTGCCCAGGTACTGAGTTAGAGGTGCATGGCATGATACTGAGCTGCGGGTTTCATTTAGAATGCTTTTTGGCTGTCCAACGTGGTTTATATTGTGAACTATAGATTCATAAAATGGTGCTTGGCCTGTTGCTGGAGCCCAGACAGATATCTTTGTTTATTCTTTGCCCGTTCGAAATATTTAATACTACTATAACTGATTGGCATGCGGATGATAGTACTTTACTATTGCTTTAGATACATTTGACTTGTTTTAGTCTTCTCTTTAACTGCATTGCATTGTTTTTTCCACAGCCACATGAAATGATTGATCAAATAACAGCTTTCAGAAGGATGGAGTTGGAGATTCAGTTGAAAGCCAGTCAGTTATCTCATCTGAAATTTGACGTGTCTAATTTGGATGCTGTAAAACACCTTAAAGGTATTGTAACATTTCATGTTGTAAAACAATTCTTTATTATTCCATTGGGGGGGTGGGGTGCAAAATTTGCACTTTTTGGTCGATAGGTCCAGCTGTGAGCATTTGTTGCCCTGGTTAGAAGTCGTATCTATAAATTTATGCTGCTGCTGTTGCTCTCTATCCGTCTGTGTATGTAAGAATGTGGGTGGGTGTGTGTATATGAGTCGGTCGATGGGCGTGTGTGTGTGCACATACATTTTACAACCATTACAGCTTTTGTGTTTTTTCTTGATATTCTTAATATGAATATCATTATATGAACCTAACAGGTTTCATTGAAAAAAATAAAAGATGCTGTTTGCAATGGCTGTTTGTAAGACGCACCTGCGTGCCCAATTTGTGACCCTGTGAAAATAGAGTTAGTTTATTCTGAACTCAAGAACTGCAGTAGCATATTAATTGGTCTGAGTTCAGCTTGCAGCAGTGACAAGATTATTGTTTCTGATTAGTGTATAAAGCTGTTGCCATCATTGCTGTGCTGTGCATAGGTGTTATTTCTTTGTTCTGACAGATGTACAAAACTGTTTAAGTCAGCTGTGGAGTATAAAGCTAAATCATTTATCTAATATATACAATTATTTGTGGAATCTATGATATAAGTTTTTCATTCATTGTGTGTTAAAAAGACTGATTTTCCTTATCTATGCGATACATATATATTTTAGGTATAAGGCCCCTTCTGTGATTTCTTTCTAAAGGCATTTTTCCTGTTCTCTTAGCTATTATTTCTTTTTTTTTTTTCCCGGAGAACTTTGGTTTTGTAAAATTAACACATTTGTCCTAATTATATGGTATGTGATATATGTGTGTGTGTGCATGTATGTATTTATGTGTGAATGTACATATTTATGTGCCATTTTCACATTAAAAGTTAGCTACAGTGCACTGACTACTGTCTATGGATATATTACACAGTCATGCTCTAATCTCTTCCATTGTACAGTTCTTGCTACAGTCCAGAAGCCATAAGAATAGTTTAAAAAAAATAAAATAATCACCTACTATAGAATTGAAATCCCACTACCAGAGGATCATGAAAATGTTAAATGCAGTCATTAACCTCTAAGTCACACACCCATGATGTACGTATGTACGGTACTTTTTCCCTGTATAAGATGTGAACGTATAAGACGACTCCTAATTTTAAATAATTGATAAAACAAATTAGGAAAAAATATTTTAAACGTTGTTTAAAATGACCCACAAATTAACAACATTTTGAAATGCGTAACATCTAATACAAGGGAAAAGTACTGTCATGTTTTATTGTGTATGTGCTCAGCTGTCATATTATATTTACTGTTGAATTCTGTTATTACGCAAAACTGGAAATGTTATTGCTGTGTGAAAGACAGATATTGGGAAAAACAAAATGGTCATACCTCTACCTTCATGCCCTGTTTGAGAGGGACTGAAAATAAAATTCATTGGTTGTGCTGTGTAAAGTTTCCTCCTTAACTTATATTTCTTTAGACTGAAATGTGTCCTATCCTGATATACTTAAGTGTATAATCGGCACTTGGCCAATTAGTGAAAGATTGTTTATAACACAGAAGAGATGTGGTTTTATAAAGTAAAAAAAAGTAAAGATCCCTTTACACGCCGCATCGGGCATATGGGAAGAGCACCCATATTTTTACAGACCAATCGGCACTCGGTGGGTAATGTGGTCAGCATTACGCCGGCCACCCTGAACAGATTTTAAAAAAATAGATGAATGAAATTGCTATGAGAAGGAGAAAGCGAGTACATTGTGGTTGTGGAGAAGTTGGTTTGGGAAAAGCAGAGGGAGAAAAGATGTTTGACATCATGACATGGAAGACCATCTGTGTCAAAACTGATGTAAAGTACATGAAACAAGGTTGTGGATAGATATGACTATCAATAAGAAGACTGTTAAGAAGCAGAAGATTGTAAAGCTAACACGATAATCTCTCATATCTGTGAAGTTCTTTCCCTTATCTCTGTTGACTGTTGTAAAAAGCTCTCTCTAATGTGTAAAGCTATTTTGCTTATCTTATATTTCTTTGTCTGTGTGTGAGTGTTGTCTGAGCGAGGTGTGGGTGTGTGCTGTGTCTGTGCAAGGTGTGGGTGTGTGCTTTGTCTGTTAGTGTTGGTGTATGTATGAGTGTTGCATTTGTGTGAAAGATGTGTATGTGAGCGAGTGCTGTGTCTGTGACTGGGGATTGTGTGAGTGTGGTGTCTGGGTGTGCTTTGTGTATGTTGTGGCGGTGTGAGTGCTGTATAAGTGGGAGTGTTGTATCTGCGTAAAGATGTCTTTGTATATTGTTGTTTGTGCGTATTGTATCTGTGCCTACCTGTGAGTATGGTGTGTGTCTAAGAGTATGTGTGCGTTTGAGTGTTGAATCTGAGAGCATATGTGTGTGTATGTTGCGCATGTGGGTTGTTTCAATGTTTATATGTTGTGTATATTGCTGCTGTGTTGTGAACAGTGTATGTATTGTGTTTGTCTATTGGTTATGTCTGTGAGAGCATATGTGCTGTGTGTGTTGTCTGTGTGTAGATGTTATGACTTTGTGTGTGTTTTGTCTGTGTGTATGTGTTCTATCTGCGATTGGGTTTATGTTGTATGTGCGTCATCAGTGAGTGCACCTCAGGGTCTGTAAGGTGATGTTCATCTGCGCTGTTTAAAGATTTTAGCTCGTGCATTTGTCATCCATGCCTTTTTATTTTCAATTTACATTTATACACTCAATTTTGATGTATGAACATCATATGCTTGATATATAAAATGCAATCGCTGTATGAAAGATGAATGCTAGGAAGGGTCGATTGAAAGACGGGCCTGTGTGCCCAGTTTGTAACCCTTTAAGTTTGTTCATGGACTGTGATGTCTAAAACTTCTTTTCTCTCATATTTCTATTGACTGCTGAGTGAAGGTGCTCTCTAATATGTAAGAATACCATATTTTCCGTGTATAAGACCGCATGTTTTAATACATTTTTCAGGTTCACAATTGAGGGTCATTCTGTACACAGAATCTTGCACAACATAAATAAATATGTGCTACTATCCATATATTTCCCCCTAGCCTTCCCTCACGACAAACCCTGGTCTGGTATTTGAAAAGTGAGCATGAAAAAATTTCGAGAAGTATCATTTATTGTGGTTTTAATTTCCTAATCTTGTGCTGAAAAGATAGTGATCCTCTTATTTATAAAGGCGTCTAATACACTGAAAAGTATGTCAGTGCAGTATTTCCACTCCTATTTCTGTGGACTCCTGTGTGAAGCATGCCTAACTTGAAAATGTTCCTCCACAGATCGGGCCCATGGCAATGATTACTCCAACCAGTTTGAGGATTCGTGCTCCAAGCTGGAAGACCTGGTGAAGAGACAAACTCGTCACATAGAAGACCAGCAAGCCATGATTGAGACTTTGCGCTTGAGTGAGACATTTTATGAGGAGCAGTATAGAGAGGCCAAGATTGTGGCAAATGTAAGGATTTGTTTTTGTTATGTCTGCTAGTCAGTTAACAGTTTGTGTAAAGATTATTTAACTGCAATTAACACTGTTGCACTCTAGGCACATATACAGCCCAGCATGTTGTGATTGTAAGAGACACTCAAAGCATTATTCTGAAAATTGAAACGTGTCCTGGGCGCAGAGTGGCTTACATCAACTTGATAAGACCCAGATTAAATGTATATGCATTTTTTGTCCTGAATATTCTGGCTGATAGATTGGCAGCTGCTGCTCCTCTGACCAATGGGCTACTATATGATAAAGTGGATGTGGTGACGGCTCTACAGGATCAAAAGAACAGATAGGAATCCATACACTGTAAGACTAATTGGGGGGGGGGGGGGGGGGAGGGTTGAGGTTCTGGGAGATATTTAACTTTTAAGGGGAAACAAGCGTATTTTTAATTAGGTTGTAACCAGTACTGTTAACATGTCACCTCTTCATTGGTTACTGAAGAGGTGGAGGGAGCACATGTCGGAATGTCCTGAGGGCAGTGATGTGAATTCTTGATTTATTCAATTATTTATTCATTCTCTGGCCCTGTGAGTTCTACTGCATGCAGTGACATTATTGTCAAGTTTTCTAAGTTTATACCATCTCCTGACTTCCACATTCACTTTAATCTGTTAATTTCTCTCCTCGGGCTTTGTATTAATGATTCTGTTATGCCCTTTTAACCCTTTTATTCAAATGTAGGCACCAGTTAATCAGTGTTTGCAGTTTATGAGTGATTGTAGTTATTCTCCATGTTTCAGTAAAATGCAGTTTCTTTTCACAGCTAATGTGTTACAGCATTAAATACGTTTCTTACTCTGCTTAATGTTTCTTGAATCCTCAGGCATACAAAAATTTTGGTGCCCGTATTAACAACATGAAGAAGAAACTGGATGAGTTAAAACGAACCTTTCCGGAAGAAGAGAGTCCAGTATCTTCCCCAGATGTAAATGCCCCTTCACCGGGCAACACACCACCATATATCGCCAGTGCTAGCTATGGTTATAATCCTGCAGCCCCAATGAACTATGGGAAAGGACTACAAAAGAAAGGTCAGTTATCATGGGTGACCATGTTTAATGTAGTTATTCTTAAGAGTTAAGTTCCCTTATGGGTTATGAACCACGTTTGGTGGGGGAGGATAGACCATCTGTCCTTACTTCTTCTTCACGTTCACAGCTGTAAACTCTGCCAGAAAGTTTCTGGTTGTTCATCCACTTCTGGACTTATCAGTACTGTTTTGCCTGCACGCCCGTTTCACAGATTTGGCTTATTTGTAAGCAGACTGCTGGTTTCTTGCCTCTAAGGCAGCGGCACTCTTGACTTCAAAGGAAATGCCCCACATAAATTGACTTAGTGATAGGCTGTGGGTCTACTCTGATTCTTCCCAAAATGGAGTCCTTGAAGTTACATAGGGTGTGCACCTAACAGGCATGCTGTATGAGGTGACAAATTGGATGTGTTGGACCAGAAGGTGCATAAATCACAGCCTAGCTGTAAACCACAACACAGTGTACCAAACACCTTTTCTAAAGCCGAGCTCAGAAGAAAATAGAAGTTAAAGTTGTAAATTACTGCTAATTCTTCTTCCGTGCGTTGCCTGGATCAGACGTTTGCGGTCAGAACTCTCTATTCCTCTTTGCAGCAATTGTTATGAAGTTATTGTTGTTTGTTCTATTATTGATTTTTTTTTAGTTACATATTCTTTACAGGAGGTTATGAACCAAGCCCAACATTTGGTGGTTTCGCTAGGCAATTTTGCATTCATTAGTTTGCAGTTCCATTTTTTGTTTGGCCATGTTAAACATGAAGTTGTCCTAGAGAGAAAGGGATGGAGGTTATAGTTCATGGAAAATGAGGCAGAGGCAGACCTTCGCCAACGTGGATACTGGACATTAAAGAGGCATTGCCTATGAAAGAACCGAGGGCTGGAAAGTTGGCTAGAGAAAGTGAGACTTTCAGGCGTGCAGCGATGGGTGCGACTCTCTACAGAGAACCTGCTCATTGATGTTGATGAATGTGCAGATGCTTTTGAATAATTGACACTCCTAACAATTGTTAAGTTAACACAGAGTGGTCCGCTACCCAGCCGCCTGCTGCTGAATTGAACTGGCAGTATTTCAGTCACAAATTGCATTTTGCACCTACTTAATGGCCACAGGTGCAGACTTCTTGTTAATTACCTATCTTCTTAACTCTTTGGGTATACTCATTTTGTATATTTTTAAATAGACAAAACATGCTTTATTGATAACATACAATTGATGTTTGAAAGATGAGTGCTTGGAAGGGCCGAATGTAAGACCCAATTTGTAACCATTTGAAAATAAAAGTTTGTTTGTTCATTCAGTGAGTATGCTCAGGAAGATTTGGATTTGAACCCTAGACCTTAGTGCTTGTAAGTAAGCATCTAACCACTACATTACTTAGGTTTCCTTTTCTCTGGTAAAGGCAAGGGATGAGCAAGATTATCTGATATAATCCCAGTTCCAGAGCCAAATACAATGTGAGGGAGAAAAGGGATCAACACCCCCCCCCCCCCACCCTCCCCCTTTCCCTAAATGAGCATATCGTCAGTGTTGGCTAATTACAGGTGTTCCCTTTGAAGTCAGGGTGCATCTGCCTGACCTGAGAGGCAAGGAACCAACAGTCTGCTTACAAATAAGTCAGATTTACTTATTTGTAATGAAATACTCAAGTTCTGAAACAAGACTAAAGTCCAAAAGTGGACAAACAACTAGAACTGTCCTTCTGAAATGACAGCCGGTGAATGTTAAGAAGAAAAGTGTTTTATTATTAGATATCCCAACCACCTCCTTTGTTTTCTCACTTGTCCAGCCTGGCGCTGGGAATGGCCCCAGCTACGTCTGCAGCAGACGCAAGCCTCAGAATATTTGTTATTCACTTGGCCACCGTTTACAATTTTCTCCCTCTTCCCTTCTTCTCCTGTCTTAATTCTGTCTTGTTATTTTTATTGTCTGTAACTGTTTCATTCTTATGTGCTCCTTCTGGGGCAGTTTTGGACTCATGTAATTTTTTTATTACTGTGTTTCCCCAAAAGTAAGAGAGCAGGATTTTTCAAGATTCTCGGATTATAAGCCCCACCTCAAATGTTAGCTCTATTGAGGATCATAGACCAGACAGGCGGATTTCGTCCATCTGTTGGACCACACAACAGACTTGGACCACACAACAGACATATACAATTATGAAGCAGTTATTGTATAAATAATTAATTCTATTGACAAAAAATGTTTTAAATAAATGATAATATAAGCCTCTGTTTCACCCACAATTAAAATAAGAGTCTTTTTTTGTGTGTGGTAAACATTGTATTAGAGTGTAACCTTTAAATAGGCTGGCATCTGAAACTGGCAAATGTATATTATAAAATGAACTATATCCACAGTGTGGTCATACAGTGATGCCGGGTCTATGAGTGGAATCTCCGTCATGGGTGACTCATCTCCAAACACGAACACATTCCAAGGTAAAGTGAGCAAGTGTAGTTCACCTCATGTTAACACAAATCACCCACAAAATGTCCTCCTAAAACAAGCCATCTACTAAATGTTATCTTAACACAGACAGTTTACTACATTTTCTTCCATCGCAACAATCTACTAAATTATCTCTTAATTAAAAAAAAAAAAATACAAACCGTCAGCTAAATGTTATCTGTAACACAAGCCAGCTACTAAATTTTCTCATAAAACAAATCAATTGCTTAAATCCAAAAAGAACCTTTATGAGCAAGAGATTTGTGTGCTTTGTTTATAACACAAAGAAATATTTCTGTAAGAAATATATGTCTATGGTAGGGGCGATTGTGGCATGGAAAATCATCTATGTCAGAACTGATGGAAGTATACGAGACAGTAAAAGTAAAGTTCCCTTTTCACGCCTTTCGGCGTATCGGGCATAAGGGCAGAGCGTCCCATATTTTTACAGACCATCAGCACTCTTTGGGTAATGTGGTCAGCATTACGCCGGCTGTCTTTACTTTCCCAGGACAGCCCATCCTGGTACCCATTTTAGGCTGGGTCGACCTGCGACGTCCCATACCACGACAAAAATCCACGCAGCCTGCAGTGGGTTTGGATCGCGGTATGCTGGCTTACGAGTCGGACTCACAACGCCTTAGCCACTACACGAGACAGAACTAACATAATTCATAAACTATAGGAAGAAGAAGGCACGTGGAGGATGTAATAAAATATACTCTGTTGATTTATGTCATTGTTGCATTTATTGGCTGCCATAATTCATAAGTTCAGCAGCAAGTAAATCCTAGCAAAAATAAATTGTGTGGAATATTTTTCCTTGTTTGAAAGTTTGGAGCCATATAAACTTTGTTACTATTGTTACTCTAGTGTACTTTTGTTATTACCACTGATGTCAGAATTTCTGTTTCAACATTTGCAGAATCTCCACCATTGGAAGCGCCATCTCCTGAGGGCACTCCTCCTGATCTCAACTTGGATGGTTCTGACAATGGTGAGACTTCTGTCATCTGTTATCATCTCGTGAACGCGTGTGGTTTATATATTTTTGTTTCATTTTCACCAGTTATTTCTCTGTTTTTGTTATGTGTTTATGTGAGTGTTAATAGAGATAGAAGTTCAGATAATGCCTTAGCCTTTTTGTCCCGTAAGAATATTTTTTTTTTTAAATGATCATTTTCCAGATTTCATCCTAAAAAATAGCATCCTTATAAATCTGAAACTGTGAGGAGAATCTGTGAAAAGAAATGTGGAGATTTGTCTGTTTTTAAAAAATCAGGAGGTCAAAATCCATAACCGCCGAGCAGATAGGCAAGCATGAAGTTCATTGCGGTCGTGAAGTTGGTAACTTTGTTTTTTTGGGTAACTTTTTCATGCATTTTTTTTTTTTTTTTTGCACAAAGGGAAGTAATCACTATATACAAGTAGAGTACTAAATTAACTCCTTCCTTTTGACAATGAATAACATTATTGGCATAGCCAGGTAGAGCAAAATGACATCATAATGAAGTGGTTATGACATCACAGTGACCTTAGATATCTTTTTTGTCTTTAAGTAAACATAATCATACCCACAAATCATATATTGATCACATCTTCACGCTGCGTTAAATAATTTAACAAAGTAACGAATGGAATAGTGCAGTTTATATGACCTTTGTGGATTTTGAAAAAAAAGCCTTTGATAGCCTGCCCTAAAATGCTGTTGTACAACAGTGAATGTTGGAAAATGACAGCGGGAATTACACATAAACTTGAGACTTTTCAAAATAAATGTTCAAGGAGATTTCTACAAATATCTTGGCCAAACAAGATCACAAATAAAGAACTGAGGAGGAAAGCAGAATGTGCACACTGGCAAATGTTATCAAAGTAAGATGATGGAGATGGCTTGGACATGTTTGCAGAATGTCTTGTGACACTCTGGCTGGCAAAAACAGCTCTCCGGTGGACAGCAAAAGGGGAAAAAAAGATGTGGACAACCTAAGGAAACCTGGAGAAGGACAATAGAACGGGAAATGAAGGAATGTAAACTGACATGGGATACCATTGGCAGAAAATCAGCAGACCGGCAGCAATGGAGATCACTTATGAGTGTCTTATGTGTGAATAGCGACATGAAGAGGATATAGATGAAGAATCAAACCCATTCTGCCTACACTTATACCAGGGCTTTTCAACTTAGTTTACTCAGGGGCCACAATTTTGAATGTGGGAATTGTCACGGGCCAGAGTTACAAGCCTCGCCATAGAAAGATCATCAGTACAAAACAGCAAAGGTATTCACAAACAAATGCCTACAAAAATTGATGAACTTAAATGAGGTAATTTCCAGACAGGTGAAGAAATGAAGAGAAATGTCTGGACAACCCCTTGGTTCAACAGTTTTCAGAAAAGAAAAAATATGAGCAGTATATTGAGTGAATCCATATTAACAGTGAATCCCTAAACAGGCTCTGAGATAGGAAACGAATGGGCTAAGCAAGTGAGGACATTCAAGAAAACCCCTCAGACAGACATTGGTGGTCTGGGCTGGTCTAATGGCACAAGGGGATAATGATGAGTAGAGATAATGAATAAATGCCAGTCGTGAATCAGAAAAAGATCTGAAATAAAATGGCAACCAATTATAATATACAACACCAACCCACCCACACTGGAGTACAGATTACTTTGTGACTTCACAATATGACTAAATGGTTGAACTGGGTGTCCAGGATTGTAGCAGTTTGATTCTCATCCTCTAGGGCCCCATTGTGGGGAGAAGAATAGACCCACTGCCTGCCCAAAGGCATGTCGTAATAGACGACCAAATGTTGGCTTCCTTTGAAGTCAGAGTAGCACATCTGCCTGAGAGGCAAGGAACAAACAGTCTGCATGCAACTAAGTCAGACATATGAAATGGATGTGCACACAAGACACAGTTTTTTGAACAGGACTAAAGTCCAGAAGTGGACAAACAACTAGAATTTTCTTTCCAAGTTTAAAGCCAGTTAACTCATTGAAGAAGAAGAAGATTCTCATCCTTGACAAGTTGATCTTGCAGAATGCAAATCTGGAGTGAGAAAAACATTTTTTTTTTTTAAAGTTTTGATTCTAATACACTTGTGAAAAACAAAGACACTATATATTGGGCACATCCAGAAGAGATGCAAAAAGAACATCACCAAACAAGCTCTGAAATGGGAAACAAAGAGACTGAGGAAATGATGTCCAAAAGAAACCCTGTACTGAACATTGGTGAGAGAGGTCAGAGGTGCAGGACTGGATTCCCATCCATGATATTGGAATAGTTGCACAAAGTACAACGGAAAGATCACTGTAGGAATGATGATATCAGAAAGAGAGTTGGCACAGAACCAATACTGACCTTTCTAGCTAGACAACAAATTAGTTGTTTGACTGTAACAAGATTAGCATTCGCTAGGGCACTTCTGGGAGCAGTGTTATACAGATACAGCGATACCAGAGCCATTGATGCGCCATGCAGAATATGGACCGCACAAATATCAGAAACCATGAACAAGTACTTTATACGAAGTGAACAGAAGGGACAGTTCCAGAGATCTCTTCCTTCTCTGACGCATTCCGGAAGTAGAGAAAAAAAGTAGAATGAAAGAATTGACTTTTAGCACTGTGTTTGTTACATGTAACGCCATAACATGATGATGACGTGTGCATGAGTAAGTGAACTGGATAACAATTTGACATGAAAAGTGAAGTTATGTTATGTTATTATAATCAACATCACAGCAGTTTGTTTAGGCCTCTGGCTTAGCAGCAAGTCCAGGGTAGCTCTGCTGGTTGTTCCCCTGACAAGTTGGTTGTAATGTCTCCTATCTTGGCCTCAAAGATGTGCTTCCCCATGCTTTACTCCCAGGTCAAGCAGTCGCATTAGTGTCAGAAATTCCTCATTATTCCCTAGCCCAGTCCGTACATGGTTGATGATATCACCTGTACCTCAAGCATTGCTTGTCAGTTGATCGGCTCACTCTTTACCTTTTGCTCTAGCCTAACGAGGTGTGTAGATCCAGGTAAGGGGAAATTAAGTGTAGTTTCTGAATGCTGTCTATTCATTCATAGTACACACTGCCTGTTGCACAAAGTGCAGAAATACTGTAGTCTATTTTTTTTCTTTCTGTTGGCACACTTGGCAGCTTTATAAGTTTTGTTCATAAATTGTCTTTCAGTTAATGTCAGTCTGGATTCACGCCTAGCAAGCTTCTTTGACAGAAACCGGTCGGACAGTTCTAACCCTCCGGTATACACACCACAGATGTCACGTATACCAGTGTCCAGCAGCAAAGTGAAAGTGGTCACTGATGACGATGGAGGTACAACACCCTTGGATGACGAAACACCAACAACCCCAGTGCAGGATGAGAATTTGGTATCACCGCCTAAACGGAACACGCCTCCAAAGAAGGAAAACCCAATTGACTTTTTATCAAGACTGATATCGCAGACTCAGAAAGCTCCAGTGAAGACAGGAGCACCAAGTTTTCTGGATAGCCTAACCATGCTGACCTCATTCAACAAGAAACCGGAGACAGACAGTCAGCAGCAGGCAAATGCTCCTCAGTCTTGGGCCGCATGGAAAATGCAGTCAACTGAAAGTAACACATCGCCCAGTCAGCCGTCATCTCCTATGTCATATGGGCCTCCTGCCAGCATACCCAGTTCATCCCCTTTACCATATAGATCCAACAGTAACCTGTCCACTCCATCCACACCGTATCCTTCCACGCCAACAATGGTACCACCTCCCATGCCTATGCCTGTCCCTCCTCCAGTTTCCCTAAATGTACCGCCACCGCCTCCTCCACCCTTTGGCCTGGCATCAGTCATAGCTGCAAATTTCTCTGGCCCGCCGCCGCCAGTATTCCAGCAGACGTCACCGGGGCAGAAAGAAAACTGGCCAGATCTTAAACCCATCCAGCCAAGTGAGCACGCCATTCCCATCAGGACGAGCCACAATTCTGTGCTGAAAGAACTAGTGCCCGCAGAGGATGTTGATGGTAAGCCTGCACCCCCACTCTCTAAAGAGTCTTCCACGTCATCAGCAATCGTTCCGGATGCAATGGAAATTGTTAGTGATGAAGAAAGTGATGCAGAAATTGATGAGAAACCATCATTGAAGAGTTCAGAACTGGCTGGGGATGCCAAAACAGAATTTGCCCAGAAGTTGAAGCAGAAAACTTCTCAGGGGGTGGTAAAATCACATGTATTTGTACCAAATCCAGAACGACCAAATTTAATGACGCTGACTGTTTCAGATGACTTGGACGAGGAAGACATGATTGACGAAGACACTGTCGTGGAAGGAGCTCCTGCGTGGTCAGAAAAGTCTCACAAATCCAGTCATAGGTCAAGGTCACGGTCTCGATCCAGAGAAAAAGACAGATCTCACAAACATAAAAAGAAGAAGAAATACAAACGCAGCCACAACAGCGACGACAATTCCAACCATTCTGAAGTTGAGGATGAATCTAAAGGAATATCCACGGTGGGCAGTGTGGTTAAGAAAATCGACGCCCGCTCTAGCAGACACAGTCGGGACAGCAGCAAAGGAGACAAGTATGATTATGATGATAACTACGATAGCAGGAAACATGATAAATATGACGACGATAGAAAACATGATGAGAGAAAATATGACGATAGAAAATATGACCGCTACGATGACAAGGGCGGCCACGATGGACGGGGGGACTACAGAACATACAAACCCTACAAGGGCACAAAAGATGTAAAAGATACTGTTCAGGCATACACACAAGCATACAGAGATGCATTTTTTCAGCAATACACTATGGGGAGGCTAAATTTTTTCCCTCCTGGGCCCCCACCACCACCGTTGGATCCCAGGAGATCAGCTTATGGAAAGTATTGATTTTGTTTGTTGTTGTGTAAAAGATGAATTTGGCTGTGGCCATTTGCTTTGTATAAACTGTTTTCATGATTTTCATGATTCTGTGGAGCACATTGAATGTGAAACAAGTGGGAATGAGAAACATGGGTTTGGAAAGCAATGTCTTAGGTTAAGAATGTAGAGACACAAAAAAAACTGCACACAAAAAGAGTTTTTAAGTAGACCGGGAAGCAGATGAAGAAAATGGTGGATATATAATGTGTATGCAGGCCTACAAACACTTGCAGGGTCACAAGTATAAAAAGAAGACCAGTCAGAGAGATGAATAGAATAGGCAGGTGATGTCTGAACCTCAAGGGCTTTGAATGCTGAACAAGAAGAGGGAAAAGAATGTATGTAAGCTTAATAGGAACCTAGTTGTGAGATATAGTTTTTGAGCAAAGTGTAAAAAAAAGAAGTCATTTTGTCTTTGCTTTCTATTGTTTAAAAAAAAAGTGTAAATGATATCTAGCTTTGGTGAAAGTTGTTGCTGGGAACAGTATTCTTGCTAATGGTGACTGCAATTGTTGTTTGGAATGGATGTTTATGTTTCTTTCTCCATTGGAATGTATGTTGAGTGCATTTTTCTTTTTCTTTTTTTTTTCAGCTATGTAAATCATCTTTTACACTTAAATAAAGCATAAGCTCTCCCTCAACTTACCAAGCCTTTAGAGTTGTTCTCACTTGCCTGTTGTGGTTGAAGCTGTTCATGGAGATGCTGATGCCTAATTCTACCTTAAACCTTAGTCTCATGATTGTTAGGGTGCAGTGTTACCGTTCTTTGTTTCTCCTAAATGTCCCGGTAAAATGCAGACATCTGGGTATGTAAGGATACATTTCTTTTGCTGTTTGTAATATGTTCGTATGTGCGAGTGCATTTTTAAGAAATGTAATCTTGTATAGGCAACTTGCTTTTGTCATACCATTTAAAATGTTTATGATTGATGCATTTTTCTTCTTTATTGCCTTTTTTCTTTCTAAATAAAAGTATTGGTGAATATCTTTTACTCTTCAGTTTAGAATGTGTATTTATGAGTTTATTGTTTATTCGACGGATCAACATCATGGCACACGGTTGTAACCCATAAGTGCTCCGCTCTACTTCTAACTCAAGCCTGAGTCGAACATTGTGCAAGTTCATTTATTTTACTTTCTTCTACTGTATGTTATGAGTAAATTTAGTTCATAATGTGTACATCCACGAGCTTCATTTCATCTTTAGATGAAGGGCGGTTGTGTTGTGGAAATGTGAATAGTATCCTTGGGTGGTAATAGCAGCCTTTCGAGCCTGACAATATGAGTAGATGACATCATATGTGTCGCTTGAAAGATAAATTGGCATAGATGACATTCATTGTAGTGATTGAAAAATAAATTGGCATGGGTGGCGTATTGCATGAAAGATAACAAGTTGGCATAGATGACATTCATTGTAGTGATTGAAAGATAAATTGGTATGGGTGGCGTATTGCATGAAAGATAACAAGTTGGCACAGATGACATTCATTGTAGTGATTGAAAGATAAATTGGTATGGGTGGCGTATTGCATGAAAGATAAGTTGGCATAGATGACATTCATTGTAGAGATTGAAAGATAAATTGGCATGGGTGGTGTATTGCATGAAAGATAAGTTGGCATGGGTGACATTGGGTGTATTACTTGGAATTTAAAACATTGGCATAGCTGTTTATGTATGGCTTGAAAGTTAACATGCTGGCGTAGATGGAATTGATTTGTTTGAAAGATAACAGGTGATCTAGGATCTACTATATGTGGATAAAAGGCGCATGTTACGAGATGGGGGGGGAGGGGATATGGTTTTTGGAACATTGCATGTCTTACTTTGAAACTTTTCTTCTCGCTGACATTTCTGTTGGTGAGGCTAATCCAATGGTGTAGTTCATCATCATCATCCTTTACATACAGAACGTTGCTCTCTTCACAGCACTCCTGAAAGTATCCCTGGTGGTTGCCTTAGGTGTGGAAAATTACATAAACTTGGTGTTGGCTTTATGAGGTGAGGTGCCCAACTTCATTTTACACAGCAGTTTCTATCCCTATCAGACGGTGGTTAACCTTGTGGATCATAATAGGACATCAGTAGAGGGTGATCTGAAAGCTTAAATGCTCATGAATAAAGAAAATGCTGCTAGAATTAAACCTTGAGAAAGGGACAGATGATGAAGTAAAAAAGGTAAGGACATGGGATGAGCTGCAGGTGACATGTTCATAGCCGAAAGGAAGAGAGAAAGTGGGTTCCTTATCAGCATTCACTTTTTTAAAATGATGGTTGGCACGTTTACAGCTAGTCTGTGATTTTTCAGCTCAACACGTCTGATTTCAGTAAATGCCTGGTTGCCTTGTACAACATACATGGAGGAAGTGGATCTGAGGAGCCAGCTAGCTAAAGGGAGCTATAAGCAAGCACTTTGCTGGTGTCCTAGAGAGACCAGAGGCTTTCCTGTAAAAGTACAAAAGGGACCTTTTTCCCACACCTTTAGGCATATAGGGCTAGACCTTTATTTTTATAGACCAATCACCACAAGATGAATGATAAGGTCAGCATCACGCCGCCTGCCTTTACTTCCCGGCACTGCATCTGGTTCCCACTCAAGGCTGGGTCGATCTGGAAGCCAAGGTTATTCTTGAAAAAAGTCTGGCTCCGCACAGGAAGCAAACCCACAACCTTCCGATCCGTGACAAGCATCTAGCTGCTCCGCCATCGCGCCTCCCCACCTTCCTGTAGAATGCTTGAATATTGTCCTTGGTGGTGATAAAGCACACAGTATTTTTTTGTGGTAACGTTTGGAGCATGTCATTTCTGGTTTCCTCAGCTGTCTGCAATATATGTATTATCGGGGTTGTGTTTCACAAAGATTCATGTTCAGAAACAGTTAAATAAAAATGTCGGTTTTACAGAGAAAGAATAAAGAGTAGTAATTGCAGTACATTTTTGGATTGCTCACTTATGTTTAGTCTTTGTGGTCCATTTACTTATTTATGTCATGTTTTATACAGGCGACATAGCCTGTTTAAAGAATAATGTGGAATGACATATAATCAAACGTAAAGTCGTTCAGCTGAATCACAAAGACATACCATATCTCACTTTCTTAACTGTCTTTCAGCGGAACCACACAAAACATACCACGCCACACATAACACATACAAAACATACACCTCATATTAACTTTTTTGTAGGCTGAATCACACACAAAACATACCACACCTCACACTTAGTAATCTTAGTTTTAGCTTCTTCATAGCAAATGGGTCACCTCATAATTGCTCTGCTCCCGTGCCTACACAGTCCCTTGTGGAAAAGTTAACATAGACTGCTGTCTCTCAGCATATCCACTAGCATACACATGCATTAAAAGCATAAGGCAGTCATTAGAAGTGCTAACACAAACAGTCTAACATTAGAAATGCTGTTCATCATCGACTGAAGCAGCAGTTACAAACAGATCAGCAGTTGCACATGCTATAAAATGTAATCACATAAGGCACCACAAATCCTGTGGCAACAAGCCATGGGCCATTTTCTTAACCTACAGTTCACAACACCTCATTGATTACAGTCCCAAAACATTCCAAATAAAATCTGCAGCTTACATTGCACTTAAGTGAGTACCTGACTGACAAAACTATATCCTTTCAGTCTACGAATGGAGGAAAATACAATGACCACCATCTGTCAAAAGCAAAATATTTGCCATGACCAAGAACAGCGACTCTGCCCATCGTCCATTTTGACTGGAAGTTATTAACCATCTCATCACATTCTTAACGTCTCTGTATCATTCAACAACACACACAAAATATATCACACCTCACATTAACTGCGTCTTTCAACCTAACCACACACATATACGCATTTAAAAAAAACAAAAAACATTAACTTCATGGGTATCTGGGTTTATTGAATGAGTTTAAAATTGTCAAGCATGCTCATAGACACTAAGTCTGACTCTGTCTGTACTGCATGCTGTCAAAACGAGAACCAAAGTATTGGTGCTCAATGATTGAAGTTTACAGTACAACAATCTACAGTAATTCAGCTGCTTCTGGTAACAACTTTACAAACTGGTCACCAAGACTGTTTTGTCAGCAGAAAATGTCTATTCTGAGGAAATGAAACACGAAGGTTGCGCCTGATAGCAAAAGCTGGGGGTCTGAGAGGAGGAGAGATGGACAGCAAGGAGATCATTCATAAAAATACTCATTTTAAAAAGGAAAATAAGTGCCAATCTTCAGATTCAGGATCGCGACCTGCCTGATTGACAAGCCCAGAAGAATTCGGCATTCTATGCCACAGTTTATGTAAGCACATAAGTGATCACTGAAAACTTCTCAGCCCAGGAAACTCAGTTTATCAAGACACAGCAGCCACGCAGATTCATGTTTAACTGGCACCATCTAAGGTTGCTTCGGTTGCACAGGCTTAAAAATAAATATAAAATGAAATTGTTCAAAAATCTGGCCAGCCATCTGACATCCTTGACCTGACAGCAGGTCAGCTGCAGCAGACATGGGCAAATTGCTGCATTTGTACTCATGAAAAAATGCTGTAAAAACCTCCTGCATCAGCTTTTTCGCAGGCTGTCTTATGCTGCATCAAATCAAGCAATCTTTAAGCTGACAAATATAAAATCAACAGGTGTATCACCTAAATCAGATAAACATATAAGAGTCGAATCTAACACAAGCAAAATTACTGCTCTTCAAGCAAGTATTTTACTTCAGAGAAATTCATACACAACTGTTGAATTGAAAAGTGCATGTGTAAAAGAACTTTTCTGCAGGTATTTCCCTTCACCTGTGTTGAACTGTCACAGTAAGTATATGGAAAAGAAATTTAGAATATTAAAAAATGCTATACACAATCACTAAAACTGAATAAAATAATCGCACTGAATGATGTTAAGTAGGCAGCTGCAAGCATATTCCTGTGAACCTTATCTGAGTGCAATGAGCAGGTTTACCCAAGAAGAATACTGGACACACGTGTGACATGCATCTGACCCATCTGCTTCAGCTATTCAGACATTCGGCGGCATGTCAAGTTTCCGATGGCCGTCTGAAACCTCGAAGGGATGCCATTTCTGTGCCCTCGTCTGAAAGGACCTGAAGTGGGAAAGCAACCTTCACAGTGTGAAATGATTGGAGGTGCTCCTGTATGCTGCATCTAGTAGTGAGCTGTGCCTGACCATTGGGGGGACTAGGTCACTGTGTTGTCCACTGGGGCGTGAAGAACTAAGAGGCCTAGTTAAATGGCCCCTGAGAAAGCTGGGAGGCCAAGTACAGGCGGTCTCCTTGGTATGTGGAGTCCTGAGACAGCAAGACATCCATTTGGGAACGGTAGTCATCGGCCATGAAGCTGTCCTGAAAGGTAGACATTGAACAATTGATTAGACAACTGTTTCAGTTTTAACTAATATAATATCCATGTGTGTTCTAGTGCCCCATTTTTGGGGAAAAGAACAGACTTGCTGCTACTCTGGCAAGCGTATGGTAATCGCTGACTAAATAGGGGTGTTTGTTTCAAAGTTTTATTTGTGCCAAATTCAATAGTTTGTTGTGCTAGTAGTTGGGGCTTATTATCCCTAACTGAGTGTGATGCTTTTCTGATTGTCTTGACCAGGCTTACATTATGCAAGTCCATCTTTCTGTCTGTGCTTCCTGTTTTTAGGGTTTGACTGACCAGGCTTTCGTTTTGCAAGTCCATCTTTCTGTCTGTGCTTCCTGTTTTTAGGGTTTGACTGACCAGGCTTTCGTTTTGCAAGTCCATCTTTCTGTCTGTGCTTCCTGTTTTTAGGGTGTGACTGACCAGGTTTTCGTTTTGCAAGTCCAATCTTCATGTCTGTGCTTCCTGTTTTTTTAGGTGTGACTTATTTATAACTGTCTCTCCACAGGACACGGTGCAGAGCACACAATGAGAACAATGAACAGATAATCAATCACTCCCTGCTTACCGGGAACGACTGAAAACATTGAAAACAAAGAGAACCTAAAATAGCTGACTGAAGAAAGCCTGTCGAAAATCACAGTTCGTTTTACTTCTGATTCTCCCATTGTAGCGGGCGAAATGTAAGCGAAATCAAACCTATTCACGGCAATATGTTTTGGTTTTTTTTTTCAAGCCCAAAATCAAGTCTCAGTGTCCACTATGAACCCTGTGTGCTGTTCTCCTTTTATCTCATGTAGTAGTTGTATTCCTGAGGTAATGAGTCCTGATGTCTGTTTTACCAGCCACTCCCCGGATAGAGACCAAGCGACAGAAGACATCCAGTGAAGTTGATCCTCTCATCTTTAAATGTCTGATTTTGCTGAGAAACTCGTGTAAGATCACACAAGAACTTCACAGAGCACAAACACTACTGTAATCCTAAAGAACCACAAAGTAGGATTGAGCAGTATATCACAATAACTAAATTCCCCACACAGGAAATCATACCTATATGGTAAAATCATCATTGTCAAGTAACTTGCCTACAGAAGTGGGCGACCATGCTTGCAGTGTCCTGTTCGAAATTATTATTGTTAATCTGCTTATTGTTAATGCTGCCTTACCTATCCTGATGATTTCTTGATCCAGCGATAGTTTGTGTGGAATCCAGATAGGTAAAATGGTCAACTGTCTCCAGCTCTTCATTATCAATGCAGACTAGGTCTAACATGAACACCATGCACTATAAACCTTGGTCTCCTTTTTGCTGACTGTTTGTCCAAGCAAAGGCAGACAGTAAAGATTGCAACTCATTACCACCACTATGACACCCTATACTAACTAGCAGTAATGCTGAAGACAAACCTGCGACAGTTCTGCCTGGGACAGTCCACTCAGACCTGGCTGTGACAGGCCACTCAGACCCTGGCTCATCTGGAAATGCTGACTCATGTTCATACCCTGGGTCAAAGGGCCTTGTGAGAAGTCCTACAAGAAAAACAATATGTCTTTATAAAGATGCACTGTATTCCTAATGATGGATGTTGTAGGTGCAACATTAAAGAAGTACACCATAAATACACAGGAAATGTTTTGACAAACTAAACTTAGCTGCAAAAATGTACATATGATGATAATGTAGTGGCTAAACACAGATAATGATGAATCACTGATGCTAAGATGATTGCATGACCTGTGAGTAAAACTTTGTAAAGCATGCCTATGCCATCTTTGATCCTAGACAGATGTTATAACCAACTTCTCATAAGAATATTTAGTACAGGTACCTCAGTGTGGCTGCTGCATCGGAGGACTGAGCAGGCATGGGAATGCTCAATGTGCAGTGACGTCGACTGTGGTTGCATAATATAACTTGCAGCCCGAAGGCCTTGAATGCACACATCAGATTCATTAAATCAACCTTGGCTTCCAGGTTAACCCAATCTAAAATAAGTACCAGGAAATTTCCTGAGAAGTAAAGGCCGCCAGTGTGATGCTGACCAAATTACTTGTCAAAGGACCCATAAAAATATGGGTCGAGCACCATCTGCCCGATAAGCAGCTGACACAAAATGGGTCCTTTTCTATTAATGAATATTTGTTAATTAGGAACTTTACAGTTGGAACATTAAACTGTAAAATACCTGGCTAGCCTGGCTCTGGGAGTTGGCATGACTTGAAACACTGCTCTTTCCAGACTTCTGCCGACGGTTGCCACTCCATCCACGAGTCTTCGGGTTTCCTTTCAAAACATAAAAGAATAGTTTAAAGACATGTTCAAAAGTGTCTTGAATGTCTCAATGACCAGTTAATGTTATGATAACAGAATGTCTTTTGACTAGCCGGGGATTTCAGGATAGCGCAGTTCCTCTTCTTCTTCTGCGTTCGACCTTATAACGGTGACTGCCATATTTTAATGTGGTTTACAGCCAGGCTGTGATACCTGTGCCTTTCAGCGCATACATCTGATTTCCGGCAAACTCTTAACTGGTTACCTGTCACAACATGCTTGGTAGAGGCGCTCTCGGTTTACCTCTTCCACACCCAAACTGGGCCCCAGAAGCCACACTGGGAGGCAAACCCTGAATCAGTCGCCTTTTGTGACATGTCCCATCCAAATCGACTCAGAAACCCACACCGGAACTTCCTGATGGTGAACTGCTGAAGTGTGTCAGCTTGTGACATGAGAAGTAAACTTTTCTTCTTCTTGGTGAATTATGAAGTGACGGGTTGTGAGATGACAGTAAATTTTTACTTCTTGATGGTGAATTATGAAGTGACGGTGTGAGATGACAGTAAACTTTTACTTCTTGATGGACAACAGCTATGTGCACTGGCGTGAGGTAATTTCACTCTTGCTGATTACCGCTGATATGTCAGTATGGGCAAGTGGTGTGAGATACAGAACATGGCAGTACCCAAAATATAAGTCTCACCTCTGGATGACTGGTTACCCATGTGTGTGGGCACATGATGTGACAAAAACATGTTCACAGGAACTGGCAGGTTCATTGCTGCTCTGGTGTAAGCTCTGTCTGGACCAATGAAGCCCAGCTGGTCATGGGTGCGCATCAGTGGCTCACGGTACGAGTTGTTGGCTGTTTATTTGGACATAGAATATTATAATTATATAAATATTACATACAACAAAATAAATAATAAAATGAATATATAATTAAATAATGCTATGGAAGCTGGTGGCATAGTTGCTAGATGCCCGCCTGCTTGCCTGAAGATGGTGGGTTCAATTTCACATCCTGATGGCCGTTTCTTTTTCAAACTGACCTTGACTTTTCATCCACTTCTAAACTTTCATCTTGTTTTAGAACTTGAGTTCTGCATGTAGATCCCTTTTACAAATCTGGCTTATTTGTGTGCAGGCTGTGGGTTCCTCACTTCTTAAGCAGATGCAATCGTCTTCGAAGGACATGCTCTTAATGAGTTGCCTTTACATGTTGGTTATACAAAAATGGGGCCTCAGAATCCTCATAGGGTGTGTCCAAAGCAATCAACCATCTTTATGAATTTGTTTCTTGTAACGCTAGAACTTGGCGTGACTTGGCTGACGGCCTATGCTCCCACTGGGGTTTAGAAAGGCAGAAGAAGAATGCTAGGCTATTGATGTTCTAAGTCATCTATCATCATGTAGCAGGTCCTTTGCAGAACGTCACTCTCATCAGTCTGCCTGAAAGAAACTCGGTCTCTCGCCAGTTCTCCCGCCTCATGAACTTTCACTTTCAAGGAGTCACTTATATCCTGTGCCCATCTTCGTGTCAAGTCATCCACAGGATTTTTATATTTCTTCTTCGTCTTCCATATTCACCCTTCAAAGGGTGGTTAGCGCGCTGAGCTGTGTTTAACATATCTGTGCCTTCCCTAACATTTTTTCCCTCCAGCAAATCCATAAACAGTCGCGTTTTTTTACAAAATGCTTTCTTTTAAAATCACAAGCAAATGCAACTAGGTGCTGGTAAAATAGAGAAAAAGATTCTTCAACGTGTTCAATCACTACTAAAATAATGACACAAAGAGTTACCTCTGTCATACGCACTTCCTGGAACTAAGAGTTCCCTGGCATCAAACATGGTGTTGTTCATGAAACGCCCACCCTGAAAACACACTACACAAAATTATATTTTCTAAACAGCAGATATCTTCAACATTTGATCACCAGTATTGTTCATTAGTCTTTTCCACCCTTTGATATTCAATCTGTAACTCGAAAAAAAAAGACAGCAGTCAGTTGGAGGTTTTAAGCATCTCCACAGGAATGTGCATGTGTGTGAAAAGAAACTGCAGTTTTCTTGTTTTAAATACTTCATATTTAATGCATGCTGGACCGGGATATTGTAGTAATTTTGTGAATACAAATCACCTTCATACTGGATCAGAAATGATCTTCTACACCGGCGGTTCTCAAGCTGCCGATCTCAACCCTTTTTTTGGGGTAACGGCCCTTTCACAGGGGTCGTCTAAGACCATCGGAAAACACATATTCACTGAAGTCATGAGGGTAAAATAATTGTCTGGGGGTCGCCACAACATGAGGGAACTATATTAAAGGGTCGTGGTATTAGAAAGGCTGAGAGCCACTGGTCTACATCGACCTCACTTTGATTACATTATCCTACAATACTGACCATTTCCCTGTATGGGTCCTGGGGCTCCATTGTGGTGAAAACAAGAACAGACCTACTGCCTCCCAAACAAGCATGTCATAGGAGTCGACTAACTGGGAGCTTCAGAGCGCATCTATCTGAGCGGTAAGGACCAACTGCACACAAATAAGACAGTAAAATGGATATACACGCAAAACAGAGGCATAAAGTCCAAATGTACCAACAACCAGGAATTTTCGTCGGAGCTTACAGCTGGTAAACAAAGAAGAAGAAGACTAACTGTTTTCCAGGGAATTTACCAGCCAGACAACCCAAAGACCAATGCATCAGATTTAAAAGCCACTCTGTTTCCCAGATTATTTATCAACAAAACAACTAACCTTAATGACAAGTATCTTTTTATGTGAATAAAGTGGGCAATAAACTCACAGGATTTGTGGTGTTAACAAGCTTGCGAGGCTTGCTGATGTTCACGAAACATTCCTTCAAGTTAGACAGCTGTCCCTCCACAAGACACTTCTGCTCTCTGTAGTAAGTCAGCAAATGGCACCACAATGTTTGCTGCAACAACAACAACAATCATTTTTACATCGTCCCTCCCAGAAAAAAAAAAGTAAAGATCCCTTTTTGCGCCTTTAGGAGCATCAGGTAAATGGGAAGAGTGCCCATATTTTTTCAGACCATCGGCACTAGGTGGGTAATGTGGTCAGCATTACGCCTGCCGTCTAGACTACTTCTCCAGGACAGCCATCCTGGTACTCATTTTAGGCCGGGTTGACATGCGACGCCCCATACCACACAAAAAATCCTTGCAGCCAGCCGTGGGTTTCGATCGCTGACTCAGTGATTTTTTTTTTCTTGACTCTAACCATCAAGATATCTGGTTTAACTATATTAAACAGTTATATTATGCCACCCTGTGGTTATGAAGAAATCTACTGTCTGTAATTCATCACAAACAACATTATATTGTGTTTCAATGAGAAACTAGCAAAAACAAAGACAATGGAACTTCTGACACACTACAGGTACAATGAAAATAAACATGACAGATATGTGAGAAGAGGTGGTTAGCTTTTTAAAAAAAACCTGCGGGAAAATAGAGGCCATTTTTATATGTGACTGAAATCTGAATGACAATTGAATACTTACCCTCGAGAGGATTTTAGGATTGCCCACTATGATAACACCATACCTGTTTGAAACAGATATTTAGTTTCAATAATTCACAAGTCCTCTGACATCATATCAGATTTGAAAGACATACAATTCTAAAATGAACTCATAACTTTCAAAGTAATCTTTTAATCTGCATATGCATTACTAGTATATGAATTACATCTGTTTTCACAACTTGTACCATGCCAATGTATGGCTTCTTGACTGTTAAAGTTGACGAGGACACAGCATTAGCTTCATTCTAGTAGTGTTTTATAAATACAACATTTTTCATTTCTATCTAATCTGAATTTGCTGAAAACTACAGTTGTATTATTTGCACAATATAAACAATCAGGTGCCGTCTCCATGATGAAGGTTAGCTACACATGACCTCTAACACGCTCTGTCTCTTGTCTTGGTTGTACACACTCTCAGATGCTGTTCGTCTATCTGTTGATGATGTCCTCCCACCTGAATCACTGTCTACCCCTTGCCCTCCAGTATGGTTATTTAAAGCGTATTATGTCTTTTAATGTGACCAAATTATTTCAATCGTGTTTTAATTTTTTTCGGTAAGCATTACTCTTTTTACTTGTAGTCTTTCCAGAACCTCTGTATTTGACCCCCCCCCCCCCCCCCCCCCCCCCCCCCCCCCCACCCCCCCCCCCCCCCCCCCCCCCCCCACCCCCCCCCCCCCCCCCCCCCCCCCCCCCCCCCCCCCCCCCCCCACCCCCCCCCCCCCCATGAAATACGACCTATTCTATATATCCACATTTCTAGACTCAATTTGATTTTCTGGTTGCCTGTTCACTGTCCAAGTTTCTACACCATACAGCAAGGTTGAGGTTGAGTATAACATTTGACAATTCTTATTTTCAATGTGTTGTTTATTTCTCTAGCTGTCAACAATTTTTGCATCTTTCTGAAGACAATTTTAGCCATTCCTAACCTCTTTTGATTTCTGTTCCACTTCCGCCATCGCCTTTTACTGCCAGTCCAAGACAGGAGGAACAAGTGATATAATACTAACTCTACTATGTAAGACTAATGCTAAAACTCTACTATGTAAGACTAATGCTAAAACTCTACTATGTAAGACTAATGCTAAAACTCTACTATGTAAGACTAATGCTATAGTAGCATAAATGCTGGTGCAAATGTTGCTTAGTAAGCATTCATTAGCAATGTGTGTCATTAAATACAAATTAGAGCTTGCTAAAGTTTTTTATGTATGATCTTTTCTTTTCTATGCTTACCCATAAAAGGTCAATTGGCACGTTGTGTTTAGTTGTTTTCTGCACCTTTCACCCAACACATCTGATTTCAGCAAATTCTTAATTTACTGCCTTTCACGACAGTGGGCAGTGTCCTGTCCCCCTAACGAGCCTCTAGAACTCACATGGGGAAGTTTATGTATGGTTAACATTAAAGACTATTTTCTGGTAGAACAAAAATACCTGGCACGTGTCAGGGCAACATTCAGTCGACGTGGGTCATTGAGAAAGCCAATACCTTGGTGCTCGTTAGATCTCACACAAGACAGAAGGATGAAATCCTTTTCTCGGCCTTGGAAGGCATCAACACTAGCCACCTCGATTTCCTGTTGTTGAAAACAGAAAATTGTGATTCACTGGCACTCTAAATATAAATAATTTAGTATCTGAAAATTAAAGGGAAAACTCCAATTACATTTGTATCACTCTTGATATCTGCTTGGGAAGTTTGTAAAGGGTTGTTTATTTGATGCAGCCTGTTGAAGCAATCACCACACAGTATTACACACTGCAATTTGGGCATCAACAATAGATATAAATCTTGGCCATATCAGGATTAGAACACATGCCATGTTTAACTGAGAATCAACATTACAGCACAAGGGACATTCCATAAGTGCTTTGTCCCTATCTTCAGCAGCAAGCGCAGAGTTCCAATTCCAATGGTACCAACAGCAGTCTGACTGTATATATGTCTCATCTTTCCCTTGAGTGCTGATCGTCGACCAGATTCCCCCCCTGGTCGGTCACTCCTCGCAGTACCATTCTCTTCAGACCATGATGATCCATATGTGCTTCCCCACTGTTCACTTCACTAGTCCCCAGAGGGAAGGGCCCTTAAACATCCAGCTTGAGTGAGTTAAGTCAAGAACTGAGACCACAACACTTGGGACATTCCCATAAGTGCTCTATGCCCCATCTTCAGCAGGCAGCGCAGAGTTCCAATACTAATGGTACCGGTCGAAGTCTGGTTATATGTCCGTCACTAGCTGACTCCTCGAGACAGTGAGCAACCCCAGTCCATAATCAATCACTGAGATGATTAGGTGCTGGTATAGTGTGAACAGCATTCTCTGCTCCAGGTCCATTGCTGCTATAATCTTCAGTGCATAAAGACCTTTTTGGGCCCATGTCACAACCTCCTCTATGTGATACTTGAAAGACAAGCTTCTGTCAAAGGTGGTTCCCAGGTACCGCAGTCTGTGGTCTCTTTTGATGTCCCTGCCATTTATTTTGAGGCTTGGAACATCAACTCCAACAATCCTGTAGTCCAAAAGAGCACCACAGGACGATTGCCTTTTTTGGGTTGAGATGTCACAAAGGGCAACTGATTCAGGGTTTGCCTCCCAATTCCGAAATATTGAAATACATTATAATAAGGAAATAAAAATGTGTGCTGGCACCACAATTAAGTAACCTAGCATATTTTCCTGCCTGCCTAATTGTCATAGCTTTAAAACTTTCGCCCTGTGAATGCTTAAAAAAGGGTCACTGAAACTGTTAAAATTTCCAGGTAAAAATCCTTTCAAAAAAAAAAAAATTTTACAGGTGACTGATTTATTCTTTTAAAATGTATCTATTTTTTTTTTTAAAAAAATTTAAAAAACTTTTTTTAATTAAAAAAAAAAGATATATAAAGGGGTAATTAATAAACACAAACAGAATGCGATGTTCACAGGACTGTGTCACAACCAAAAGTGACTAGATTTAGTCTTCACATGGTAACAGGGTTAAATCGCCAGGGAAACAGATTTTTCAGACTCAACGAATGAATGAAAGAACTTTATTTTCAAAGGGTCTCTCTCTCTCTCTCTCGTGCGCGCCTACCCTCACACCCGCGTATGCACTTCCAGGTACTATGGGTCCCAGAAAATGTTCTGGGATGTCAAGCAGGCCGACATCATTTTGACCCCATCGCCACTTGGTCAACAAAAATGAGAAACTGACACCATATATGCCCGGAAATATGACCTTCACTTACAGCAATTCTTCTTCTTCTTCACTAGCTGTAAACTTCAGTGGAATATTCTGGTTGTACGTCCATTTCTGGACTTTGGTCTTGCTCCAGAACCTAGGTTCTGCACACACATCCGCTTAATCGATCTAGTTTATTTAATTGTATGCAGACTGTTGGTTCCTTGTCTCTCAGCTGATGCACTCTGACTCTGAAGGGAACATCCCAAATTAGTCACCACCTATGACATGCTTGTTAAGGGGGGCAGTGGGTCTATTCTTATTTCCACCTAAATGGAGCCCAGGAACTTACACAGGAAACTTTAAAAAAAAACTATATACAATATCATATATAAATAAATAAATAATAATTACAAGATTGGACATTGCACAAGATAAACAAAAACCTAAAACACATTAAACCAGCAGTTCTCAACATGTGGGTTGCGACCCCTTTGGAGGTAAAATGACATATTAACTGGTTATGAAGTAGCAACAAAAATAATGTTATGTCTAGGGGTCACCACAATATGAGGAACTGTATTAAATGGTCGCGACATGAGGAAGGTTGAGAACCACTGCATTAAACAACACTACCTATCAAGGCTAGTTACCATATACAACTTCTTGTTCAAGGAGCCATTATACTGCATGTGCTGTACTTGATATGCCCTCTGACCCTCGTACGGAGTGATAATGCCAATCTGCTCTGGTTTAACTCCAGCTCGAAGAAGTCTGGTTGCTAATTTTTCAATGTTAGCTGCCTCTGTTCTGCAATGTTCAGCAGACAATCAGTAAACAATCACACAGGTAAAGTACAACAATGGTCTAAAATGCCACAATTCTCCCTCATCTTGTTCTACATTTCACCTTTAAGGGTGACTGGTACAATGCTACTGCTGTTTACAGGGAGGCTGTGAAATCTGTGCCTTTGGGCCCAACACATTTAACTTCCGAAAACCTCTAATTAGTGGCCTTTTACAACAAGTTCGTTAAGGACAGTGGATGTATTATTATTAGTCCTTCAAAATGGGGGTCCTAGAACCCACACATGGAAGAAGTCACAATCAAAGGTACAAACCAAATACAGCTTTCTCTCTCTCTCCTCACACTCTCTCTTTCTACCCCCCCCCCCCCCAACTCTCTTTCACACACACAAACACCTCCTCTGAAATAACTCCATCAGATTTATGAAGGCTTATGGAGGATCCTATATTCTACTATACTAATATTATCTTTTGTAGACAGGCAAAAACATACAAGAAGTCACAATGATTCATGAACATCTGTCTAATGACTTTTTTTGTCAAGAGCTAAGGAACACACTTTCATGACCATTCAAAAATCATTTGCAATAAGGTATCATGTTTCAAAATTAGTTACCAAACGTACTTATGGTCTGGAAAGACAGGACAGCAAAAAGGAGAATGAATCACCTCAAGAAGTATTTCTGAATTCTTCAAGTTTACTACCCGAAAAACTTAAACTTGTTATCATTATAATCAGAACACAACACTACCCGAAAAACTTAAACTTGTTATCATTATAATCAGAACACAACACTACCCAAAAAACTTAAACTTGTTATCATTATAATCAGAACACAACACTACCCAAAAAACTTAAACTTGTTATCATTATAATCAGAACACAACACTACCCAAAAAACTTAAACTTGTTATCATTATAATCAGAACATCTTTCTCTGTTGGTGGTAACTTCTTACAACTTCATTATGTGTCTCATCTTGTTAAATTAACCTATTCTAACAATACAGTTAAGTTCCACTGTTTCTGTTTAGTAGGGTTATTATATGTGAGGTTATATTATACGTACGGATGTATTATATGTAAGGTTACCTCTTCAGGCACAATAATGATCAATTTAAAATTACGTCTTCAGCTTTAATAATTTTAAGTAATAACTGCATGGTAGTGAAAGAACTTACCTGTTTAGATAAGAAGTCCCGGAACTGGAGATTTCTTCTGTTCCAAAAGTACTGTAAAAGAACATGGGTTTGTCTGGCTGAGGCCAGGGAAAGTCAAGTCCGGATCTGGTGCGGTCAGCTGTTAATGAAACAATGAATGACTTTACATAATGAGATCAACAGTGCGCTCACATGGTGAGGGTATGCTCAAGTAAATAGATGTAAGAAGCCAGTGTTTAAGCAGCAAATTCTTCTTCTTCTTTGCGTTCACCAGCTGTACACTCTGGTGGAAAGTTCTGGTTGCTCGTCCACTACTGAACTGCAGTCCTGCTCCAGAACCTGAGTGTTGCGTGTGCATCAGTTTTACAGATCTCATTCTCTTGAATACAGACTGTTGGTTCCTTGCCTCTACGGCAGATGCACTCCGACTTCAAAGGAAGCTCCCCAATTAGTCAACTCTTACAACATGCTTTTGGGGAGGCAGTGGGTCTATTCTTATTTTCCCCAAAATGGGGCCCCGGAACCCACACGGGGGAGCAGCAAATTAACTTGAGGAAAGAGAAGATTCAGCCAAAGATAAATGGAAAGTGAGAAACTATCAAAGAGAGAGAGAGTAATGTGTGAGAGACTTGGGAAATACTGTAAGAATGGCAGTGAGACTATAAGAGAGAGACAGGTAAAACATGTCAAAGATAGATAAGATCAAGAGACATGCCTGAGAGAGAAGAGTGGGAGAGTGAGTGAGTGTGATGGTGTATATGTGTACAAGAGAGACATGGGTAAAGAACAGTGGTGGTGAGAATTGCAAAGGCAGACTATGGATGGGGAAAGGGAAAAGGGGGGGGGGGGGGGGGGGAGGAGAGAACAGTGAGATATGAAGAGAAAGAAAATGGAAAAACAGATAATGAGAACCGAAGTGACAGGTCATGAGAAACAGATATAATAAGAATCAATGAGAAACAGACAGTGGTAAATTAAAACATGAGAATAAGAAACATAAAATCAGAAACAAAGAGACAAAAATTTCAGAAACAGAAACAGCAAAAAATAGATGCATTGTCACGAAGAGCAAAAATTCAGAAGAAAAACAAAGGAGAAATAGAAGAGCAACACTACCTGCAGTTACTCCATTCTGAAGTGAACCCTCATAGAAGATGTTCGAAGGGAAGCTGCTCAGAGCTGGATGCATGCGGTACTGAACTTGCAGCCTGATTGGACGAATCCCAAGCACCACCAAACGCTCAAAGAGAGACTGGGAAAGGCCAGCACGGGCAGCTTTCTTACACATGACCACAGGGCCCAACTGGCAATGATCACCCACGAGGATCAGCTGCAAGTATTCAAATGTACAGCTTTGAGCTACTGCTACTACGCATGCTTCAAATGATGAGTCACCCAAATATAGTTTTAGGCCTAGGGAAAGGTAATCCATTTAATACTTCACACCATTTGTGTTTAGATTTCTTCATTTCAAATTTTTTTGGTTGAATGGAGGGGGGGGGGGGGGGGGGGGGGGGGGGGGGGGTGAATTGATGGCTTTTCTTCTTCATGTTCACGGGCTATATACTCTGGCAGAAAGTTCTGGTTGTTCACCCACTTCTGGATTTAATCTTGTTCTAGAACCTCAGTGTTGCCTGCACATCCATTTTACAGATCTGGCTTATTTGTATGCAGATTGTTGGTTCCTTACCTCTCAGGCATATGGACTCTGACTTCGAAGGAAACCCCCAAAAAGTCGACTTTTATGACATGCTTGTTAGGTAGACAGTGAGTCTATTCTTTTTTTCCCCCAAATGGGGCCCCGGAACCCACAAAGGGATGATGGGCTGTAAAACTTTTTTTTTCTCTCCGTAACTCCCTAGTTCTGGGCCTTATGTTCACTCTGGGGCAAAAGGGGTCAAAACTACCCAGCTGCAATATTGTTTACAAATGTCCAGTTATGATATTTGCTCATGTGTTTGGAGGTCTCTGGCCAAGTGGTCAAGCTATTTTCCTTGCGCTCTGTAGATCGCTGTTCTATTTCAGGGCCGCGTCCTTTAGTTCACAAGGGTAATTTTAACAGAGTTGCCTGGGGATCGTCGCCAAAGCTACAAAACCTGTGCTCTATGCGACACTTCTGCCAGGACAACAGCCATTCCGCGGACAGAGACCAAGCCATCGGATAAAACCCGGTGCAACAAAGTCAATCCTCTCAAATTTAAAATTTTCAGCTCTTGTTTTTAAAAAACATTATCCAGCTGTGGAAACAATGGCACCCACTTTCCGACACCCTAAGATGTAACAATGGCATCTACCTGCCAACACCCTAAGATGTAACAATGGCACCCACCTGCTGACATCCTAAGATGTAACAATGGCACCCACCTGCCTACACCCTAAGATGTAACAATGGCACCCACCTGCCGACACCCTAAGATGTAACAATGGCACCCACCTGCCGACACCCTAAGATGTAACAATGGCACCCACCTGCCGACACCCTAAGATGTAACAATGGCACTTACCTGCCGACACCCTAAGATGACCGGGATCATACACTCAGGTTCTGTGGCCTGTGTGCTCTCATCTATAAGAACTGAGCTGAACTGTAGCTTGGCCAGTCGGGGGTCACCAGCACCGACACAGGTACAGCAGATCACATCTGCAGCCTACAATAAAACAACAGCATCAATTCTACTTACATAAAAGATGTTTTGTTACAAATTTAAATTCAATCATAATTTTGGTCTGCAAGACACCGTAACTAATTATCACTACTAAGATATTACACAGGTAAAGTAGAGAAAAATTAGCAGCTTCACTAGTAAAAACAGAATTAGTATTTAGGATACAAAAAATATCTAAGTAATGAGGATATAAACACTATATTATGTTTTTTTGGTTCTCAGTTTCAGCAGATTTTGGTTAATGTACTTTCTGGGCCTGAGAAGGGCTAGGAGTTGCCTGTTATAGGGTTACCATTCTCTGCTTCCTTTATGGGTCCCAGTGACAAATCAGTGGAAATTTACTATACTTTTTTGCTACTTGCAAAATGTCAAATTTTGCATGCCAAATTTACAGATTAACTTCTTCTTCATTCTTCTTCACTTCCTCTTTTACCGCTGTGGGTGTCGAGGGAGATATAAGGTTCTGTTTCTAGCTCTTCTGGCTGCCTCGACCATAGGCACATCGTGCTGTTGTAGAGTCTCTGATGTTATCCTTCCATCTTGTTCTTGGTCTACCCCGTGCTCTACATCCTTCTCTTTCCATGTATGCTTTGTATGGTATGGTGTCACAAGGCATTCTCTCTAAGTGGGCAAACCATTCCACTTGCTGTCTTTGTATGTAATCCAGAATTGGTTCTGTGCCGACTTGTTCTCTTATGATCTCATTCCTGATCTTATCTATTATGGTCACTCCTACAGCTTAACTATTTCAAATAATTCTCTTACAGCTGCTTTGTTTCAAAATATTTTAAATTTTAACTACAAAACAGAAATCAATTACCTGTAAAAGTTCTTTCTCACACTGTTTTTTAAGAGAACGGTAACGCTTCTCATCACCTGATGACAATTCTCCCGTTTCATCTTTCAGCTGTTGCAGTTTGTTAAGATCTGGCACACTGAATCACAAATGACACAAAATTACCCCTACCTTTCAGACACTATATACAGCATGCACATAATGACTTGTTTGTAAATCTAGCACACATAATAATATCTTCTTTTTTCTTCTTTCGTTCTCATGAAATAAATTGTCTATATCTGCAAAGCCGTCTCTTGTATGAATTTCACTGTCTTTTGCAATTCACTAAGCGGCCCGTAAAGTTTGACTTCCACAAGTGTCTCTTTTGGCCAAAGGTTTTGCCTGAAAGCGTTGAATATGGAACAGTCTTGAAGGATGTGATCTGTTGTTTCAGGTGCCAGTCCACAAGTACACATGGCCGATTGGCCAATCTTAAATTTGTTGTACATGTGGGAGCGAAGTCTATTGTGCCCTGTTCTAAGGCGAAGGATAATAACTTGCTCTGGTCTGTCCATAATATGGTAATCATCTTGTGCCAGTTTCGGTGGCATTCTGATTGATTTGATCATTCTCTTCTTCTGTTGATAAGAGACTGGTATGTCAGGTTGTTCTTCAGTTGCACCTTCCTTAGCTAGTTTATCAGCTTTTTCGTTTCCGGGAACTCCACAGTGGGAAGGTATCCACTGCATTACTAATTTACAGCGGTTGCCTAGTTCGGATAATAGTGTCCGTATGCTTGGTAATTTTCCAGACTGGAGTGACTGAAGTACTGCTTTTGCATCTGTCAGGAATACCACTGGTTGTGAAAAATACCCTGTATTTAGTAGTTTCTCTACAGCTATCTTGATGGCTTGAACTTCTGCATCATAGTTGTGACAGTGCTTTCCCGTTGGTAATTTGGCTGTATCCCTGGTATTATTAGGATACTCAATGTACACTCCCGCACCTCCGTTTCTGACTGCGCTTTCTGCTGACCCATCTGTGTAAACACGGACCCAAAGGTTCTGCGGGTATTCATCATCAAGTAGACTGAGAGTGGCTGTTTTGCGCTGCACACTGTTTTGTTCTTCCTTGTCAAATACCCCTTTCACTTCAGTCTTGATGTGTATTGGAAACTTATACTCCTCTCTCCAGGGGGTCCGTTCTGGGACAGCATTTAAGGATCTATCAGTTGCAGGTAAATCAGTGGTTTGTCTGCCGAGCCGTTTGGCCTGGTGGATAAAACTACTTCTCTTTAGTCGTCCCAAAGCTAAATTTTTAAATCTTTCATTCATAGGGTGACTGGGCATACTAAGAAACTTTTCTGCTTGTAAAAGCATCTTGGTGTCTCTGCGTTCACTCAGTGCTTGGGTCATCCCCATTTTCTCCATCACAGCTATAGGTGTTGATTTCATACTGCCTGTGGTAACTCTGAGTGCTTGATTTTGCACTTTGTCCAATTCTTGCAATGTGGTTTTTGATGCCGAACTCCATGCTGTTGATCCGTATTCAAGATGTGGTCGAACACTGTTGGTAAACTTTTTTAAGTATTTTCCCGCTAGCACCCCATGTGGTTCCACTTAGTTTTCTCAGAATGGCTACCCTTCTTCTGGCTTTGGTTGCTGCCTTGTTGATGTGTTTTCTCCATGTTAATCTATCATCAAACGTTACGCCGAGGTATGTGGGCTCCTTATCCTCTCTCAGGGGTACTCCATTTATGTGCATGGCGCCTGATTTTTGTTTAGGAGAAAGGGTAAAGAGAGTGGTGCTGCATTTGCCTATGTTGATGCTGACACACCATTTGTCGGCCCAATCAGCCATTGCATCTATGGCTCTTTGTAGCAGTCTGGTGGCCACTGTCGCATTTTAATTTGTACACCAGAGTACCAAGTCATCAGCATACATTGCAGCTTTAATCCCATGGGGTAGTTCAGAAAGCAGGTCGTTGATATAGACTAGGAAGAGTGTGGGGGACAGGACACCTCCTTGTGGGACGCCATGGCGCAGCAAAACTTTCTTGCTCTTAAGTCCATCTATCTGTACTCGGGATCTTCTGTTATACAAGTATGCTTTGACCCATTTGTACATACTCCCATTCACCCTGCAGTCTCTCAGTTTCTTCAGTAGACCTTCTTTCCAGACCTCGTCAAAGGCTTTCTTCAGATCTATCCATGCCGTTAGCACTAGCTTCTTTTCCTGGAAGGCATCCTCAATTTCTTGTGAAAGGTAAGTTGTCTGGTCTTCTGTGGAGTAGCACTGTCTAAATCCTGCCTGCTGCGGCGTGAAAATGTTTTTCACTTTCCAAGTACCATTGGAGTCTAAGGTTGACAATACGTTCCATTGTTTTACAGAGGCAGCTGGTAAGACTGATCGGTCTATAGCTGGAGGCATCAGAACTGTCCTTTCCTGGTTTAAGCAGAGGTATTGTGATTGCTTCTCTCCCATATTTGAGGAACTTTGCCACTTGTCCAACAATGATTAAAGATCTGTAGCAGCTTTATTTTGGCAGTTGTTCCAAGGTTCTTGATCATTTCGTTGGTGATTCCATCAGTTCCAAGGTGATTTTCCCATTCTCAGCTTTGATATTGCTAATTCTAACTCGCTGGATGTAAATGCTGCCACCAGTGCCTCAGGAATTATATCTTTTTGTCTTGTATGTTGTTTGTTTTCTTGAACCTCTCGCTGTTTCTCTGGGCTGACATTAATGTTGCTGTCTTCTGCAAAGGAATCTGCAAAGTGGTCAGCTGCCTGTTTTCTTGTTAGGATGGCTCCCTCTTTGCACAGTGCAATATAACCATTTCTCCCTGTATTCTCATCATTAATTTGCTTAATTAACCTCCACAACTTCCTTGTGTCTCTTTCAAAGTTTAGGGACTTTGTCTTTTCCTGCCAGCTTCTCCGTCTAGCCTGCTGCTCTTGACAAGGTCTGGTCTCAGCCTGTTTTCTTTCTGTTTCCATATTGTTGTGCAGTTGCTCCAGATCGCAATTCCAGTACGGTTTGTATTGTTTACGCGCACCTCTTGGAAGTGCTTCTAGGGCTGCCTGCAGTATGTGTTTGCTCAACTCTTGGACTACTTTTTCTACGTCATCTGTGTTAAGATTTTCCAGCAGAACATTTGTGCGAAGCTGATATAACTTCCAGTCTGCCTTCTTAAAATTCCACCTTGGCAGTGTGCTGCTCTCTCTTACAGACTGGCTTTCGATAGTTAGAAAGACTAGCCGGTGGTCACTGCCTCCTAGTTGCTTCCCAACAGTTCTGGTAACATTCAGTTCCATGTCTGCTGAGTGAAAGGCTAGGTCTGGTGTCGAGGTGGTATGCCATGCTCTAGAGTAGAAGGTTGGTGGGTCGGTTGGCTTATTAACGAGGATGAACCTATTCTCATCCTGCCAGTCCTCTAGTTTCTCTCCTCTCTGGTCCATATGATTGTAGCCCCAACTTTGGGAATGGCTATTAAAATCCCCACAAATGATCATTTTTTCATTTATTAGTACTGTATCCAGTGCCTGAGGGCGGTCGCTCGGACAGTAATAGTTGGTCAGATGTAAATCTGTATTTTCTAACTTGAGCTCAAGAGTTTGATACTCAGCACCTTCCATGTATGTTTCGATCCGGCCCGCAAGGATGTTATTTTTGACCAGGGTAAGAATTCCACCTTTCCTCCTGTCTTTGCGGTCAGATCGGAAACACTGGTAGCCTCTGATCTTAAAGGCCATATCTTGTTTGAGATACGTCTCTTGTAGGCAGCATACATGTATCTTCTCTTCGTTCAAGACGTTTTCTAATTCTAATTTCTTAGTATGTACTCCCTCCCCGTTCCAGTGCATTATTTTAAAGCTAGCTGTATTTTCTGCTTTTCTGGTTCTACGGGGCATGAGGGGGAGGCTTCGAGTATTTGAAGCTGGACTCTTTCTTCTTGTCGTAGGCCGGTAAATCGAACCATGTGTACGTGAGTGGGTCACATGGTGGAAATCAAACTTATTAGCAGATATAGAAATATTCCCTGTTGCGTTTGTGCGTGGCATCCTGATTGCTGTGGTGCGCCTCCTGGCTGGTTGCCTCCGACTTCAGCACCTTGTTATGCTAGAGTAGACTGGGGTCTTACCCGTGGACTCCCATGTTTATAATGGGAGCATGGCTCCTACGCGGTTACATTATCGGAATTAGGACACGGCCGCCGCCGTGGCTATTTTGTGGAAATAATTCCGTTATAACAACTTTAAACCACATAATGCTTGTATCCACGAACAAGAGAATATCCATCGTCAATGAATTAGTAATAATCGCACTCTGTTATCAAGAGAAAAGAGAAAAACACCGATTAAGTGAAAATTTTAGAATAAAATCGTGTGTCGCCGCAAACACGTCTTCACGCTGCCATTTCTAAACCGGAAGTCATAATATCTACTTGAAGCAAAAAACTGAAGAAGAAAAATTAAATGAAATTATCAATACAAGTATTTTTCTTGTTCAGTGTTGACCATTAACAGAGTGTCAAACATGTTGTATGTGTGATTTAAAGCTGCACGTTCGGTCCAACACATCCCTTTCAGTTAACCTGTAATTAGTTGCCTTGTATAACAAGCTTGCTAGGAAAGTGGGTCCCCCCCCCCCCCCCCCCCCCCCCCCCCCCCAGTCACACACACAGAGAATATGAATCCCAAACAGGGAAATAGAAGTATTAATAAAATACTAAACTGAATTAAATTTTGCAAATCTTTATCCGATTTTTGCCACTGCAACATGCTGATCTCGTCACAACCTATTAAGAAGATTCTTGACATTTTGCCGCTGCAACATGTTGGTCTCGTCACAACCTATTAAGAAGATTCTTGACATTTTTCTCGTCAGAATTTAGTTAAGAATTGTTATTTTTCTTCTTTTTGATCTTGGTATTCTAAGAATTGTTCTGCAACACTTTAGTTTAAAAGCCCTGTCTTCTTAAGTAATGTGAAATGGTATATGATTTACATTCAGATGCTGTCACGGAAAAGATTTAGACCCTCAACATTTTTGTTACCTTAATTTTTCCATGATGACATTACAAAAGGCTGTCAAGAATCTACTTGCACTCATCCACTTTCTCTCCTTCCATAAATTCCTTAATGGGATGACGTATATCTTTATTATGTTTGTGTGTGTGTGTGTATGTATGTATCTATGTATATGTGTCTGTCCGGGGTAATGCTGACCACATTACCCACAGAGTGCCGATGGTCTGTAAAAATATGGGACGCTCTGCCCATATGCCCGATGCGCCTAAAGGCGTGAAAAGGGATCTTTACTTTACTTATATGTGTCTGTGCGTGCATGCGTGGCTGTATATAAAAATCTACAGACCAGACCAGGAATGACCACACTATGTCAGCTCAAGTTAAAGTTGGACATCACAGACTGTAGCCAACTCTTAAAAAACCATCAATAACAATTTAATAAAAACAATGATTTTATGGAAGTGTTGACTGAAACAACAGACTCACGTATCCATGTTCCTTGTCTGGTTATGCATGGCCAGAAATGAAACAGGAGAATCGATGGCTTCTCTTGATTTAGCACACAGTCGAACTACCTGTAAATTCAAGAAATCTTTAAATATCTTGGCTCCCACATATGCAACGATGGCAGCTGTACCAAAGAGATCAAGACAAGACTTGATGGCAACAGCCGTGATATCACAGTTAAATACGATGTGGAAGAATAAAATCAACATCACAGTCAAGGTCAATATTTATAAATCACTTGTGTTGTCTTTTTTCTTATATGGGTGTGAGAGTTGGACTCTCACTTTGGAAATGGAAAGGAGGATTCAGGCTTTTGAATGTAAATGTTAAAGACATTTTACCGATTAGTTTTTTAGAACACAAAACTAATAAATATGTCGGAGACAAAATATAAAAATTTGAGGAACATCAGAAGCCTCTCTTGGCCCAGGTGAAAAGCTAGCTTGGCTTGGGCACGTGGGGAGACATGAGTCGCTAGCAAAGACTACTTCAAGGAACACTGGGGGTAGTCGAAGAAGAGGAGAGCAAAAAAAGAACCTGGAATGACAACATCAGAAATGGACAGGACTAAGTTATCATACTCTTATTCATCAAGCAGAAGACAGAGAAAGATGGCAGGTTTTATTTGCTAGTGCTTCCATCAATACACCTCCACAACCCTAACGGGTCAAAGGTTATGTTATGATAAATTCAACAAGTAATTATATCAGCTGTCTATTCATTCAGGATGAAAAGAATCGCAGTTAAACGCTGTCAAATGGTAATTGCAAGACCCATGCTTTCAGAAATGGCAAATACAACTTCTATAATGATACAGATTTGCTAGGATATTTCATATTATAATTAAGGCTTGTAAAGATGCAGAGGGCTACTGGGGTTTACACATCAGAGGAAACTCATCACACAAGTGAACTTCAATCAATCTTTAACAGTGGAAATGATAAAAACTGATTTCTTCTTCTTCTGTGCTAGCCATTAAAAGGGCAGCTTGCACATTTTACTGTAGTTTACAGCTAAGCTGTTATATCTGCGCCTATCAGCTCAAAACGGACATTCTGTGTCATTATTTTCTCCATTATTCATAGGGTCATATGGTAAAATAACTGGCAGGCTATAATTTAATCGTAATGCTCAAAGAAGCATTAGCAAGCTAGTTCTCTTAGTTCTCTGATGTTTGTTTTTAAAGATTACTTCCTTTCCTTTATCCGTATGGTATTTTTGGGAGGGTCCATTAATCAACTGGGGGGGGGGGGGGGGGGGGGGAGAGAGAACGTGTAAACTGGCTGTTTCTTTAAAAAGGAAATTTCTAGGTCACCAGTGTGAAAGGGCTATGGTCAGGGATGAAGCTCCTCCTCTCTGTAGCACAAAATCTAGGCAGTATTGTTGTAGAGACCATGTGTTACCCATGCAGCATGATTCCTCTCTTGGCCTGCTTTGTTAACTTCAAAAAAAAGGTAGCACCACTTATTTGAACTAAACATGCTGAAGAAGATGCTGGATCATAAACAGTGTTCCGCCTGTCGGTGCTGCCCTTCTAAAGCTGCTGAAAACAAAAGACGAAGGACACAGACTGCCTTGTCACAATGTTAAGTTTTCATGTGATTTCCCCATCTTAGAATATAACTTACATGCAGTAATTAATTAACATCTTTTAAATTATTAATAGCCAACTGTTAATGAAAGTGACTACTTCCATAGTATAAAAAAAACCCACTTAAATTTTTGTCCTGATGCTAATCTAGACTGTATTTTCTAAACTGTATCAAAACCCTGACAAACTGTGCGCAGGCACCGTTCTCATCACCATGAAACCAGCAAGTATCTTCTCTTCAAATACCATACACTTTTAACTGTTGGGACAAAGCTACTACAGCCAACTTCAATGGCTATTAACTCACTCTAAAGGTTCCCTGGTTACAAAGGTCATGCACTTTCATTAAAAAAATGACCTCTGGCTAGAGAGTTGACAATTCAGCACATTCATGATGATCAACAACAACTGTTGCCAGGGAAACGAGATGTAACATAAAGTGGCTTGCCTTCAGACCAGGGAAACAAGATGTAACATAAAGTGGCTTGCCTTCAGACCAGGGAAACCAGATGTAAAATAAAGTGGCTTGCCTTCAGACTAGGGAAACCAGATGTAAAATAAAGTGGCTTGCTTTGAGTCTAGGGAAACCAGATGCAAAATAAAGTGGCTTGCCTTCAAACCAGTCTTGTGTATCTTCTCTGTCAGCTGGTCGACAGCGATGTTGGATGGGGCACACACCAGCACAGGTCCGCTGTTTTGCTTGACCATGTGGTAAACAATAGTAGCTGAGGTCACAGTCTTGCCAGTTCCTGGGGGACCCTGGGTATTCAGTCATGAAAAATCTTCATTTAGCATCATGACAATCTTATGATACCTACATGCAAAACAATAAACTACAATAATACACATAATATTACAAAATACATGACAACTCACATGTTTATATAAAGGTAAAACAAATATATTAACTCAAATCCGTAGGTCAACTAAGGTTTAAATAAGATCCAGGTCAAGTACTTGGAAGTAAAAGCGTCCGGTTTATGTTGACCACATCCCCCATTGAGGACTGATTGGTCTATACTAACTAATATGAGTTTAGCCTCATATGCCCGATGGAGACCAGGGACCTTAACTTTCAATAACTTTAAAGCTTTAGAGCTTAGAGTTATTTTAATGAACCAGTATGTCTCTCTGCACTCTTTGTACTGAATAGAGCCTTCAGAACTTCTTCTAAGCGTTATAAACTTCAGAGGAAAGTTCTGATTGTTCTTTCACATTTCTGGACTCTGGTCTGATTCCAGAACTTGAGTTGGGCATGCGAAGCTGTTTTACAGATTTGGCTTTATTTGCTCATTCCAACTTCAGAAGGAAACACCCCTAATTAGTAGACTTTTAGGACCTGCTTGTTAGGGGGCAGTGGGTTCTCCCCCCCCCCCCCACCTCTCAAAAATGAGGCCCCAGAACCCAAACATTCTAGTTACTGTCATCATGAAGCTATGGGTGTGAGTCATGAGCAATGACAACAGCTCACAGAAGCCAGCTGCAGGCCTTGGAAATGAGATACCTGAGAAAGGTGGTCCAAGTGACAAGAAGGGACAAAGTCCGCAATCAGACAATACGTCAAGATCTTGATACCCAGCCCTTACTAACCCGAGTAGATCAGTCACAGTTACGATGGTTTGGACATGTATGCAGAATGGGAGAAAATCGGCCACCATGGCAAGCATGGGAGGCTAAGAACCAGGGAACCAGACCTCCGTGACGACCCAGGGTGCGCTGGGAAGACAACATCCGAAGTCCCTAACTGACAGAGGACTGGAATGGAACAAAGCCAGAAAGAAAACTGCTGATAGAGACGTCTGGCGAACTCTCTGGCAAACCTCTACACCCCAAGGTAGAAGAGGAGCGGCTAAGTAAGTAAGTAAGTCATCATGAAGCAAGTTACCCTGCACTGTGTTTTTTTTTTCAAGCCTGAGGTCCAGTACCTCCGACTGACAAGAATTGGTCATATTTGCTTTCCCTAGTGTTTGACTGTACCCAGTCTATCTGCCAGGCAGCAGGTTTGTCCCCCCCCCCCCTCCCCTCCCCTGCACTGCCCAACATGGGAGACATCACTAAATATCTAAGCTACGATCAGTATAGTTCTTAAAATCCACGGGAAAACATAAGCCCCTCTCCCATTTTTCTGTGAACACACATCAGAGGGGCATTCCTTTTTTTTTTTAAATTTAAACCCTTGAATAAATTAGAACCAAGTGAATTAGGCAGTTATTCTGTTAAAATGCAAACCTGTATTAGGCTCAGTGGTCTCTGCAGGACTGTTTTCACCGCATACACCTGGGAGTGGTTCAGTTCTGGCAGGCCAGGTGCAGAAAATCTTTTAGGCAGTGTGCATTTGAGAGTGATGTCTTCAACCTCGTGCCCAAGCAGCTTGTGATAGATATAACCCCACACTGAAGTCTCGTCAACAGCAAATGTCTTCAGGGCCGACTGCATTCTGAAAGAGGAAAAGATCTGCTACGTTGACGGCTATTCATTGTTTAATGCCTAATATACAAATGACAAGTTGCTGCCAGCCATCTGTGGGGATTTAACCACCATCTGATTACTAGTGACAACACAAATACAAACTCATCCTAACAAATCAGACTGTTACTTTAAAACTGCACCCTATAGTTTTTATGAGCATTTATGACCATATTATGTTACTTTAAAATTGTACCCTATACTTTATATGAGCACTTATGACTAAAGATTGTTACATTAAAATTGTACCATTTTTTTATTTGACATTTTGTTATTTTAAAATTATGAGCATTTAAAATTGTACTCCATAGTTTTAATGAGCATTTAAAACTAGAGATTTTTACATTAAAATTGTACCCCATAGTTAGTGTGAGCATTTATGACTAGAGATTATGTTCCTTTAAAATTGTACCCCATAGTTAGTATGAGCATTTATGACAAGATAATGTTACTTTAAAATAGAACTGTATAGTTTTTTGAGCATTTATGACAAAATTTTGTTACTTTAAAATTGTACCCCATCGTTAGTATAAGCACTGATGACTAGAGATTACGTTACTTTGAAATTATACCCCATTGTTTATATGAGCATTTATATTTATGACTAGAGGTTATGTTACTTTAACATTTACCCCATAGTTTTATTGAGCATTTTTGGCTAGAGATTTTGTTATTTTTAAAATTATACCTCATAGTTTTCAACAGAATTTATGACTAGAGGATATGTTGCTTTAAAATTGTACCACATAGTTAGTATGAGCATTTATGACCAGATATCTATATATCATAATCCATTCAATATTAAGTCGGATGAAATTGGCATTCTACTTTTTAGGTTTTTTAAAGGGACCTGAATGGCTTCATTCCCAAATTGTTACCAAAATACCATCCAAAGGGAGACTGTATTGCAGAGATCTTTCTCCCCTCCCTATCCAAGCTCAGAAACCAGTTGGCCATGCTAGACCAGTACTAGAACTTCACATCTTCAGGCAGACAAATTAGGGTATAACCAGGCCATAATTCTGCACAATATATAAGAACTACTTGAGGTAATGTTTCCATGGCTTAAAGGTATTTCACTGTCAACATTGTTCCAAACCAGTTTCCAGAAAGCAGTGACAAAATAAATCAATAGCTTTGGTAGCTCAATATGAAAGAGATAAAGATGAGGTAATGAATACTCAAAAAACATACCTGTCAAAAGAAGTTGACTTCCATACAAAATCTACAACAAAGTTGTGAGTACAACTCTCAGGTACACCAGCATTGCTTTTCAGCTCAATAGCAATCTCATCACTGTGATCTTTATTGGTTGTTAAGGGCTACAGTATCTACACAATCATATGACATGGAACATTAGATCGAGGCTCAGATAATACAAACAGTTGGGTAGATATTTTTGGACAACAGTATTGACAATAGTAAGCATGTAATACACTAAATAAATTTTAAGAAATAAAATGGATGCTAGCAAGGACTGAAAATGATACCTGACTTCAACTGGATATTTAAAAAATATGTTTACTACATTAGCTCTGGCACTTTGGTACTTTTCATTTCAAAGTAGGAGTAACTTTAAAAAATAAAACAAGTTTCATTGCACATAAAACACTTCATGCAACACAAGTATAAAGCAGTAATAGGGTTGTACTATTATATTTTAAATATGCCGTTTAGTGTGGCCTTTGGAATGCCAAAGAAGTTAATCACCACGACCAAACTATGTATGGAAGACACTTATAATATAGTAACATATAAAGGCAGAAAGTCAGACCCTTTTCAAATAACACCTGGTGATGCTCTGTCCCTAATTCTTTTCAACTTCACCCTAGAAAAAATTATAAGGAAACTGAAAGAAGAGTGTACTATAGGAGAAACTACAAGAATACTTGTTTATGCATACTCCTGCAGATATGACAGCGCAGATGTAAACCACAACAAAACGTGACAATCACCCTACTGTGAACACAGAAGATGATAAAATATCACTTCCATATGTCACACAAGGCAAATTATCTCCAATGTATAAAAGCTAACATTCCATAAATCATTAAATGAAGTCATGGACCACAAGGATACTGTCTGGAATCTTGATGACGTGGCCAACACCCGACCATGGTTTCTGGAGTTCACCAATGTAACGAAGTTTGAGCTCATCACCGTGCATCAGTTTCATTTCTGTGAATATTACATTCAATCCAATGTTTACTTTATATTAATGGTTAAAAAAATAAAAGCTATCCTTACAGTAATAGTTTTTTGGATTAGCTGATTGTTTTGTGGGTTTTTTGTGAATCCACCAACAAACTAAGAACTGGTTTGTTGTGAATCCACTAACAGACAAAGTACTGATTTGTGGTTTGCTGTGAATCCACAGACAAACTAAGTATTGGTTTGTGGTATGATGTGAATCCACTAACAAACTAAGTATTGGTTTAAGGTTTTCTGTAAATCTACCAACAAACTAAGTATTGGTTTGTGGTTTGTTGTGAATCCCCTGACAAACTAAGTATTGCTCTGAGGTTTGCTGTGAATCCACCGACAAACTAAGTATTGGTTTGTGGTTCGTTGTGAATTCACTGACAAACTAAGTACTGGTTTGTGGTTTGTTGTGAATCCATAAACAAAGTAAGTACTGGTTTGTGGTTTGTTGCGAATCCACTGAAATACTAAGTTTCAACCCTTTCACCCTGAGATGCAACAGCTAATCCAGGTACATCGTCCAATACACACCCAGTGATGACTGTAAACCAGTACTGCTTCACTGACCCGTCCCCTACAATCTTAATCCAGCGGCAGCGATTCTGTTTGCGCCAGGGCAGTGATAAATAATGAGGACCAGGTATGATTACAGTTAAAAGCTTTCTGATGATTATCAGGTCAATGAAATCATAATTGCGGTTTGCTGTCACATAGTGACAATGACTATTTGACCCAATAGGGAAGTCTGCTAGCCACTGTCCTATAGCAACTGTTAAAGTCGACAGGATTGACTTTCTTGCATAAGATTTTATCCCATTTGGCTTCGTCTGCTTCGCAGAATGGCTAGTTCCCTGTCGAGAGCATTGCACAAAGCACAAACTCTATAGCTCTGGTGATGATCCCCAGGGATCTATAAAGAAACTGCACTGGTCAATCGAACAACCAGGTCAGGAAATTATTGTCAGACCACAAGGTAAATAGCTGAACAGCTTCACTACAGAGACCGCGACTACTCTTATGTAAGAACAGAAATCACTAAAAACACTTCCCAATTACAGCTTACCATCATTTGCCTTTGGCAGACAAAAATAGGCAATTCTTTTCTTGTTAAGGCCAGTGTCCCAACGGACAACAATATTGTCCTGTGTCTGTGATTCTTTAAGCCGTTTGTCATAGTCTGCTTCCAGCTTGACAAGAGGCCCAAAAATATTCTGGTATTGGTAGGCATCATCATATCTGAGACAATAAAAGAGAAGGACACCATACCAGTGAGTCTCTGAACACAGATTCTACTACCTCTGACTTACTGTTATACACATGTTAACTGTTATTTCTTTACAAATAGCTTTGGGGTAAACAAAACAAATAAACAAAAAGAAGGAAAAGATGGTGGTGCAGATAGTTATGCCCGGTAACAGTACACAATTATTAGTATGTTATATATTATGTAAATTTATTATACAACTCATATAGTATAATTAGAGGAGCAGCTGGCCGAGTGGTTACAACGTCAGGCTCTCATATGGTAGAACTGGGCTCAACCCCAGGTAAGATCAGGGAGTTTTTCTGTTGGGCGCAAAATCCAACATCGTAACCTGCACAGTCCGTGGTGACAGCACTAGCCATGCGGACCTAGATTTTCATGCTCATGACCCCTTTGTTTACACCGCCCTAAAAAAGACAGTAGTTAAGTGGGGTTTTTTTGGGGGACAGTATAATAAAAAGGTCCTTTCTAAAACTCAGGGCAAAAGAAATAATAGGACACACACACAAAGAAGAAAAATAAGAACAGATAAATAATTTCTTTTTAAAACAAAGCTGCTGGAGAAAGCAAATGATAGGATGGCTTGGCCAGATTTGGCTGACAACCTATGCTCCACTGAGGAACACTGGGCAGACAAAAGAAGACTTACCTGAGCTGCACTTGTGTTGGTTCCTCATCCAACCCAGTTCTCTCCAAGTCTTCAAGTTTTGCATCTGGATTTTCCTTCAGATAAACATGTACAGTTAATCTAAACTAGAGGTACTTCTATAGTGTTACAAAGTATTAGACCTACTTCTTTTCTTCCTCTAGTTATTTCATCAAAGTGTTGGGGAAATCTAAGGATTTTCCTTGTCTCTCTTTCCAATGCACTGTGTAATTTAATCTCCATTTTTTTAAAGCTGACCCTTGATTCTGTTGTTCCGTATTTCGCATGGTCTTCCCCTTGCTCTGTGTTCATTATATGCCCTGAATGCGGCTCACTCTCTCTATTGATATGGTGAGGAATATCTTCTGTGTGCTCTTTCTAATGTGCTGTATAAGTTCATCATTATTTCTCTAATGCTGCCCTTGATGCTGTTGTTCCATATTTTGCACGGTCTTCATCTTTGCTCTGTGTTCATTATGTTTCTTTATCAGGGCTCTCTGTGGTAGTTGGTACCAGGGCATTTTTGTGGAATGGCCAAACCCTCCCATATTAGTCCTACACATATGGTAAATTACAACACAAGGCAAAACCATTCCTGCAATTACTGGAGATTGAACCATAAACCCTTGTGTTATAATATAATGCAAGAGCTGCTGGCCAGGTGGTTAAGACATTGGGCTTTCATGCAGGAGACCACAGTTTGACCCTTGGTAAGGGATGGACAATTGTTTCTGGTGGAGCTAAGATTTATAAAAACTTGACTTGCACAGTTCACTGCGAATGCACTAGCCACCCCCTAATCTTACTGCAATCACATTACTGCCTGTATTTACCACTTCTGCAGTGTAGGGTTGGGGGTGGAGTCCTTGAGCCTGAGAAGTAGGGGCTGCATGGGCTAGTGCAGTCACCACAGATTGTGCAGTTAAGGTTTTTATTTTTTCCCCCCTAAAAGAAAGAAATCCCCAACCTTACCAAGGATTCAAATCTGGGTCTTCCATTTGAGAGCCCTTTGTTTCCAGCCAGCCGCTCTACACTGTCTTAAAAGTGATAAATACAGGCAGTAAAGAGAGTTTTAACCCCCCAAACAAAGCAGGAACATTAACCGGTACAGGACCAAAATTACAGCGCTGTTTATTTTGTATAAAGGTAACCCAGGCTGTCGGAAAAGGAGTTTGTGAAGGTGTATGTGTCTATGGCCGGGTGCATGTTTCCCTTTAGGACAAGTGCATATATGACCACCAATAGCCTCTAGTTGCAGACCTTTGAAGACTGAGATCAAGAAAGACTTAGAAAGCAAGTATGCCAAACTCATGTCAGTTATGGAAGAAAAATGTGGAGGGGGTTTGTTTTTGCTCTAAAAGATAACATCAGTGTTGGCTGTAGGGGTTACATGGCTCCTTTGTGAGTGTGGGAAGAAAAAAACCATTACCCCCTAAGGAGCATGTTGTCCGAGTTGACTAATTAGAGATGTTTCCTCTGTCATTATTGTGTGTCTGCCTGAGAGACGAGGAACTAACAGTCTGCATAAGCAAGATCTGTAAAATGGATGTGCATGCAAATCTTAGGTTCTAGAAAAAGTCCAGAAGTGGACATTCAAGCTGAACTTTCTGCAGGACCCATCTATCTAGTAATCGTGAAGAAGAACATCAGGTGTAATGGCTACAAACTGATTTAGGCAGAATGACAAGATTATTTCCAACCAGTCAGGCTCTGTCGCCTCATAAACAGACCACTGTGAATATAATACTTTAAACATTTTATCACATGTTCACAAACAGTTTAAACTCTGGAGCCTACCTTCCACAATTCTTCTAACTTGTTGATCTGCTGGGCAGTGATCTGTCTAGCTCTCAGCTGATCTTGCTCACTGGGCACTTTGACAAGCCAGGACAGAAATGAGCGGTCATTTATTAGTGGCTGCCACTGGGCAGGATCCCTGTTAAATCAAACAGTAAAAACACTTTCAAACAATTGGTACACAGCATTTCTTCTCCGTTCCTCATCTGAGGCAAATGTAAAAAACCAACACTTCAAAGGCCAGTGTATCTGAATTCAGCATGCATGTCTAATATTTACTTCCTCTCGATAAACAAATTACAGTTAACTGCATTAGAGAGTTTTCCATGGCTAAATGGTTAGGACATTAGCCTCACGCTCTTAAGGTCATGGCTTTGGTTCATGAGCTGCATCCTTTGGTTAACAGAGGCAATTTTGCGTCCATTTCTGGGGTTCGTCGCTGAGGCCATGAATTTCATACTTTAGGCAATGCATCAGGTAGGGCTGGCCATTCTGCACAGAGAAACCGAGACACATGGGATAAAACACGGTGTTGATTCTCTGGACTTTCAAGCTAAATGAATTATTATAATGTAATGCTTTGGTTTAAAGATCACTTTCACTGCATATAAACATTTTCACTGGTATCTGTCTCTATCTTTAGATCACATATGGTGTCATTAAAGGTTTTAAAAAAAATTATTACTGGAAATTATATATATATATATATATATATATATATATATATATATATATATATATATATATATATATATATATATATATATATATATATATATATATATATATATATATATATATATATATATATATTGAGATAAGGATATAGTGGTGAATCCTAGGTAATTAAACTGGCTATAAAATACAAGACATTTTTTTAGAAGACACCTAAAAATATTATGGACAGAATAAAAAAAATAATCAGAAAGAAGCCATACCGCAAAGAAATTACAAGCTTTAGCATGTGAGAAATAGAAACCGAGTATATTGCCTCAAGTAGTTTAGACTCATGAAATGAGATGTACACGGCAGCAGCTTATTCCAGACATTGCTTTTGTGTGCTGAAAAAACAAGGGTTGTGGAGAAGATGACTAGCAAGTTTTGTGCAAGGCCAAGAAAAAGAAGTAACAGAATTGTCTAGATAACCGCATGTATTGAGTCATAATAACAAGAGAAGCCAAAAGTGAATACCAAATCAGGCACTTAGGTGGGAAATAAATAGACTGAAGAAATGGAGACATACAAGAGAAACCATAAGACGAACATTGCTGAGAGGGGCTCAAGGTGCTAGAATGGACTCTCTCAGTATCAACAAGATTTGACTTTATATAATTGAAAGAAGGACTAGCCTACGAGCCTCATGTGGTTTCTAATGGCCCAAAAGGATGATAATGATGGTGAAGAATGGTGATAATGAATAAAAAAAACTCAGTTCTGTGAACCAGGCAGGAGAGGTATGTTGGGCAGTTCTGTCAACTAGGCAGTAGAGGCATGTTTGGCAGGAACCAGTAATCCTAAGAATCAAACAGACACAAATTCTCTAACATGAAATGGCAACAACTTATAATATACTCACCAGTTCATGTCCTTAAAATTGCTGAGATTAGCACATGGGTGTCTACAAAGCAGAACAACCACAGACTCCGCCTTTGCCGGGATAAAGCCCAGGAGAAAAACATTTCGACAAGCACAGTTGTAGCACTCCAGAACAGTTTCTCCAAGAGGGCCATCTTTGTGTAGAGTAACCTCCTTAGCATTAGCTCTCACCAGATGGTTGATGATGTGGCTGATAACAACAATCATACAGAAAAGCATTATCAATTTAAGCTACACTAGTTAATATTAATAATAAATCTCCTTCCCCTTTCTTCAGCATTCTGAAATTCACTGCTGCAGGTATCATCCGCCTCCATTCAAGGCCCAGATTTCTGTTTCATGAGGAAATGATATTTTACAAACAGGGGGTTGTCGGCCCCGCACTTTAAACCCCAACCTGGAGAACCATGGTGCCTCTCTTTGGTCTATCCAGCTTGGGAGACCCTGCTGGTAGCTATGCTAACAAAGTATATAGCTCTCAAAGTCAATGAGAAACACAAGCTCCACCACCATGGCAATGTGGAGACACCTTTAGAGAGTGAATCATAAAAAATTACAAATAATTAAACTTCTTATCCCTTACTATGCCAACTTGTCCGATTTTGACTGTCCCTCTTCCCTGTGTGGGTTTTGGGGCAACAGAATAAACTAAGAATAGACCCATTGCCTCCCAAACAAGCAGAGATTTGACTAATTAGGGGTTTATTTCTAAGTCAGAGGGCATTTGCATGACAGGCAAGGAATCAAAAGTCTGCAAACAAATAATGTAAAATGGATATGCCCACAAAACTCAAGTTCTGGAACAAGTCCAGAAGTGAATGAACAACCAAAACTTTCCATTACAGTTTACAACCAGTGAACATGAAGACGAAGCTGAAAAATTTTATCTTTTTTTTTTTTTTTACTGTATAATATAATATGAGATATAATATAAACTATGTTAATCACCTGCCAGAAGTGTTGCCTCTCCCATTACAAAACCACTTTTTGGTCGAATTACAGTAGACCACACAAGCCGGATCATGAATGCCACAGTACCTGTAATAAAAAAAAAAAAACATTACATAAAGTATGCTATGTTCAATAATGACTCACTGACATTATAAAAACGAAGTACAAAATTGATTAAGAGAACATTAGAAAGATATCCACTATGAAAAATTTAGAAAAAATAAAAAAGAGACTTAAAAACAGTAATGCCTTGGTAACTTTTATACACATCTAATTGAAATACCAACTTGACTGTACTGAAAATCAGTGTTGAAAAAGTGTCTCCAGATCAAACAAGGTACTCAGGGTGTGCAGAAAGGTCAAAAGGCTTTGCATTTGTAATGGATTTAACACATACTAGTATATTTTAACTAGGGCTGTACTGAATAGTGATTTTCACTATTCGGCCGAATACGAATAGCATGACCAACTATTTGGCCGAATACGAATAGTGTATAGTGTATAAAAGGTATCTAAAAAAAAAAAAAAAACATTCATAATGTCAAACGTACGCTGAACTTTTACTTCACATAAAGTAGCACAGAATAGTCATCTTCTTCTTTAGCATTCTGAGCCTTTGAGGTTTACTGCTGTGGATATCACTCTCCATTCATCTCACTGGCTGGCCTTATCTTCACAATTTGTGACACCAGTTGTTTGCAGGTCTGGCTGGACATTATCTCTCGAACTTATTTTTTGTCTGTCTCGTGGTCTACGCCCATCCTCTCTCAGGTGTATACAGTTTTTACTTCTCTGTCATCTGACATTCTTTCAATATGCCCCAACCATTTTAGTCTGTTAGCTCTCATAATGCCAGTGATTAATCGTGATTTAAACAGATTATGTCTTACGTTGTTGCTTCTCACTTGCCACTCCCCGATATCAGCATCACGGATGGGTCCAAAGATTTATCAGAAGTCGGTTTTCGAAAACCTGTAATAAGGCATCTCTTTTATTTCTGCTTCAAGTTTCAGAGCCATATAAAACGACTGGTCTTTTTAACGTTTTATATAATTTGATCTTGGTTTTGCGAGACAGACACTTTGACTTTAGCAGACATTGAAGGGCATATTACACTTTATTTCTAGATTGTATTCTAGATTGTATTTCTTCTCTCAGCATGTTGGAGCAGTTGAAGTTTGCACCCAAATACTTATGTTTCCGTTTGTTTGATTTTCATATTATGGACTTGTATGTGGCTGAAGTTTATATTCTTTCCATGTCTAGTTTGTATTCGCACAGAATAGTAAATATTTTAAAATATTTTAAGTTCTGTACCCTTCAGTCGGTCTGTGGTAACTAATAACTAGGATTGAAAGAATCCTATGTATTATAACAAGTAACTAAACTTTGAATTACGACGTGCGAAATGAGATGCTTACGTAAGGCTGCCAATGTCACAAGGAGAGACAGAGTTCGAAACGAGAATATTAGAGCAATTGTAGGAACCACACCATGCCTGCAATACATAAAGAAGCAACAAATAGAGTGGTTTGGCCACTTGATGCGAATGCAAACCGACCAACTGCCTCTACGAGCATACAACGAACAGCACTACTGCCCTAGAGCAAGAGGCAGACCGAGAGTACGATGGATAGACAATATATCAGAGATCCTGAAGCAACACGGACTAACAACAACACGTGCAACACACCTGGCCCAGGATAGAAAACTGCGACTCCCCACTACGCTGTGAGGCAATTGTGGACAAGACAAGACAACTAAACTTTGAAATTGTCACTGACAGCTTAGTTAATGCAGGAAAGCTGCATTAGCTTTTAACAAAACCAATCATTCCATGTTGTCAGCATTAAGGCCGTGTATGCAGAAGCGGTAGTAAGGTAACTACTATTCGTATTCGGCCCGACCGCAACTATTCGGCCAAATACCGAATAGTCAATAAGCTCACTATTCGGCCCCGAGGCGAATATTCGGTACAGCTCTAATTTTAACCTGATTTGAAATTTTAATTATGCAACAGCTTCGAGGAGAAAACATCCAAAACTGGATTTGTGTGAGACAAATCCCTTTCATTTTCTGAAGAAATAATCTATGAGATTTGTATAAGAGAAACCTCTTTCCTTTTCTGAAACAAACATCCACAACCAGACTTGGAACTTGGCACTTTCAAATTTACAGATGGATTTCACTGCCCTAAGCTAGTGTTTCCGAAACTTTTCTTAGTCGCTGTGCCTTTTTTCAATTACAATTTTTTCTCGCCGCCGTAACCTAAGTAAAAGTATGACTATTCGTATGCAAGAGATTTTTTAAAAATTTCAAAAACTTGTGTATCTTCTAATATTTTGCGACGCCCCTGTGAAGAGGTCAGGGCTCCTCAGGACGTCACGGCACATTTTGGGAATCACTGCCCTAAGCCATTGTTTCTTGTTAGCAGCCAGATGCAGAACATGTTACACAAATGCCAGATCTAGCCAACACACATTCTAAGAGTTACAAGGACTACTGCCTGCACTTATCACTTACGAGCAAGCATGACTGGGCAGGTCTTTCATGTAGAACTGATTCTCTTCCAGCTCCTCTTCAAAGTTGAGTTCTCCCACACCCTGGGTAATTGTCGATATGGTGATGTCATTGCCATTCTCCACAATGTGATCTATTCCATTCACCTATACAAAATAGCAAAAATTTAAAAATATATATTATTTGACTGTTCAAAACCAAACAATTCACTAAACATTTCAAAACCAAACAATTCACTAAACAATTCAAAGTTGCTTCAAATATAATATACTGTACTTTCTTCCTTCTTTCCCAGTCACCTGTTTTTGTTACATCAACCCACTCTATCCAAAATGATAATTTAACAATTTCTGTCCCATCTGTAATTTCCAGACCCAAACATTTATTACTTTCAATTTTAACCCCTTTGTTACAATGCCTGGACAAAGCTAAGAAAAAGACATATCACTGAATAAATCTCAAATATATTTGTATAAAATCCAGAATTAGATAAGCAGCCAGGACTTTCCACATCAGATTCTAGCCAGCAAATGGGAATGAAGAAGAATAATAATATCCTCATCCAGTGCTTTTTATTTTCCTGGTGGTGTGCAGACTGGCACCTTTTTTTAGCTTAAATTTGTTCAGTGCTACTGTAGTAGATAGACATTTTGTGGTGAGTACAAGCAGCTTGCTTTCTAGAAAGAAAATCCCTGCTCACATCCATCTGTCGTAATTAGGGAAGCAAGGAACAGTAACAATAAAACCTACTGTATATTATAAGAGATGAATGGAAATCTGTGTGAGAATGGCTACTTTCCTGCAGAAAACTAGCTGCAAACTCCAACCAGACATGGACATATCTACAAAGTTTTTGCTGACTGTGAGCATTTGCTGAAAGGCAGAAGAGGTAACAAAAAGAGTATCTACTTCTGTATTTCTAAATAAGTTTTCAGTAAGTAGGTTAATGACATGACTGAAATGTCGGTCTACATGCTGGAAGCCCCTGGATATTTCTCTAACACTGGGATGGCGGGAGGGTGTCTTGATTCTGAGTGATCATTAGTAACTGTTAATATATTTCAATTTAACTGGCTGTTGGTTTTTGTTTATTGCCCTTTATTATTTCACACGTGATTCGTTTTATCAAAATCATGGTGAATACCAATAAGTGCAGTGGTTATGATTCGTTCTATTACATAATTACTAGTCTTTGTGGCTTAGGTGTTGCGAATGTGCTTCGTAATGCCAGGTTGCTGGGTTCGATCCCAACTGCGGGCCTTGCGTTGGTTTTGATAGTGGTATCAAGAAGCTACCGTCCAGAAAGCAGTGGACTGGACGTAAATTTGCCTAGAAAAACCACAATGCCAAAACATGCTGGGGTTGCTTCTGCCCCCATCTTGTCCTACACATGCCATCCAGTCATTTATCCTTTTGTTTGTACTTGCTCTTTTCTCCCAACATGGCCAGAAATACCTGTCGACCATATATATCTCAAACAATTTGTTGTTGTTTTCTTTACAAGACTACCTTAATCATTTTTCTGTCCATCTATTGTATTCTGTGCTTTATTCCTCAGAAACTACATTTAAGCTGCTGCTACAAGCTTGTCCTGTGTGAGTTTTTTCTTAACGTAAACTGTAAACTGACAGAAAGTCCTTGTTGTCTTCATTCTGGACTCTCATTTTTTTCCCAGAATTTGAGTTTCATGTGCACATCTAATTTTACAGATCTAGCCTACGTGTAGGCAAAATGATGGCTCCTCGCCTCTCAAGCAGATGCACACTCACTTCAAAGGAAAACACTTCTAATTAGTAACCTTTAACACTTCTGACCCCCTCCCCCCCCCCCCCAAAGTGTGGAGTTCCAGGACACACAAGAGGGAGATTGTTTAATGTCCATGTTTTACATCTATACAATAGTATATGCACACAGTTACATTATTCTCACTCTTACATTTTCAGCTGCTACAATCAATGTTTTCACATTTTCAACCGCTACAACTAATGTTTTCACATTTTAAAATGCTTCAATTAATGTTTTCACATTTTCAGCTGCCACAGTTAAAGTTCTTACATTTTAAGCTTCTACAACTAATGTTTTCAAATGCTAAAACTAAAGTTTTTATTGGTGTGTATATTTCATCTTGAAAAAGACTATTTTTGCTATGGTAATTCTTATTCTATTCTCTACAGGGCATCTTCTGCCAGATATTGTTGTTCCAACACAGCTGTACTGATCTGCCCATTTAAAAAAGTTACCAGTTACCTGAATGTTATATAGTGTGGCTATCTTCCAAATAATGGCCACATATTATGGCAGCCACAAAAACACCCTAACAGGGCCTCAGTCACTTGTAAATTGCCCACTCCTGCCACCGCCGAGAGTATCTACCACGCCGCTACGCGCGGCGTGGATTCGGGCTAACCTGGATGACTGGGACTCATGAGCAACAACTTCCGCATCTCCTGCAGCTTTGATCGTGAGTCCCAGCCATCCAGTTTAGTCCCAATCCACGCCGTGCGTAGCGGCCGGGAAGATACTCTTGGCGGTGGCGGTAGTCGCCGAAAGTGCGCAATTTAAGTCGCAGGAAGTCTGCAATTTACATGTGACTGAGGATCTGCTTTTAGCCGCCCTAATATGTGGCCATTATTCGGAGGATAGCCTAGGCTCTCCTCCGAACCGCGTCATAATATTATGGCGCCATACAATATCCAAAAATATTCTTACGGGGCTCAGTTCTATTAAAAATATGCTGGCTAAGTATGATGAAACAAATGCTCTAACAGGGTCTTAGCGATATGTTACTTGCTGACCTGTTTCTGTGACCGTATCACCCGCGCCGCGGATGGGGGCTAAACTAGATGGCTGGGACTCACGAGCAGCAGCTACCGCATCTCCTGCAACTTCCTCCAATTAATTTGCTCGTGAGTCCCAGGCACCTAGTTTAGCCCCCCATCCGCGCCGCTACGCTCGGCGGTGAGTTTAATCGCGTTTGGCGCATGCCGAAAACCATACCAGTTTGTCATTACTCGATACTGGTCGGCAGGTCTGACATCTACCGCTGCTAAATCCTCAATCTGCGTGGGAGTGGGTACTCTACCCACCATATCGCTTTCATCATCTGTAATGTCTCGACATTGTCAACGGTCGCTACTATCGTCTGCAGACACGCTCGAAATTGTCAAAGGTCGCTATTATCGTCTGCTACTATCGTCAGCAATGTTGCGTCTGTTGAAATTGTCAAGTAATCCTAGTTTTGCCGCAATGTTCCTTGGCAGAAAGTCCACATTTTACATATGCCTGAACCCCGTAAGGATATTTTATGTCTGCCATAATATGATGACGCCGTTCGGAGGAGAGCCTAGTCTAGTGTTATTTCTTCCTTGTGAGAAATTACTATAATTTATGTTTTCATACAACTTTATTCCAAACCTAGTTTTTCACTGTTTACAATAACAATAATGGGCATATGATGCTAATTCAACACACACAAATTAAAGGACCCTGTTCATGCCAGCGTTTTACTGCTAGAACTATAATTTTACAAGGAGTAGCCTAATGGCGCTGCCCAAGCAACAATTTGGAGTTTAAAATCTACCCAAAATATTGCAGGATCCTCGCCGGTGCAATGGAGTTCATGCAATACGCAGAGACTCATCAGACTGAGGCTTGAGTTGGAAGTAGAGTGGAGCACTTACGGGTTACACCTGTGTGCCATTATCTTGATCCGTCAAAAACATAAACATGTGGTAAACATCAGACTGGCCACTTTTACCTCCCATTTTAGGCTGGGTCAACCAAGAAACAGATACATTATCTCAGTCTAAAGGGCAACGGAAATACTGAAGGCTCAACACTGCACTCTGAAAGCTAAACTTGTTAAAAGAAATGTTCTTGTACATATTCTGAACAGAAGCTACTCAAAAGGAATGCCTACTATATATCAAATTCCAGCTAATATATGTTTGTTGTTTTCTACTTATAAGATATATATGTTTCAGCTCCACCCAGAGTTGTTTTTTTACTCAGAAGATATATATTATATGAGTAAGCCCTGTAAGCTTAGCCCACTTTAACCACACGACGCTGATGAATATGTTGAGAGGGGAGCACCTCTATGGATGTGTCCAGAGTGGTGTGAAGATTAACTCATAACTCATGTTTCTTCTCATAAGATATACAGGAATAAGCTCCACCCAGTTATGTTTGTTGATTTCTACTCATGAGAAGTACTTTAAACTCATTAGATTGCACCCAGTTGTATATGTTTGTTGTCTCTCTACTGTCTGCTCCTAAGAAATATATTTTTAACTTGTTAAGCTCTGGTAAGTTATGTATGTTTGTTGTTTCCTACTTCTTCTTGTGTTCGCTTTCTGATTTATACCAACAGACAAGTTCTTGTGAGAATCTTGATGCTTTCTACTCATATGAAATATATTTTTAATTCCTAAAGCTGTGTCCAGTTAAGTTAAACTACATCTGTTCTCTAGCTGTTACTGTAACTTCTTCCTCTGGTGTTACACTTGTAACTGCTTCAGAATTTATTAGTTAAAGGTAACATACCTACCTGGGATTCCGAATTCGGTTGATAGTAGACATTTTAATTTTACTAAAATGACAAGTAATCTAAACTCAGTGATTAACTGTTACGAGAAATGGCGTTTCACATTGGTGAGAACAACAATGTTAAGTTTCACATTGGTGAGAACAAAAATGATAAGTTTCCCATCTCCTAGACAACAAACGAAAAAAGTGATTTAGGGAATTTAATAAAACAGCGACAATCGCACCTGGCTTTGTGTCTGACTGGCGTTCATGTCATGGTGAGACTGGGTCTGTGATTGCGTCTGAGAAGGAAGAGTGAAATCGATGAATTCATATTCCGACCCCTGAGTATCAGCTCCTAGTAAATCCGTTTCCTCCGTCTCCAAAAATGTCAACGTCTGTGAGCTGGGTCCATACGCATCAACGCTCATCTTAATAACCTATTTTCAAGTATTAAAATTTTAAATGTTCTCGCAAATTCTTGACTCTAGCGACCACGTTCGTGATGTAAATTGTAATATAATTCAGCTGTAGATCTTCATTGACTGAAATTCTTCCACCTGGGACACTTCTGATTGATTTCTAAAAAAATGAAGTGTTAATATTGTGGGCATGCCCAATTAAGACGACATTGGGTCTGTAAATCGAACAACGGCGACGTTCCAACGACGACGACGATCACGGGTGAGTCTGTTGAAGAAATGATCGCCCTGCCTGAGCACTTGCAGACGGACAAGATTGGCCTAGCAGCTGACGTCAGTCCACACAGAGACAGCGATCCCCACTCTTCACGATCGGCACAACTTTTGATTACGCCATAAGGGGTGAAACGCAATGCCAGGTTGGCATTTTTCGTGGAAATGAGTATACTTTTTTTTTCATCCTAGAAACTAATTGCGCTGTGCTCGTTTACAGCATGGCTGCGATATTTCTTCTTCTTGTCGTTCACCAGCAGTAAACTCCGGTGGAAAATTATGGCTGTTTGTGTGGTTCTGGGCTTTGAAATTGATTTTTGCGTCCACATTCGTTTTACAGATTTGGCGTATTTGTATGCATAGTATTGTTTCCTCATCTCTCCGATAGATGCAATCCGACTTAAAACAGCCACAATTAGTCGTCATTTACATCATGCTTGTTAGGGAGCACTCAAAATGGGCCTCACACGACAAGTATGGAGTTGAAAAAAAGTGTCATGTGCAATGGCAGCAACTTTTCCTCTCCTCTCGATTTGAACAACATATGTCAAATATATGTCAAAGAAATAATTGGTGAAAATGTGGAGAGGGAATGTGGTCAGCTGCAGCAATGCCTGTGGTTAGGACGAATCTGAGGGTTTTCTGGTATACAATAAAGAGGCAAAAGAACATTCATGTGTGAGGACCAACATTTCCGTTTTCTGACAATTTAACTCTAAGCCTTGTTTCTCACTGTGAACTATTACATCTACTAAATACTGCAGATCTAATAAATGTATACAACTGTGTGTGTGTAGATCTTATAGTTGAGAAACTAGTACATGTTACATTTATCTCTTTTAACAGTGCTTTCTCTTTTACTGTTCACTGAGTTTATGCACTCCTTCCGCTTCTATTTCTTCTTCTTCTTCTTCCTTTATCCCCCAGTGGCGCATAATTTCCACATTTCGTCTTATCGTTTGCTATCGATTGCATCTCACCCTGCCCTCCCCAACCCTTTTCACTTCTTTCTCTAATTATTTTTTCTCCGTGTCATTTTCCCCTTTGCCTTTATGCCTTCACCTCGGTAGGACACTCTAGTTCAGTGGTTATCAACCTTCCTAGTGCAGCGACCATTTAATACAGTTCCTCGTATTGTAGCGACCACTAACCATAATTTTTGTATGCTACTTCATAATCTCAATTAATATGTGTTTTCCAATAGTCGTAGGCGACCCCTGTGAAACGGTCGTTCGACCCCAAAATAGGTCGCGACCCACAAGTTGAGAACTGCTGCACTAGTTGTACCGTGTTTTTGTTTTGCCAGCGTCTTTTTCTAACCTCTTTTTTTTTACTAATGTTTTTCTTGCAAGATTGCAAGCCTAGAAGCACTTGGAAGGACTTTTGCAGATGATATACTTGCATATGGGCAGGGGGAAGAGAGGGAACAAACAGCCCGGGAGATACAAGCAACAGTAGACAAAGTGACTGAGTGGTGTACAGAAATGAGGACTGTCGTCCACCCGAAAAAGCGTCTGTTGTGTGGTGTTCTCTAGACAACAGGAACGTTAGAGCTAATGTTCCAAGTCTCACGATAGATGGTAGAAATATCAACAGAGAGAGAGAGCAATCTGAAGTATCTGGGAATTACATTTGACAGGAGCCTGTCCTTTAAGGAAAATATGGAGAGTGTTGTGACACGATGTCAAAAAGGATTGAATGTACTAAAGACTATGGGTGTAATTGACATAGAGCAGAGAACGCTTTTCAAACTATATCAGCACCTGATTCTGTCAGCGGTTGATTAGGGCATGGGACTGCTTACCGTCTCAAAGAGTCAGATGGAAAAACTAGAGCCCATACAGAACGCAGCTATGCAGGTCATTCTGGGTTGCACCAGAGACACCACAATGGTATGTATGCGATACATCCTTCGTTTGCAGACTGTTGCAGGTAGGCACAATGTGCTGTAGGTGAAGTCATATTTCAAGGTAGCTGCAGACACAGGTCACCCTTTGATTGGAGCTCTGGGTGCATTTAAGGGTCAGAGGCTGATAAGAGGCAAGTCATGGATGGCTCAGGCAGAAGACACAATCAGACAGATTTACATCCTTGAGAACATTGGCGAGGAGAGGAGTGGGCCAAAGTGCCACCCGAACAGTTAGACTTGTGTAGGGTCATAATCACAATGAGCCGGGAATGCAGAGACTGGCCAGCAGGTGTCACGGGGAAGGAAATTCAGCAATTAATTCAAAATAATGCTTGCTCAGAGGATTTGATAATTTACACAGACGGTTCAGTGTCAAGAGGCAAAAGAAGTGCTAGAAGTTTCTTAGCAAAAGTTAATGGTCGACGTGCAGCTTTCCACTGGCTTGAGAACATGACACACACACACAAACACACACACACACGCACGCACGCACGCACACACACACCACACAAAAATCGTGTTTGTGACTGTTTAAGAAAGCATGCTGAGGAAAGTCGTGCTTCACTGTGGAGGACACAGGTGAGGAGTATTGTCTGGATTTTTTTTTTTCACCGGGATACGCCGGTGTGTTAAGAAATCAGCCGGTGGACATACTAGCTGGCTCTGCACAAATTGGTGGAATACTGATGCATGATAACTGAGACATGGTTAGTGCATTGTTGGAGAACGTGTGCAGTTCCGAGGAGCAGATGGATCTCCACAGTCTGGTGAGATTGATTCAGCAGGGAGTGACGAGAGGTTTTGGCAGATGCTCGAGGCTCAGAGGAAAGGCAAGACGGACGTTTAATCAGAATGATACTCTCCCTATTAGTATCGGAACTTTTCACTGGCTGCTGAGGATGGGGACGGGGCGCTTATGGAAATGCCCCGAGTGCTATGATGTCGATTCTTGAATCAACTCAACTCAGACGAGCTAGCAAAAGCTGGGAGCAATCTCCCACAGCCTCATCCACCTTAGAGGTTTACACACAAAAAAAAAACGGCCCTACATCAGCCATTCAAGTGGGAGTTTAGAAAACAGAATGGAGACTAAAGACCGGAGAGTGACAGTATCAGCTCAGAGGAAAGGCAAGACGGATGTTTAATCAGAATGCTGCTGGCACCATTAGTATCGGAACTCTTCGCTGGCTGTTGAAGATGGGGATGGAGCGCTTATGGGAATGCCCCGAGTGCTGTGATGTCGGTTCTTGAATAAAATCGAATCAATCATCAACGTTCGCTCTAGGATTTCTCTTGAACATCTCGCTTCCGCACCCCCCGCCCCCCAACTGGACCTTTTGTCCGGGGCTAATGGGCTGCTAATGCGATTTGTAATCCTAAAGTACTCGGTTGGATTCCAGATGTGGACGATTTGGCAGGTAACTGCTTTTTGCTGATTTCGACAATTATATGTAGCGCTGGCCGTTCAAAAAGCAATAGCAAACTACTGAACGGAGATTTACCTAGAAAAAAACATAAGGAGTCAGGAGGTGCTGGAATTGCTTCTGAGGCGTCGCGCAAAGGACATTTGAAAAAACGAGCTTTGAGCATCATTTTGTTGTTGTTGTAAAATATCTCCTACTACCAAAAACAGATAGTGACAGCCTACCTGGCACACCGAAGTGTTCTAGATCAGGGTTCTTCACCCTACGGCGTGCAGCTTATTGATGGGTCATGAAAAAATCCAGGTGTCTTCTGGTGTCACTCATGTGTGCAAATATAAATTGCAGTCATCGTCTTAGATATCACTAGAATATGATTATATCCATCTATGAGCTATAGAGTTACCAGATTGTGGGTCTTTTACCTACTTTAAACCTGTGTGAAAAGAGGTTCTCACCATGTTAGAAGTATATAAAAAAAACATTTCAATATAATTTTGTTATTGCATCGCTTCTGATATAAGAAAAAACGCCCCGGCAATATGTATGTAAGATTTTCTAACCTTTAGGAAGATGATGTCGCATTAGCTAAAAATTTTAATTTTCCGTAATTGTCACTGACTCACAGAGTGTGTTGAGAAAGGTGGAGACAGGCATGCTCCGTGCAGAGCTGCAAGCATAGCTTTAGAGGTCCCGTGTAGTTAGAGTCCTTTTGATATTTTCTCCAGGTATACTGGTGTGCTGGGAAACGATCAAAAAGACTGGCCGGCTCTGCACCACTGAGTGGCTAGATGTTGTTTGGGAGCAAGTGAAAAGGGCGAAGAAACAAATAGATCATCACGGTATGAGGAGGATGGCGCTGCGGGGAGTTACTATGAAATTAGGCCGATGTTCAAGTGAAAGGCTAGAAGGATGTACAATTAGACAGTTACTGGTACCATCGGAACTGAAACTCTTCACTTGCTGTTGGAGATAGGGACGGGGCGCTCTTGGTAGTGTCCAGATCGCTATGATGTCGATTCTTAATTCAGCTTTCAGCATACAATTTTAATTTTGCGACACTGGGGCGAGGAAATAAACTCCTATGTACATGTTTTTGTTTGTTTGTGGTTTTTGTGTTGATTAGCTTTCTTGCGGGCACAAATAAAATTGTCCATGTTTTGATGGGCCGTGAGAGTCAAAAAGGTTGAGGAACACTGTTTAATAGATACTAGGGTAGTTAACTTTAGTAATTCTGCGAATGGAGGTCCCGTAAATCGCGGGAGATCCGTCAGCACTTCTTCCCAGAGAGGTTCAGCACAATATTTATGACTGGACACAATTATATGGATGTGTTATGTCCTGTTGCACTTAGATATATCATTCATAAACAGCATAATTTATATTTGACTGATATTAATATTTGTACCGACTGGGCTGGCTTCAAGTCAGTCAGTTCTTCAAAAAACAAAAAAACCTTCACTTATTGTCTTAAATAACGATAACGTGACTTTAACTTGACTCTCAGTCAAACAACAGCGATTCGACAACCGGTGAGCATTTTTGTTTTTGTTTGCTTAGAAACAAGCAGTAAAACCAATAACTTGTTTTTAATGGAAGATGGGAAGAGACTTAGTAGATGCTGACGAAAATTAATTTATCTATAGCCTTTTTTACCCAGTAAGAATTCTTAATTTCAGTGGTCAGTGTATTGGATTTGTGTGGTATTTTTTTTAATATATGCGATGAACTTGAAGTCTCCATAGTCGCAACGTTCACGTTGTGTTGTTATATTGTGAAGCTTGCTAAAATACTTTTCTCAAGTTTCAATCTGAACTGAACTAAGCAAAGATTAACCCTTTGGAGATGGAGACTTATTATTTGGAGTTGGCTATCCTCCGAATAACGGTCCTAAATTATCGAGGCGGAAAATATACTCTAACAGAGCCTCAGTCACATGCTATTGCGCACTTCCGGGGACTATAACGCCACCGACGAATTGCTAACTTCCAGGGACTATACCGCCACCGACGAGAGTACCCCCCCCCCCCACGCCGCTCACGTTGCGTGGATTGGGGCTAAACTAGATGGCTAGGACTCATGAGCAAATAAAATGGAGGAAGCTGCAGGAGATGGGGTAGCTGCTGCTCTTGAGTCCCAGCCATCTAGTTTAGCCCCAATCCACGCCGCATGAGCGGCGTTGGGGATACTCTAGGCGGTGGCAGAAGTCGCCAGAAGTGCGCAATTAAAGATGAAGGAAGTGTGCAATTGACACGTGACTGAGGCCCTGTTAGGGTATATTTTCCGCCTCGATAATTTAGGACCGTTATTTGGAGTATAGCCTTTGGAGTTCAGTTTGGTGCCAAGAAGAGGCATCTCTTAATTTGCACACACACAATTATTTTTTAAAAATCGGGCTATCCTCCGAATAACTTAATATGGCGGTCAAAAACAGGGCCTCATTCACATGTAAATTGCAGACTTTCGGCTACTATAGTGCCACTGCCAAGAGTATCCTCGCGCCACTACGTGCAGAGCGGGGCTCAAACTAGATTGCTGGGACTCATGAGTACAGCTGCAGGAGATGCAGAAGCTGCTGCTCGTGAGTCCCAGCCATCTAGTTTAGCCCCGCTGCACGCTGCTCGGGAGATACTCTTGGCGGTATAGTTGCCAGTCTGCAATTTAATTGCCATCCGCAATTTACATGTGGCTGAGGCTCGCTTCCTTCGAAGGTCACAGGGCCACTGGCATCATTGGTACTGGAACTATGCGCTGGCTGCTGAAGATGGGAACGGAGTGCTTCTGGGAATGCCTCGAGTGCTGTCATGTAGGTTCTTGAATTAGCTTAACTCAACTGTAAGTTAGTTCATGATAGTTTGGACTTTGCTGCTAAATTTGCCAAAGATGATTTTAATTTTTTCAAGTGTCTTTCACGAGCCCATTTAATCGATGACCATAGAAATCTTACATAAAGTGTGATGTTAATGGGACATTTTGTCAGGTATATTTTCTGATAGTTAACGTGGATACACAATGAAATCTCAGATAAAAAGGCCCCTCTGTCAGGCATGTTTATTATTTCTCTTTTACCAGACATGGCATCGACTTCAAAGAAGACACCAGTAGAACTGACAGCAGCACAGAAAGCAAGGATTGAAAGAAACAAAAACAAAGCTTTGCTTTTGAGACAGTCACGCATAACAAAAAGACCACACACCAGAGGCCAGACTAGGTAAAATACATTTAATTTGTCCATTACATCTTAAGAGAAATGTACCAATCTACTAACTTGTATATTGTGCCCCTCACATTTCACCTCTGATTTGTCTGATTTTTGCTAGATAAATAATCAATCCATTCTCATTTCCAGAGGTTGACCAAAGATCTGCTGTGTTTAATTGTTAGAATTTTGTTTTCCCCGTGTGTGTTCCGGGGCCTTATAGGGAAAACAAGAATAGACCAACTGCCTATCCAAAAGCATGGCGTAAGAGTCAACTAATTGGGAACTTCCTTCGAAATCAGAGTGCATCTGCCTGAGAGGCAAGGAACCAGCAGTCTGCATACAAATGAGTCAGATCTGTTGAACGGATGCACACGCAACACTCAGGTTCTGGAACAGGTCTACAGTCCAGAACTTTCCGTCAGTTTACAGCTAATGAACACAAAGAGGAAGAAGATTTTTGTTTTAGTTGAAGCATAGGCCATCAGCGAACATAAACCGAATTAGTCCCTCCTTTGCCATTTCATGCAGCTTATTCTATATTTCTCTCCATATGATTCATCTCTCTCTCTCTCTCTCTCTCTCTCTCTCTCTCTCTCTCTCTCTCTCTCTCTCTCTCTCTCTCTCTCTCTCTCTCTCTCCCTCCCCCCCCCAAGTGTTTTAAGGTCTTCTTTGATATCTTTTACCCTGTGGGTTCCACTGCAGTGGCCTTCTAGTTATGTTGTCAGATTTTTTTGTCATTGGTTTCCTAAACCACTTGATTCACTAAAATGTATTTAGTTCTTTCCTTCAGCTCTGCATGAATGATTCTGTTACACGGTTTAATTGGTCTGTTTTGTGCAGTATCAGTTAATAAATGTTTGTACTTTGTTCACAGTTGTTTAACTCGTTCTTCATGTACTGATGTATGTAGTAGTACTGATTTGTGACTTAGTTATTAACTTTTCCTCAAATTATATCTTTCAGTGATATGGAAAGCAAAGTGAAGAGAGCACCCATTGAAATTGATACGCACGCTGGGTTTTTTCTGGAAGAACCAGACGGAATCATCAGCAGTAACAAGACTGTTACATATGAGGCACCAAAAATTATTCACGAACCAGGTAATAATATATTACGTTTAAAATAATTTAGTTGGGGTATTTTGCTCAGTATTTCAGATTACAAATAATTTAGTTAGAGCATTTTGCTTCTTGGTATTGCATTAAAAATGAAGGGTAATGGAGTTTGAGATTCTGTATTATTATGTGTAGCTGCGCTAAAGTCAAGTATAGCCCTGCTGAGTCTGCTTAGTGTTCACAGATTGAAAATTGCAATGAAGCGTTCAGGTTGTTCTTCCAGTTCCTGGACTTTATTCTTGTTGCACTACTTGTTTTTTTTTTTTGCATGCACATCCATTTGACAGATCTGGCTTACTTGTATGTAGACTGTTGGTTCCTCGCTCCAACTTGAAAGGAAAATCCCTTAATTAGTCACCTTTATGACATGCTAGCTATGGAGGCAGTGGGTCTATCCCCACCCCTCCCCGTGGGGTCTAGGAACCCACATAGTCATTTGTATGTAGTTATGTATGCTTTGAATATTTTTTTTAGTGTTTCAGGTGAAAATTTAAATTCTTAAGAAATATATAGAGCCAGTCCTAATGTATATATGTAACTTATGTACAGTCAACCGATTGGTGAAACAGTGTGTCAAAGCTGCAGATGTGTGCTTGTATAAATGAATCATGAGAGCACCATGGACAGATAAAAAGAAGAATTAAGATGAAATTGACATACAAAAAGAACAGATGGTCAGATAAAAAGTAGAATGAAGATTACCTGAAAGAAATCAACTTATAGAAAGAACAGATGAAAAGTAGAATGAAGATGACTTGAAAGAAATTAACTTACAAAAAGAACATGTTTGCATCATAATGTGCCTTACATTCTACAATTGCAGACTCATTGGAATACAGGAAAGATGAAACTTCTGTACCAGTGGCTCGAACATTTAAGTTTGACTAGGGAAAATGTCCAGAGAAAATTATCTTTCAGAGTTCTCTAGTCCTGGAGTGAGGAATTAGATGATCAGAATGCCTACTACTTATTTTTAAAGACATGCTGTAGGCCTATTATCTAACTGGGTTGTCCTCACTATTACCATATTGCCCCAAGAAACTTTAAACCTGACAGAGACCTCTTTCAGCATTCCTACAGGCACATGATTATTGTACATTTTTATAACCAAAAGATTGTTCAAATAAAATGTATGTTATTTTAAATAGATGAATCTCTCTTATTATTTCTTTTCATATTTATCTCTTTCCATTTTACAATTTACAAAACATGTTACACTATACAACTGAATTACTATCTGTTTAAATTCTATTAATTGCCTCAGGATATACTATACTAAACAAAATTCAAGTTAGATAAAAATTTCCTAATGATCTCTTTATAGACATAAGGTTTCATTGCTGAATTTGGAACTTCATTTCTTAGGAACTCATTGCAGTCACTTTGATTGTGATTGCCATTGCACTTTTTTGGTTTTCTCTGGAGAATGTTTCATAGTTTGCAGGCGGATGTTCATCTAGTTGGAGTTTGGAACTGTGATTTTCCATTTCAATTTACTTCAGACATTGGATTTCATGTGGTAATGTTTGAGTATCGCTTTCAAGCATCAGACCTGTCTCAGCAGCAACTTCACCTTCTGATCTTACTTTTTATTTCTTTAGACTCCTCCGATTTGGACCCTTCTGCTTGATGGCTTGCACACAAATGCGCTACTTGGTTAGGGGTTGGGACGAATAAAGTTTTATTTTAGTCCCATCACAGATTGGTTGCCTAATGAAAACCTTGACGTAATTATTGTGTCATTTATGTTCAGAAATTGGCAATATCAGAAGCAGACAATAATCTACATTCTTCTTCTTCTTCGCGTTCACCAGCTGTAAACTCTGGCAGATTGTTCTGGTTGTTCACACACTTCTGGACTGCAGTCCTGTTCCAGAACCTGGGTGTTGCGTGTGCCTCCACTTTACAGATCTGACTCATTGACCATGACTGCTGGTTCCTTGCCTCTCAGTCAGATGCACTCCGACTTCGAAGGAAGGTCCCACTTAGTCAACTCTTACAACATGCTTTTGGGTAGGCAGCAGGTCTATTCTTCTTTTCCCTATAATAGGGCCCGGAAACCCACACAGGGAACAATCTACATTATTTGGTCCTACACTCATGAAAAGTACAAAAATCCAGTACGTCGTTACAGTAGAAAAGTTGAAGGAAAAGAGATGCTGTCAGTCAGTCAGTCATTTACATGTCCTTTGCAGAACCTTGCTCTCATAAAAACCCTCCAGAAAACTTCTCGATCACAAGCAAGATGTCCCGCTACCGATACACCAATCTTGAGATCATCTGCAACCATCTTCTCTTTGGCCTTCCTCTTCATCTCTTCCCAGGTATATACCCCTCCATTTTTGTTCTCTCCAAACTTTCATGATGTTTCAAGTGACCAGAATATTTCAATTTTCTGTGTTTTATCACCTTTAATAGCCAATCTTGTTAATTGTTCAGTTCTTGAAGAATGGATGCATTTGTTCTTTTCTTTACCCATGATATTTTTTAAACCCGTCTATAACATTGTATTCAAAGGCATTTATGTGCTGTTTAGCTGTTTTAGTAAGTGTCCAGGTCTCACCAGCGTATGTTGCAACGGAAAAGATGCATTCTCTTAGAAATCTAATTTTTGTAGTGCTGTCTGTCCCACTCCATAATTTATTCAATAGTTTTAGTCTTTAAAGAGCTGTTGATAGTCACCGTTTAATTTCTTTCATTGTGTCATCATTGATGGTAATAAATGACCCAAGATATACTGAGAGAGGCTGAGAGAGACCAAAAAGAAGCTGGCCAGCATGTGATTCATCTGTTAGAGATGATTGAAAGTACATGAGACAGAAAGCTATGAACAGACATGACTGCCAGTGCTAAATAGCAAATAGCATAGTCTTCTGTGTTGTAAACTTTTCTCATAAATCTTTCTTTCTCTTTCATAAATGACCACCAGGGTTGCCAGATTTCTTAGTATGTTTTGACTAAATATAATAAGTACAAGAATAAATTACACTTTGTGTAGGATACATTCAGAAGAGTTATTCACACATAACATATTACTAAGGGCTGAAAGAATTTAATAAAAAAAATGAAATAGCAGACAAAAAAAGGACGAAAAGCTTGGGAGTTTAAAATATGCTGAAAATGATTTTTAATAAAGTGTTGATGATTTTATTGCCAACCAAAAGATCCTGTAGACTTTAATATTTTATAATGTTAATCATTTTATTGAAAATAATGTTAACATTGTATTGATATTTAGGCCCTATCCTTGATGGTGACAATCTCTTTTGTAAGGAGTGCCATAAAGAGTTTTTTGACTCATACCTATACAGCAAATTTGATCATCTTGTCTGTGACGGGTGTAGGTGAGTTCTCTTTTTGTTCACTAGCTGTACACTCCGGCAGAAAGTTATGATTAAAAAGTATCCTTTTCTTTTTTTTTTAAAAAAAAAATTATCATAGATTATTAGGTTTTACTTATGTGACCACCCCCTCCCCCTTTTTGAAATGATGGCATGGAGGGATATCATCAAGAGAACTGTTCCAGGCAACCAGGGATCGTGATCTATGGAGACGCATGAGCGCCTATGCCAGTTGACATGGCACATGATGATGAAGACACACCCCCCCCTCCCCCCCCAAAAAAAATATATGAGTAATGAACCTTTTTATGCTCGCCTGTGGATTTGAATGTCGATGGTTCAAATCTGCATGGTGGTGAATTTTTTTTTTTTTTTTTTCAAACACGATTCTGGCTCCCATGTCACTCAGCCTTAAATGTATACTAGGGAGAATACAGGGAGGTAAAGGCAGTCATGATGCTGATAGATCACCCATCAAGGGCTGTTTGGTCTAAAATAATGTTAGTCAAGCCTCATGTGCCCCATTAGCCACGGGTGTATAAGTAATCTTTATGCATAGTTTTCAGCGTTCATACAGTGAATATAGACATCAAAAGTTCTTGGGAATATTGTTTGAGATCCCTTCTTTTTGTTTCGTCGTCTTCTTCTTCTTCATCACATTCACCAGCCATTAACTCTGGTATAAAGTTATGGTTGTTCGTCCATATCTGGACTTTAATCTTGTTCCAGAACCTGATTGTTGCCTGCACATCTGTTTTACAGATCTGACTTATTTGTATGCAGACTCTTTGTTACTTGCCTCTCAGGCAGATGCACTCCAACTTCGAAGGAAGTCCCTAATTAATCAACTCCTACAGCATGCTTGTTGGAAAGCAGCAGCTCTATTCTTGTTTCTGCCTTCCCTACCCCCCTCCCCCACAATGGGGCCCCAGAACCCACATGGGGGATTGTTTCAGTAAATACACTTGCTAGAGAAAAGAATTGATGACTAAATTAGTTGCTAAACAAATACCATAAGGATAATTTTCTTTTTCTACCAGAAATGAAGAAAAGCATAATTTAATAACTAAAACAGATGCCAAAACAAACTTTCTGCTGAAAGATGAAGACTTTGACAAAAGAGAACCTGCTTTGAAATTTATAGTGCGCAAGAATCCACACAATGAGAGGTGGGGTGATATGAAACTATTTCTGGAGAGCCAGGTAAGATCTTTTTTCTCGCAGCTGCATCTGTAGCAGATTAATTTGTTTCTGTTAATTTTTCAACAGCTGGAACATTAGTCTTCAACAAATTCACACAGTGCTCTTTCTAGAATAGATTATGATTAGTTGGATTTTGCCGGTAAAATTTTGGTTAGATTTTGCCGGTAAAGTTTTTGGCTAGATTTAAGAGCCATGTTTTTGCCAGCAGTACTTTTCCCCTACGCTATAGTAACGTGACCCCATGGGAATTCTTTTTAAAAAGTCCTTTAGAACAACAGCTTTACAGAGGTCAATAAAAGGGTTAACAAAATTTGTTTATGTGCATTGTGTAATCCCCCCATATATATATATATATATATAATATATTTTGAAAAAAAGCCAGCAGTCAATAAACTCGAACAGAGTGACATGAAATACATTCCCGGGAGCCTTAGCAATATATGCATGGGGTAACTCATGCTGTGACTTCCTGTCCTCTATTGGTGAGGCTTATGGGCAAATTTGACGTCACTTGGAGTTAAAAACATTTGATTTAAAGGACCCCCCAAATGCTATTTTTAGTTAATATGTTAACATCCTGACCTCATAAACGTTTACGCAGGCATGAACACAGCCAGCGGCATTAACTATTCGTCTCATAAACAGGTCGTTATAGACCAATTCGGAACAGTGAATTTATACAGAAATGGCCCCAACCTATAGTGTTGGTTTTGTGGCTTTTCAGGGTGAGAGTTATCACCCCTTAAAGTATGTATGGTAGATGACAATATACCTGTTCTTTGCTTTCCTTGTGAATGCCGCTAACACACAGCTCATACAAGGTCAGTTCTTCATAATTATTATTTAATAGCAGGAACCACTGGCTCAGACCTTTTTGAGTTAGAAGTATGACATACCTTTTAGAGACACTCTCTTGTTCCCACCTCTTGCTCTTTTGCTTTTGACCTTTCCCTCATTAGGGTTTTTGAAAGCTTATTTGTATGCACACTGCTGGTTCTTTGCCTCTCAGGCAGATACTTTGAAGGAAACACCCCTAATTAGTTGCCTTCTACTGCATGCTTATTGGGGGGCAGCAGATCTGTTCTTTGTTCTCTACAATGGGACCTCAAATCCCACCCAGTTCACATGTGCTGTGCTGAATATGAGTTGGAAACACACATATAATATACTGCTGTGCATTTGTGAAAGTCTTAAGTATTTTAAAGATGAGTTGCCCTGAGTTATGTGGCTTGGTCTGTCTCCACAAAAAGGCTGCATGCTAAGAGCGTCGCACAAAGCACAAACTCTGTAGCTCTGATGATGTTCCCTCGGGATCTATAACAATTTCACTTGTGAACCAAGAGGTGTGAAAAGGGCCCACCACCTTCAGGGTGCTAGTACTTATCTTGCACACCACATTAATGTCTGAAGTTGTGTAGGTAAAGAACTCTGCAGCATGGTACTTCAGCAGTGGATCAGGATGCCAACCTCATTTTGTTAGATGCCAAGCCCTTTTCGGGGTTTATGTGACCTGAATGCAGTTGCAAATGCATTAAACAGAGGTAATGATTATCACCCACTTTGTTAGATATAGATATATCTTCTCACAAACAGGTGTGGAAAAGAGCAATGGAAGTATGGGGCAGTGAAGAAAAGTTAGAGGAGGCTAAAGAATTGAGAAGTGACAATCGAGAGAAATCAAAGCAGAAAAAATTCAGCAAGAAGCTAAAAGGTAAGCATTGATCAACATTGTCATCTGTTATATAAAGTGATTTGTGGTGCACTGTTTTGGGATTTGCTGTTTTCCCTTTTCTTTCAGGTTTCCTTTCCATAAACTTTGACCGTCCCTTGTAAACTGCTATTTATGCTGGGGTTGAATGGATAGCTTTCTGTGTTTATATAATTTTTTGTTGTTGATAGGAGTTTTGAAAATTAAAGAAATGTGGCAAATCCTACTCTCAGTAGAATGGACTAGGTTGGCGGATGATGGCTAATCTCTTGTGCTAAGACGATTATATGATCACGGTGTGAAGCCTGGTGAAGAATGTCATGCCCTTCTAGGTCAGGATAGGAGACATTTTAACCACTTCTCACAGTTAATAGGAGTACCTTGGGGTGGCTGTTGCATCGGAGGACAGAGTGCACAGAGATGCACAGTGTACAATGACATGAATTGTGATAACAGTAGTATAAAAGTTACTTTACACTGGATGATTTAGAAATAAAATTATTTGTGAAACTGTCTAGAACTGAAAGAGTTCCTGTTTCAGCATAACATTTCCATAGAAAATATTGGAAAAACAACTAATCTTTGTAACTTTTTTGTTGTTGCAGAGCTTCGCATGGAAGTGAGGAGCAGTTTGTGGCGGAAAGATTTATCAGGGCACCAGCATGAATTTGAAGATGAAGTATATGATGAAGATGAGGATATGTACTCAAAAACCTGCAGCACTTGTGGTCATGTATGGACATATGAAAAAATGTGAAACTTTTTCATATGACATGAAATGCCTTCAACAAGAATAGACATGCACTTCATCTTTAAGTCAGTACAACCGTCAGAGCAGCCAGGTTAACTCATAAACTTTGCAAAGAAAAAGGGGTGAACCTCTGAGCAATGGGAATCACAGGCAGTCAGATGTGCAGACACATGACAAAATCTGTCATCTATGACAACAGGAAATCAGCCCAATGCCCTACACTCGATTGAAACTTCCATACTCCCTGTGTGGGTTCTGGACCTCTAATTGGAAAGAGGGGGGGGGGGGGGAGAGATAGACCAACTGCCCCCTAACAAGCATATCATAAAAGGTGACTAATCAGAGATTTGTGTTTGACTAAATGCTGCCAATGTCACAGCCTAACGGTAAACTGCAACACAGTGTGCCACCCACCCTTTCATGAATGCAGCAGCAGAATAAACACATATAAACAAGCACCCTTCATCCTAATGGAAGAAAAATGTGTCAGATCTTCCATGCATAATAGTGTACCTGGCTAGTATTATGCAAGTTTAAAGTTCAGATCCACGTGACAGATTTCAGTAAATGACAGTGGGAGAGTGTGTAACTCTGTGACAATAAATTAAGACTGGTAGGTACACCAAGAAATATTTTGATCATATCAGGAAGGAGGAGCAGGGGCCGAAGATGGGCACAGGATATAAGTGACTCCTTGAATATAAAAGTACATGAGGCAGGAGAGCTGGCGAGAGACCAAGTTTCTTTCAGGCAGACCGTGATGAAAGCGACGTTCTGCAAAGGACCTGCTACATGATGATGAGGTACACCAAACACCCAGAGAGGTAGAGAAAAGAGTAGCAGATAATGAACCAACTGCAATAGTCTTGAGTATAAATGTAGTAAAATATTTAGGTAAGTTAGAAATAAACAGACTGTATTTTCTGAACGTGTTATGAGGCAGAATAGACTAGAAAACTTGGTGTTAACCGGTAAAATTGATGGAAGAAGGCAAGGGAAAGACAAAGGCATAGATGGCTTAGCTACATAGATAGGGGTGGGACAACAGCGCTTTACCTAAATTCTGATTTTAAGGTATATGTTATTCTGAAATTATTTCTTGGCATAGATTGTCACTGTAACTATATAAATGATTTCTTTGTTTTCATATTATGATCTGCTAATGCTTAGATGCATTTTAGTTAATAAGTTTACTTATAGTTATTACTTCACAGCCTTGTGTTGACTTATTTATTTCAGTAGATATTATGAAATTACTACATTTATTGTTAATATTTCAAAATTGTGATTGAGAGTTCATGTTTAATTAACAGAATATGTAATATTTTAAGTAAACGGGAAGAAAGGGTCCTTTTGTATGCAAGGTCGGCTCTGTGGCTAAGTCGATGTGAACGCTTTGAAATGCTGGGTTCAATCCCAGCTACAGGCCATGGCCTTGCGTTGGTTTCGACAGTGGTATCAAGAAAGCCGACCGTCCAGAAAGCAATGGCAAACAACTGGATGTAAATTTGTCTAGAAAAACCACACAACAGCCAGGGGTTGTTGTTTGGGTTGGTTCTGCAATGTCCTGTAAAGGATACGCAGCTAACCTTTGTATGCAAGTGGTGCATCGGACATATCATGCTAGAGCAGTGGTTCTCACATGTCCTTGAAAGACCCTTTCACAGGGGTCGCATAAGACCATCGAAAAACACATATTCACTGAAGTTATGAAGTAGCAATTAAAATAATTTTATGGTTGGGGGTCACCACATGAGAAACTATTAAAACGTCGCGGCGTTAGGAAGGTTGAGAACCAGTGTGCTAGAGTAATATTTTTATGTAGTGCTGATTTGAACAGAGTATTGTGTTAAATGGATCGTACATAAATATGTTACACAGATGTCTTTTTGCAAACATAATGTTTTTCTTTCTTTGTTCAAAACAGCCCTACATTTCCCATTGCAATAACTTTTGAGGCCTCCCCCTCCCCAAAAAAAACTTTTTTGGAAACATTAATTGTTGGTAATATTTTGTTCCTGAATGTTTGCTTCAGTTTTGTAATTCTTACTTGAAATATTTTGAAACATCTAGTTATGTTATATGCTCTGCTCTCAAATGGGTACCAGGATGGGCTGTCCTGGGAAAGTAAAGACGGCTGGCGTAATGCTGACCACATTACCCACCGAGTGCCGATTGGTCTGTGAAAATATGGGTGCTCTTCCCATATGCCCGATGCGCCTAAGGGCGTGTAAGGGATCTTTACTTTTTACTTTTTTTTTACATCTAATATTTTTTTATTTTGAATATAACTGCATTGTTATGATTTAGGAATTGGGTTATCTTGATGGCTCCCTGGACACATTTGTAGGAGCTCAGATTTCTGCTTTCAACATATACATCAGCGTCCCCTTAGTTAACAGTACCAGTGCTATACTGGTTGTCAAGATTTCTCATTCATCTGGAGAACTTCTCGTGTGTGGCTGTGCTGATTTTACTCCCAGTTCTCACATTCTTAGTAGTGATGTGGACACACTGCTTACAGAATCCTCATCCCATCTCCCTAAGGGCATTAACTGTGAGCATGACCCATAGGACGGCCATCTACACTTTAGGTAGTGCTGGCCAGTTACCTGTTTATAGGAGTGTTGATCATCATTTTTTTGTTGTTTATTTTTTAGAAGCATTTTTTTGCGTACTTTGCCTGTCATTAAAATATTCAGGATCATAGAACACTCGACATGCCAAATCTTCACTCGCTGTCCCAATTAATAATTAAAGGCCGTTTTATATTTCCACGAAACAGTAAAAATAAAATGCTGGGGCATTTCTATTTTGCTAACACTTATAATATGAATTGTCTTGTAGGTAAGCTTATTTAATAAAGCAGTTATTGTGATTTTTTCCCCTTTCATATTTGTATTGGCTTGTTCTTTTATTATTTCATGGAAACATTCATTGATTTTATTCCGAATATTATGAATTTGAATTTGTTAACCCTTTCAGCCTGTCACAATATGTACAGCGCGTTTCTCATATGAACTTTTATGCTGGAGAAAGTACCTTTTGACGTCTTTGATGCATCAGGGTTAATAGTGCTAGACCTAAATTTGGGCTCTCCTCCGAACTTCGTCCCCATATTATGGCAGCCAAACAAATACCCTAACAGGGCCTCAGTCGTGTGTAAAATGCGGAGTGCCTGCCGAGGAACAAATCACGGCAAAACTAGGATTGCCTCCAATATAACGGGCCAATATTATCGAGGGCAAACAAATACTCTAACAGGGTCTCAGCGATATGTTAATTGTGGACCTGTTTCTGTGACTATGCAACACCGACGACAGTATCCCCCGCACCACTACGCGTGACGCGGATGGGGGCTAAACTAGATGACTGGGACTCACGAGCAAATAAATTGGAGGAAGTTGCAGGAGATACAGTAGCTGCTACTCGTGAGTCCCAGCCATCTAGTTTAGCCGCCCATCCGCGATGGGGATACGCTCAGCTGTGAGTTTAGTTGGAAGAATACTATCGCTAACCAGCTTCGGAGCTCGTGGTCTCTCCGCCATGTCGCTATTATCGTGTGTATTGTTGCATTTCTTGAAAATGTCTACAGACAGTAATCCTAGTTTTGCCACGTTGTGTTCGTCGGAGGAAGTCCGCATTTTACACGCGACTGAGGCCCGTTAGGGCATTTGTTTAGCCGCCATAATATGGGGACGCAGTTCGGAGGAGAGCCTAAATTTGTATTGACCAATCAGCCCTCGATGTGTGGTGATTTCAACATTATGCTAGTCACCTTTACTTCCCAGGATATTGCCTGGTATCAATTTTAGGCTGTCAAACTGGGAGCCAGGGTCAGTTTTGAAGAATAAAAACTGCCTCTGTGAAGATTTAAACCTGATTTTTGGCTAGCATCCCTTCCTTGGTGTGTATGTAGTGGTGGGGTGGGTGAGGTGAGCAAACAGTTTTATATTTTTAAAAAATTTTTTATACTAGTGTTTTGTAATAAAAATGTTAATTATTTTGATACACTAGTATTATATGAATTTATATGTCTTTAATTATATGCATTTATTTTTCATTGTAAAAATGGGCATTAATAAACATCTTAAATAGCTGTTCACGCCTGAATCTTCTTCTTCTACTGTGTTTATCCAAAGATGTGATTGCGTTGTGCCCGTTTACAGCATGGCTGTGATATTTTTGACTTTCAACCAACACATCCGACTTCTTCAAGCATTTGACTGGGTTAGCCGTTAGTTTTGTGGGAACATTGCAGTCTCACTGTTGTGTGGTCATCTTTGTTTCCTAGGTCACAGGTGGTGCCCCCACATCTGGCCGGCCCAGAGAAGCCATGAAATGCTGGTCAGCTGTCAAGAGAAGGTAAGGGCCTAACATGAGCATTCCCCACCATCTATAAGAGGTTTCCATAAATGCAAAGCCAATACATGGTGTACTGGTACTGGGCTCGCTCAAGAAATCATCACGTCTTGCTCTGACTTCAACCTCACTTCCATTTGTCACGGGCTATGTTTTTAGAAGCCAGCAGTAGGCAGCCTTTAGACCTGGGATTTCAATTACCTATTCAAAATGAGTACTTTGCTTCTTTTGCATGATGTTAGACTTACTGCAGTGAACTTCTATGTCCATTGTGTGGCAGTATACAGACAGATGGGTATGTTCCTTTTTTTCCCCATGTCATGGTTTATGAACTCGTCGAGGGACTATCAGCTCCAAGGATCAGTGACAATTTTTTTCTTCTTATGCCTTCAAATGTCAATGTGAATATACAGAAATCAACAGTCAGCTTGAGGTTGTTGATGACATATCCACAGAGTTTTTCCTCAAAATGAGCAGGTGTTAACCAGAATAATGTTCTGTTATGCATATGTTGGACACTCCTGCAGCAAGTGTTTAGCACTTCCACTCACCAGTGTCTCCTATCTTTAGCTTAACAAGTGTTGTTTCAGCCTGTTATGTCCTTATGGAGTCTAAAGCTACATATTTGTTCTCTTCGGTCAAGTTGATAGTATACATCATCATCCTTGTGGTCTGGATGTACAGAATCCTATTTGGTACTACAGATACTTCTTATAAACTCTTGGCCTCATCACATGTTATGTCTTTATCAGACTGGGGTAGTCTTCCACCTTTGCCAACCTGTCAGCCTCTTCATTTCCAGGTATGTTGCAATGTCATGGAATCCATTGTACTGCGACTCTTTTGATTTCTGATTCAGTCCATAGAATGCAGCTCTAAAGTCTGGTAGTTTTGTGCTGTTTTTGCTCTTCAGTAATGTGACAACTGACTTCATTTCAATGAAGATAGTTATGTTTTTTTTTTTTCAGTTTAGTCTTCACCTGGGGTGATTTGTCAGCCTTCTATATTTTTCTGCTTGTTGCCTCTTCTATCCTCCACTGGTTGCAGACCTGTGATCTTTTCTAGTTCTTACGCCTGAATCTATCTATTTTAGTACTCTTTTATTTTGGTATATAATCATATCCACATTTTGGATATTGTCCTAAAAGCATAAGTCTGATATTTCACGGCCACAGGCCAAATGTCTGAGGTCACATCTAAAATCAGGTTACATCTTTTTTTTAAACGAAAGCAATAAATCATCACAAACACACAGACATGCAAAGTTTTAAAACAAAATAAATAAGTCAATAATAGTTTACATGTTTATATCCATTCAAAATCTTGTACCCACAGAGAATATAATGAAACTGTAGTGGTGAGAATGGCACAGTGTGGAGATCTGGCCGACTCAACACTCAGCGAAAAGGTGAGACAAGAAACACAATCAGACTGTTGCTGGTACCATCAGAACTGGGACTCTTTGCTGGCCACTGAAGATGGGGACAGAGCATTTGTGGGAATGTCCTGAGTGCTATGATGTCAGTTCCGAATTCATCTTGAGAACAAAATTATTAGGCTGGCTGAATATCAACAGCTGTATCATGTATCACTCCCTTAATAACCCAATGCAGATTTGAATCCACCCGCAAATTTTTAAAAATTCTGGTACTTTACCAGGTTTAAAAGATTGTAGTGGTCAGCATTTTCGCCTACCCACACAGCAGTCCTGAGTTTGTCCTCAGTCTGATGCAAAGTAGTATCAGGGTTGACCAGTATAGCTCTAGAGTCTAGCTAATCCAGTGGGGTTGACCAGTATAGCTCTGGAGTCAAGCTAGTCTCATGAGATAGGCGCTGCAGTTTTGTGAAAGTAAGGTTAGGTTAGTTTCGTATCCTTTACAGGATGTTGCAGAAACAACCCCAGCAGCCCCTGGCTGTTGTGTAGTTTCTCTAGAGGCAAATATACGTCCAGTAGTTTTGCCATTGCTGTGAAAGTAAAGGCGACTGGTATAATTCTGTACTGTCACAGCAGCCGGGGAGTCACAGTAGTACAGTGGCTAGCAAAGTACCATCCTCCTCTGTATGCCATATCATTTGTTGTTGCATGCAGCTTACCCCATATCCTTCCTGTCTGGTTTTTTAACTTCATTTCCTAACCCCATTTTCCATGTTTTTTTTTTTTAAATCTGCTTTTGTTTCTATGACCCTGTGGGTTCCAGTGCAAAGACATTCTAGTTATATTGTTCTTAGCTTTTTTTTTCAGTTCCTGATTAGGGTAGATTTTTTTTTAGAGAGTTTAACAGACATAGGCTCGTAGGTCTACACAGCCTAACAAAATGTGAACACACATTCTTGAAAGTAATGACAGCCAAAGATAAGATACTACCAAAATAAACAGTTCAGAGCAGGTTGATCTATGGAGCTTGCATCTTATTTACTCCTCTTGAGGTGAAAACAGGTTCTGTATTTTTTATTTCACTGTACAAATGAGCAATACCATATCTCCGATATCATCATCATGTAGCAGGTCCTTTGCAGAACGTCGCTCTCATCATGGTCTGCCTGAAAGAAACTCGGTCTCTCGCGTGGCTCATTTCTCTGATATGCTTTGTGAAAAATATTACTGACAAGACGCCACATTGTCAAAGTTAGTAATTTTGTAAAGTTTGTCAGTAATTAGCTATTCTTCCCTTCCCAGACCAAGGTGCCCAATTCTTGACCTTCTGAAAATAAATGTTTGTTCATTCATTCATTCATTCCCCCTTCCAAATGTGTTGCACAATTAATTAAAAAAAAGTGTACAATCCATAATGAAGACATTTTGAGATATATTTTGGTCATTACCGCATATAAATTAGCATAATGCTAATACATTTGTTAAACCAGACATGTCAAACTAGTAGCCCATGTGCGGCATGCAGACCTGTGGCTCGCAAAAACATTCTGGAATAATTTTTTATTACATGACTCTAATTAGTTGTCGAGTGCGGCCCTCGTAACAAAAACATTTCGACCTATATGGCCTTCAGGGGACCCTACAGCCCTCATATTTTCTAACCGCTGCACCTTCTTTTGTAACCACCGGCCTGATGTTTTTTAACTGCTGAAAATCTGCCTCTTTAACCACATCATCAGACCCTCCCACATCCATCATACACACACAGCTGTTTCCAGGTATCACATATACTAATTCAATACCTCAATGATCTGACCATTTACACCAGAGGGGCAGCACTGCAAAGTTAATGAACCCTATAAATGACAACCAAAAAGTCAGAACTATGGAACTTTTATAACACCGAGACACGTAATTCACAGAGCCTCTGTATTAGAAATTTGTACTATATGTGAATACATTTATCAGTAAACCACTTTTAGCCATCACAACTTCGTGACAAAACTCCATTCATACCAAATTATATGACAAAATGCCACAATTATGGCAAACTATGTGACAAAGTAAATTTTATTCCAAACTATGTGGGTGTGGGGGGATACAATCATTCCACAATTAACTCATAAACTCAGCACCACTGTTTGTAAGATACTAAAATATTTAAGCATAGTACTGAAGATTGGCCTTCTTTTTGGCCTGGACCTCGATGATGGCATCCATATAATCTTCATGAGTCAATTCTGTTGCCTCCCTTCTCATGGCGATCATACCCTGAAACAAGAAATACACTTCCAGTATTCATGGAACAGACTCACCAGGCATTGTTATATCTGGGAATATCACAACAGAGATTGTTATATCTGGGAATATCACAACAGGGATTGTTATATCTGGGAATATCACAACAGGGATTGTTATATCTGGGAATATCACAACAGGGATTGTTATATCTGGGAATATCACAACAGGGATTGTTATATCTGGGAATATCACAACAGGGATTGTTATATCTGGGAATATCACAACAGGGATTGTTATATCTGGGAATATCACAACAGGGATCGTTATATCTGGGAATATCACAACAGGGATTGTTATATCTGGGAATATCACAACAGACGTTGTTATATCTGGGAATATCACAACAGGGATTGTTATATCTGGGAATATCACAACGCATTGTTATATCTAGGAATATCACAACAGGGATGGTTACATCTGGGAATATTACAACAGGAATTGTTATATCTGGGAATATCACAACAGGGATTGTTATATCTGGGAATATCACAACAGGGATTGTTATATCTGGGAATATCACAACAGGCATTGATGAGACCAAGCAGACAGGTAGACAAATATTTACAAACAGCAGAGATGTGGTTTTTGAGAAGAATAATCCCTGTGTGGGTGCTGGAGTCCCATTGCAGCTTTGAAGTCGGACTGCATCTGCCTGAACGGCAAGGAACAACAACTGCACACAAATTAGCCAGTAAACTGGATATATACTCAAAACTCAGGCCCTGGCACGAAACCGAAGTCCAAACAGACAAATGACCAGGACTTTCCTCTGGAGGTTACAACCGGTAAACAAAAAAGAAGAAGAGAAGAATGCAAACATAAGAGAAAAAACGCATAAGGCAACCCTCCTCAAGACAGATGATAACCATAAACTGATTAGAGGGACATTAGATGCCAACTAGTGTATTTGGACATGATATGAGAAGGAATGAACCCAAGAACTTGGTAATGACTGACAAGACCGATGGAAAGAGAGCAAGTAGAAGGCAATGAGACAAAAACCTGAATGGCTAAACCATCTGGATGGAGGAGACATGAGAAGACTGACAGGATCCATGATTGTCCTGATTGTAATAAATGGTGAAACATGGCTTACCGACAAGGCACATGATGATGACCTATCAGATCATTATATTTGGGAGTATCTATCACAGCCTGTCTGCCAAACGCAAGGTATTAATTAAATTCAGGCTGGATACATATATAATTTAAAAACCTTTTTTGGCCTACCAGGTCGACACAGCCTAAAATGAGCACCAGTGATTATCCTGGAAAGTAAAGGCAGCTGACAGGATGTTGTCTGCGTCGCCCACTGAAAGCTGATCATCTATTTTTAAAAATGACCCAGTCGTGTGAAATGGTAGTTAATTTTACCAAAATAAATCAAGAGCTTTTTTTCCTAGAAAAAAGCTGTCAGTACTTTCCACATAGGGTCTAAAAAAGGTGCAGCTACTGATCATAAAGAGCCTATCACAGCAGTGCTGGAAAAAATTTATACCAAAAAAAAAAAGTACTGCCGCATATACAAAAACAAAAGCCCTGAACAAATTTATTTGATCACTGAATTTTCAGTGCATATCAACCGATATATATGAGACCATAGCAATCAGAAGTGTCACAACAGGCATCTATGAGATCACTGGCCAATGACAATAAGCATGTCCTAAAAGATGACTAAGTAAGGGTTTGATCAAATCTGATACTTTGTGCTGAAAGGTGTAGATATTGAAGTCTAGCTGTAAACCACAAAAAAATGCATGCCTAATGTCCATTTAAGGGTTGAACGTGGTCATCTTCAATACCAAAGGGATGGCGACTGAGTCTGCTAAAGTGTTCAACCTGGACAAGAAACAGGTTGGATATTCAGTGTGAAGGCAGTATTTAACTAAGGATGATAAGCAAATTTTAAAATATTATACAGAGATCATTTTAAAATACAGAACAGTTAGTTAATCAACCAACCATCCTCATTGGACATCCACAAGTGCTTGGATCCTGTCTTCAGTATCTCCCTCAGGGTATGACATGCCAGTACTATGTTGGTGAACAATTCGTCTTTGACTACCTTAAACCCTTCATATCTGGCCTTGTTTGACGTGAAGTTTTTACAGCTGATTCACTATCTTATCTTCAATCATCTACTCACCCTGTCTTCTTGTGAGCATTGAGAACATCGGCACTGCCCATTAAAATACAGAATATACAAAATTTTAAAAAAAAATCAACAACAAAAGAAAAAAACTACTTACAGCTTCCACGCAAACAGCTTTTAGCTGGGCACCATTAAAGTCATCAGTGCATCGTGCTAGCTCCTCAAAATTGACATCTTTGCTGAAATTTTGACCATGTAATGTTTGAGCATCATGTTTTTAAAAAAGACAAACCTCTAATCTACTTTGCTTTACAGTATTAAATAGTGCTTTACTTAATCTGTAACGTCCACTTGAAGATATTCCTTCTGGGTTTAAAAAAAATCTTTTTTAATAAGTAGATCTCTATATACAACAATAAAAAGGAGACAAACACTGTTCTTTGGCCACATAATGAGAAGAGAGGCACTGGAAAACATTGTGACAACTGGAAAGATCACTGGATAGAGGGGTAGAGGCAGACCAAGAGAAATGATGATAGGCTGAAACAATGGCATGGAGGGATACCATCAAGAGAACTGTTCCAGGCAACCAGGGATCCTGATCTGTGGAGATGCATGGGCACCTACGCCAACTGGCAAGGCACATGATGATACATATGAATGGAGCAAAGACTATAAGTCGATTCATGCCATCCCTATGTGGGTTTCCGGAGCCCCCTTGTGGGAAAACAAGAAAAGACCCAATGCCTCCCCAACATGCGTGTTGTAAGAGTGGAATCAGGGGCTTTCTTTGAAGTCAATGGCATCTGCCTGAGGGGCAAGGAACCAACAGTCTGCAAACAAATACGTCAGATCTGTAAAAGAGATAGGCAGGCAACACTCAGGTTCTGGAACAAGCTTAAAGTCAAGAGGTGGACGAACAATCAGAAGTAAATCAGCGGTTAAATAGCAAGCAGAACCTTATGCCCAGATCTATCTTTTGCCACCACCTGCAGCAATTTACATGTCTCTTCTCTGTGAGTTTCTAGCTCTCCAATTGATTCTGCCCTGCCGGTTCAAGAGAAAGTACTTTTTAAACGGTTAAGAGAGATGTTTATTGCAAACTGTGTCTTATCCAGCATCATCACCTTTTTCTAATCTATCCCCTTATGCTCAGCATCAGTGATTGTCACTTTTTAAATTAAATTTAGTGAACTGACCAGTTAATGGATGTTTGCAATTTATTAGAATTTGTTCTAGTAATTCTGTTTTCTGATTTGTACAGTAGTACTGTTCTGACCTTAAAGTTTATATCTTCTCTTTCATACTACATTTTTTTTTGACTTTCACAAATGTCTAAACTCTTATTTTAATATCTCTATCTGTCCACCCACCTGTGTGTGATTCCACCTCTTGAAGTGAGGTTTCCCCAAAGATCAAGTTATCATTCACTTGATTTATTCTCTTTACCTTTGTCTTTCCCTTTTGAATTTTTAGACCTGATTCTTATGAACCACTGCCTTTTACAGTTCACTTTTATCTTTCCCTTTCATTAGGTTATTCACTTTATTATGTTGTCTAGTGTGTTCCCCCATCTCTACTTCTGTACTATGCTTCTTTAAGCGCTAATCAATATTCGTAAATTTACGACCAATTTTTCTGGAAAATGTTGGCAGAGGACAACTGCTACCATCATAAAAATGCCAAAGGTTACAATAACGTAACAAGGGTTACAACAACACAACAAAATTCGGCTATATTCCACAAAAAGGTCCCAAATTATCGAGGCCGAAAATATACCCTAACAGGGCCTCAGTCACCTGTCAATTGCGGACTTCTGCCACTGCCGAGAGTATCTCCCACGCCGCTACGAGCGGCATGGATTGGGGCTAAACTAGATGGCTGGGACTCACAAGCAAAAAAAATGAAGAAAACTGTAGGAGATGCAGTAGCTGCTGCTCATGAGTCCCAGCCATCTAGTTTAGCCTGCGGCAATCTCGGAAGTGGCGGTAGTCGCCGGAAGGCCGCAATTGACACGTGACTGAGGCCCTGTTAGGGTATATTTCCTGCCTCGATAATTTGGGACTGTTATTTGGAGGATAGCCCAAAATTCTTTTGTTCAAGTTGTTACACATACTTGACATTCATTTTCCTGGAGTGAATCTGCAAAATGCGAGCCCTGGCTTCTTCATTGGGCTGGGGAAATTCAATCTTTCTGTCAAGTCGGCCAGATCTCAGGAGAGCAGGATCCAGAATATCAACCCTGTTGGTGGCTGCAATAACCTGAAACAAAAATGTTTCAAGTGCTAGACTAATTCTACGAGAGCAAACTGGCATCCTGATTATTCAGAACACATTTACACAAAGGCCAGCATTGTAGGAGTACAGCAGCTGATCTGGGAGTGGGGGCAAGCCATTCAGAATACAGCAACTTCTTTTGCTTTTACCTTAAAGGGCAGCTGGAATGTAATATTGTGATTTACAGCTAAGCTGCATTATCTGCATCTTTTAACTCTTTGAGTACTAGAGGGTTTAGCATCAGAGGCCCAAGGGGTAGTCAAGAGAGACGTAAAATCGGCGCATCTTGCGTTCATTGGGCCTCTAGGTAGGAACCTATGAACGTATGACATGGGACTCAAAAGTTAATCTAACGCACCTGATTTCAGCAAATTCTTAATTAGTCGCCATTTACGGTATGCTTGTTACGGGACAGTGGGTGTTTTCTTTCCTTTCTCAAAAGTGGGGCCAAACTGCCATAAGTGGAAAAAAAGCAACCAGACACAATACAAACCCGAAAGCTCAAAAGAGAGAATGGGAAATAGGTGCATAAATACAACATTTTGAGCAGCACTGTTTGAACCTATTAAAAAAAACAAGGAAGGTCGAGGTCACAGAATGCGAAATATCAGTTCCACTGCAGTCACAACTATTTTAGACATACAATGGGGCTACTAAACTGGAGGCCCGAAGAGGCTAAGCATGTGGCCGCGAATCAGTGCAAATTGTATTCTATTAATGATCTTTCTAAGCTGGAGCTCTTATGTCTGGCCTGTGACGATCCTCATCTTCAACATGTTGGCGTTTGAGTAAACTTTGTTGAATAGCCATGATATTTAGGATAAAACCTGATTTGAGGAAATTCATCCTTTGATAGAAGTCACTCCACTCTTTCATACTTCCTCTCACCCACTTAATAATCAGGTCATAAACAATCAACGAAACAACATTATGGTGGCTACCTTAATCATGGAATTTGGTTGGAATCCATCCATCTGATTGAGAAGCTCCAACATGGTCCTCTGTACCTCACGGTCTCCTGCCTTCTCACTGTCAAATCTTTTGGTGCCTGGAATGTTCAGATAACATTAATACATATAAACAAAAATAAACTTGTATATACAATCAAACAGATATGAACATGTAATCCTAATGTCACATAACTTTATCTACTGACTACACTCTCGCCGGCACCTTTCTGTCTTTCCAGACAACAGTGTTAAGGCCCCAGTAATTATGTCAAATTGTTCTGATCTCTGACTGTCAATCTTTATATCAGAACAAATAAATCAAATCAGGAAAGGCACAGCTGAGCCGAGATGTGGTTTCTGAGGTCAACTTTGCTTTTACTTTAGGCCAGTGTTCTTCAACCTGCGGGTCGCTGTCCACTGGTGGACTGCTGGGAAAAGTTTGTGTAGGCCGCCAGAATTTGTTGCTAAATCATGTAACGAGGTAGGGTTTACCTTTCCAGCCTAAAGGATTAACACCTCAAGGACCTCCTATTTGTGTGCAAATACTTTCTCAGGCATTTCAGTATTAAAAACCAAACTGACAAATGGAATGGATGTTGTTGCAACGCTTTGTATTTCAGAAATTATGCTCCAGCCACACATATCAGATTTTTCAATGTGTGTGTGTTTTTCGTTTTTGGTTATAATCCTAAACTTACGTTGCTGTTCAAACATGAGGCACAATTATTCATTATTTTAAAGCCCTTTCTGCAGCTGATGCCGAGAACCCTCATGGATGAAAGGGGTTTCTGGGACTTGCGCCTGGGAGATTCTCATCTAAATGGCAGCACTTGTGTTACCGGATGTCCATCACTCGTTTTGTGACCCTGGTGGGGTTGAACTTCATTCACTCATGTTTGGTTAGCTGTCAGGTAGGCTGTGAAACAATTTCCACTGTTTTGGTGGGCCATGGGTGTAAACATTTTGAGGAACACCGCTTTAGACTGAGTAAAAACTGTTCAGTAGGATATTAAAACTACAAGAAAGAGATGACATCCTATGGTCACAAGAAGACAGGCACTGAAGAATAATGTGATGACCAGAGAAATGAGTGGCAGAAGATATCGAAGACAATGATGAAGATGGTATACAATGGTGGCAGAGAATATCATGAGCACCTGGAAGGTAATTTCTCTAGGGTCGACTTGGAAAGATCAAGTTTGGAAGAAAAAATCCATCATGCTGCAGATCTGAACCCTAGAACTTCAGGTCTACAGTCATCTAGCTCTATGCTAACGTGGCTAACGCACAAGGGACCTTCAAATAAAATCTTAAAAGCATGAGAGAAATTTACAATAACCACGCCGTTGTCTTTTGAACTGTCAATATTGTTGTTAAGCGTGTGACATCACCATGCAGGCAAACACTCGGTGATGTCATAAAGGCAGTTTAAAGGATGGCCACCCCATGTACTAAAAAGCAGAGGCGTTCTATTATTTGTGTTTGATCAGTGAAGGGGTAAAACCTGTACAAACTCACCTGTGAATGAAGGTTCAGTATGGTTACTACAAGACAATGGCATGGTCACTGTAATTTCTACCTGACTTTCAAGGTTTTCATTTGAAGCCATCTCATATAATTTAGGCGATTAATGAAATAATGAATATTCAACAGATATAATTATACAAATTTTCCTTGCAAAAATCAGCAGACTGTTTTATTTTTACAATTACTCAATGAACATGTAACACCTACCAATAGCATCCAATTCATCAATGAAGATAATCGCTGGCTGTTTCTCCTTGGCCAAGGCGAAGGCGTCTCTGACAAGTTTAGCACCGTCACCAATGAACATCTGAACCAGCTGTGGCCCAGCAAGTTTGAGGAAAGTTGATTTTGTCTGTGCAGCGCACGCTCTGGCAAGAAGTGTCTTTCCAGTTCCTGGAGCACCATATAACAACACACCTACCAAACAGAAAAGACATACAAATCATACTGCTGTACAAACATTAGTTTTGTACATCCTACTCTCAGGGAGGGAAGGGGAGGGGGGGGGGGGGGCTGCTTCAGTGAACTTAAAGCAGTCTGATCAAACAGGCAATATTCTTATCTACTTAGACACAGGAAAAAGAATAACACAACTATATAAGTGCAGATAGCAAATCTTCTACTTAAAGCATAATGACAAACAAAAATCTAAAAACAAGATGTCTATTAATTCAAATAACATTTTCTCTTCCTTTTACTCCCCTTTTTTTACCACGTTTGTGGGGTGGGGGTATTTGAGCCTTAGGATTTACGGCCGCATGGCTAGTGCTGTCACCCTTATTGTGCAGGTGAGGATTTTATTTTGCTCCCGACAGAAACAAATCCCCAGCCTTACCGAGGATTCGAGCCTGTGTCTTACGCTTGACAGCCCAGCGCTCTAATCGTTCGGCAAGCTGCTCCTCTCAAATAACATAACTAGAAAGAAAAAAAAGCTGAAGGCATGTATTCCTACAAGCAAATTATGCACATTCTACCGAACAGGAAGGAGTTCAATGTACATTCTACTGAACAGGAAGGAGTTCAATGTACATTCTACTGAACAGGAAGGAGTTCAATGTACATTCTACTGAACAGGAAGGAGTTCAATGTACAGCAAAACCAAAGGCACAGCAAAAACAAAAAGACCAATTCAACCAGCAGCTCAGAACTTGTTTAACTCAGACAAGGCCGATGAACAAATCTGACCAAGAGCTTTATCTGACTCTAGGGTGGCCTTGGAAATTGGCTGCATCTTCGCAGTCACAGTGAGAGATGGGATCACTGGGAGCAGGTCAACCAGACACCAAAGAAAAGCCGTAACAAAGCAGCCAAATAATACAGTCTGTTTACTGTTTCTTTTGCTCCTTAGCACTGATCAGCTGTAAACTCTGGCAGAAGGTTTTAGCTGTTCATCCATTTCTGAACTTGTTTCAGAGCTGAATTTTGAGTGCACATCTATTTTACACATTTTGCTTATGCAGACTGCTGGTTAATCACCTTTCAGCCAGGTGCATTCTGACTTCAAAGGACACATCCCTAATTAGTCAACTCTTACAAGTTTGTTACAGGGTAGTGGGTCAATTCCCCCCCCCCCCCAACCCTTTCCAATGGGGTAACACGGGGATTTGTATATGACCAAATGAGGAGACAAAGGGTAAGAAAGAAGTTTGAGTATCACTAGCTGCACTAGACCTGAGCAAAATTTCTTACCTTTAGGTGGCTGTATGCCCAAAGCTTCAAACCGTTCTTTGTGGGTCATTGGTAAGACAACTGCCTCTATCAACTGGAATAAGTAAAACATGCTCTTAACAAAAACGCACGAAAGATATTCTGAAACTAAAAAACGATGACTAAGTGACAAATTAAGGATAACAGTCTACCCATATACTGATAATTAAGTTGTCAAAATGTTCAAAATAAGGTAGGAAAAGGCCTCAGCAAATAAACAGAGTAGGGTCCTGACTTGCCTCAACAGCCAGAAATGGTTTTCAATGGCAAAAGTAACATTCACAGGAGAACGTGGAAGTTTTCTATGGGAAAGAACGAAAGAACATTATTTTTAAGGGGCACAAATTTGGCAGGCAATCCTGTCTTACATTTGGCCTTTTCCCAGTGTTTTTGTGAACAAAGCATGTTATTATACAAAATATAATAGCATGAGGTAAAAACAGAGCAAGAGGTAGGCAGCCCCACACCAACCATGCTTTGCTACCTGCAGGGCTTTTTTCTGGAGTATGCAATGGTATGCAGTACCAACACTATGGATGTGGGAGGCCATATTTTTTTCCGAGCTACTGTAACAGACACTCTGTTGTGAGCACCAATACCCTTTCAGACACTGTGATGAGTACTGGCACCTCTTCCCCCCTCGGGAAAAAAGTCTTAGTAATCTCTTACATATTAAGTAACAGAAATACTTTTGTTGTTGTTGTTGCTGCTTCCCTTGCGGATGTCAGGAGCACAGGACACACACAGCATCATAAATATATTTATGGTGAGCAACTTGCCTCTTGTATCTGTTTATCCAAACCTCCAATATCTGCATACTGTTCAGTAGGCCTCTCATCAACTTCCATGGCTTTCACACGGGAATCATACCTTAAATTTAAAAAAGTGGAACTGTATACCTCTTGTCGGACAAACACAAGAAAACATTAATAATGTGTCTGTTTTTAACTTCATCACTTTTATTTTAAGCATTTAAAAATTTACCACAACCAATTTCAGGGAATATAAGGCTGGCATGGACACTAACATTTATACAGCATCAGTTCTTTTTTCTGTATGTCCAAAAAGCACTATCAATCAGCAGATCCTTTACAGAATGTTACTCTCATCGCTACACTCCTGAAAGTCTCTTTCTCTAGCCAATTCTCTAGCCCTATGTGATTTCATAGCCAATGCATTTTTAATGTTTTGTATTAATATTTGCAGAGGTCCACCTCTGCCTCATTTTCTGGAATTTATATCCTCCATGACCATTCTATTTCCAGGCCACCATTATGTTTAACATAGCAAAACAACTTAGCGAAAATAATAGACATCAAAACATCTGTTTGATTATCTTTCACCATCATCCAACAGATTATCTTTCACTATCATCCAACAGCATGCCCAGTACTGAACTTTACCCCCCATAACAGTCTTCCTAGATTTATTTCTATCATACATCAGATTCCCTTTCAGTTTCACGGAAATTGATTTTTCACTGAACAGACTGCATTTCCAAGGTGTGCTAAATGAAGCTGCGAGAGAGGAAAATCACACCGGAGCCACTGTCGTTACGCCAACCAGATCAGAAAATTTCAATAGAAATATTTGAAAACCAACAGGGTCAAAGGCACACATGGAGAAGAGATCTGAAGAGTGGGGTGAAAAGAAAAATGGGGACATGAGGTGAGCTGCACATGTTGGGAACGTCTTGCCAAGAATAACTTATGGTGTACCGAGGGATAAAGATAGAAGAAACTTGCAAGGGAGGTTAAATCATCATTATCATAAACCACTTCTGCCGTTAAGCGTCGTGGGAAGGAATAATTTGCGATCCCGTGCACACTGGCTGCCACTGGCTACTGTCATGCCGTGAATGCGTAGAGTGTCTTTAATGTTGTCGATCCATTTTTCCGCGGCCGTTCTTTTGCTCTTTTAACTGATCTTCTGAGATGTAGTGCTTGTGATGGTATTTGATCTTGCTGCATTCTAACGAGATGGCAAAACCACTTGATCTGCTGTTTCTCAATGAATCTTGTAACAGGAGGTCAAATAATGCTATTATTTGGCATTCAGTTATGAAATACTGATCTTAGTTCTTGCCTATGAGTTAATTACTGATACAAATTATTGATTATAAAACCAAAACCTCTAAATATATTACATCCACACATTTGATTTAATGCTATGATAAGATTCTCCTTGTATGGTCTATGGAAGAAAGCTGAGATACTTATGGATCCTCTATCAAAACAAATATAAACCTATAAAATACAGAACATGCATACATATAAACAAGCAAATACATACTCAGCAGGCAGTGTTTCCAGTATCAGATATGAGTCCTTATTAACTCCCTGAAAAAAGAAAATGTTTTCCATGTAATACTGAATCACAATGGCCAAAGTGAATCAGGAGAAAGTATAAGAAACACTACAACTAAATATTTCAACCAATATATCTATTCACAACAATTAAGAAATAAAATAAAGTAGAATGTTGCATATAAAATCTTCTGCATTCATCCCAAGATGTACATGTGTTCATTTACAACATGGCTGCAGTATTTGCACTTTTCGGCCAACACATCTAACTTCTGCAGGCATTTGTTGCCCGGATTAATTAGCCTTTCTGATTATTTTCATGGGACAATGCAGTTTCACTGTGGTGTGTTCAGGCAGATGTACTCCAACTTCAAATGGAAGCCTCCAAATAGCTGACTCTTACGACATGCTTGTTGGGAAAGCCGTGGGTCTATTTCCATTTTCTCCACAGTGGGGTCCCGGATAAATTAACATATCACATAAATACTACTCATATCACACAAAAATTGTAGAACATGTACACAATGTAAGTTGCCACCAGACCACTCTGTGTTAATTTTGACAGGGGTATGGAGCGCTGACCACATCAAACGTAATGGTGGCTTGGAAAAGACGGTGATGGAGGGTGCAGTCTGTGGAAAGCGAGACAGGGGTAGACCTCTGAGAAAATGGATACAGGAAGACACACTGGCACTGAGAGCACATGGCCCTGGAGAGCTGGCTAGAGGAAGGTATACTTTCAGTCCTATGAAGCAAGCGACACTCTGTAAAGGACTTGCTGACTGATAATGATGATAGAGCGCTGCTCCTTCAAAAGGCCAATGACCAACTACTGACGTGAAATTACATTTTACATTGAACCACAAACTGCAAACAGATGTTTGGGTTGGTTTCGGAACAGCCTGCAAAGGATATGCAACTAACTTCAACATTATGTGACATATTTGTTTTAATTTTGATTTTGTTATTCAGAGGAGCAGCTGGCCAGGCAGTAAGAATGTTGGCCTGTATTTTGCAGACCCAGATTCAAATCCTTAGTAAAGTGATGCTGATTTTTTTAAGTGTTGGGAACAAAACCCTGCACAGTTTGAGGTAATTGCACTAACTAGGCAGCCCTGAATCCTCAGGCTCAAGACCACAACACCCTAAAATTGATAAAACAGACGATAAAGAGCTTCTGTCTGCTATGGAAAAAGGTACAAAGATAATGACAGGTCACTCCAGTTGACAAAGCTTTGATTTATGAAGAATGAACATAACAGTACTTGAGACAAGTCCATAGATTCTCAGTCTCCTACAAGTTAAAGTAGGTGCTGTAATCTAGTAAACAGAAAATCCTTTTACATTTTCACAGCAATATTTGCTAAACAATTGCTTATACCTAAAGGAGATTACAAAAGCAATTTCTACGTACCACTAAATCACCTGGCTTCAACTTTTCAGCATCCACAAGTCCTATAACTGGCAAAAAGTAGGTCTGTTGCGAGCAGAAAACAAAAACAATGAGAAAAATGTTGTAGATAAATAGATTCAATGGTAAAACACATTCATTAATATAAGCTGAACAAGACTATAGAAGGTGACTGGCTACCATGGAGCCATTGCCAAGCACACAGGACTTTGTGGTATAAATTCTATTTTAATCTCAGGTGTCTTGCTCAGCTTAGTTGCGTATCCTTTACAGGACGTTGCAGAACCAACCCCAACAGCAATTGGATGTTGTGTGGTTTTTCTTGGCAATTTACGTCCAGTAGTTGGTGTCTTGCTCACAATCATAAAATTATGACCTGATCCTGTTTTAAAAGCTAAAGATAAGAATTCAGTGGAAATTGAAGATAAGCCTAATTTTCCATAGGTGCATAGTTGTCTTTTCATTGAGAAAACCAGATAATGTTACCAAAATGTCTTTGCATCTGAACCTAAAGGCCAAAGAATAAAGGTAGACCACAAGAGAGACAAGGAAATTAAAGAGTGAAATAAAAAGGATACGGAAGACATGGAGAGTGCTGCATGCGATAGCAAAGAATAGGAGGGCGTAGAATGAGTTAGATGAGGGCTTATGCTCCACTGAAGGAAATGGACAAAAGAAGATATTTGTCTTTTGTCTGTTTTGTCCTATTAAAAACATTTACAGACACTTGGCTGATATGTTGTGCTTAAATGATTTTATTGTAAAGATCTACCCAGATTTGCAAGCAATATAATGTAGTGTCCACTAACAATATTTACCTAAAAAATTAGACAAACATTTCTTTCCAAATAATAACTATCAACCTAAGTCTTTAGCCACATTGCATAGTAAAAGATATACCCTAAAATATTACATCACCTGTCGAGTGGATGTCTTGATCACCGCACACTTCCCTTTCCTCTGAGAATCAAGATCTATATTTGCTCCATCTTCTTCGCCTTGATCTTGAGGGTCAACATCCAGCAACTAAAGATAACAAAGAGTGTAAATAAACTTAACATTCTCGCCCAGTAAATGCTGATATCTAGGCTGTCAGTATTTTGTAATTGCATGTTGTCTTTGGGCAGTGAGCACTAAGCCTGCATAACAGCTCTGGTGCTGGCTGCAACTGAAAAGTGTGGATGCGATTGTATTTTATTTCTTCTTTTTTTTCTCCCGCTGTAAGCTCCGGCGAAAAAGTCCTGGTTTAGTGGCCATTTTGATTTCGGCTTTGTGCCAAGGCCTGAGTTGTGAGTGTGCATCTGTTTTACTGGCCAAATTTTTGTGGTTTTTTTTTTTTGGTCACTCAGTTTGCATTTAGTGATTATCTTACCTGTTTGCTTGGTGATCAGCGGTTTCAATCACCTCAATTTTTTAATAAAAACTATGCATTTTTTCTACATCATCTTCTCCTCTTCCTCTAGTTTCCTATGGTATAGCTTTTCAGAATTGTAAGGGTGTTTTTTTTATCAAAACAATTTTTCAGCGTTCACTTTTTCAGATCTTAATGGATTTAAAGTTTAGCAAGTGCTCGTACTCAAAATACTCGATCTAGCTTTCTAACTTATAAAGTGGCCACTCCACCTCTTATGTCATGGCTCAGAATCTGACACCTGACCATTTCAATGACAGTATCTGCTCTTTGGGACTATCTTTAATTTAGTCAGTCTTTCCCATTTAGTGGTCTGCAGAACAAATTTAGGGAGTCTGTGGTATTTACTAGTAGTTTCATTTCTCCCTTGGTCATAGATAAAGTTAAAGTCAGGATGATCGACTTCACTGACCAGGTTTTATCACATATGGTTCAGTCTCTCTGTGCAGAACCACTAGCGTCACACAAAGCACCAACGCTGCAGCGGTTATCCCCAGGATTATCCCTAAAAACTGCACTCAATAACGAAATAATGTAACGAACATAGAACTTTCAGAGCAAGACACTATTAGAAGTGTTAAGTTCAAACTGTTTGCAATGTTTTTATCTAAAAAATTAATGAATGAACAAAACCAACCTCAATGACATTAGAAACCAAATATGGCAGTGTCTTGTTGACTTTGATCTTCTCCGTATTTTCCTTGATTTTTTCTTTCTGAGCTTGAAGCTCATGGGAAATTCTCATAATTTCTGACTTCATAATCTAGGAGGAAAACCAGAATATGACTGCTGTATGAATGGCAATATGAAAAGCTGCATTTAACAACAATATAAAGGACCGGCAAGCCAAATTCTTTTTTGTAGATCACGATTTCATGAATAATATATACCTGACTTTTGAAACAAAAATAATATGTCAAATAATAATGAGGTTGAAACTGAAAATGTTATTGCATGTGTGTAATAGTGAACAAAAAATACCAATTTAAACTGCAAGCAGCATTCAACTGAGACTTACATGTGCCCCTAAATGATCATGCCAAAGTCATGTGACAAGTACTGAGAAATGAATAAATCAGCACGTTCTTATCTATCGTCTTATGATGCATAAGTTCTCTTTCCTAACCATGTACAAAAACTGACAAGGTTAATCCAAAATTCATCCAAAGAAGCTCAAAATGCTGTGCATCTTTGTTTTTCATTTGAAAAATGTCGAACAGTGGACATTCATTGAAGAATAAAGGCCACGTACAATAACAAATGTGTACCAAAGATAACACCGAAGACAGCATAAATATTTAGGAAAGAGTGTGAGTTCATGGCAGATCTTCTACGAGCAGGATGTGCTCATATTGTTGCAACAGAAGGGAAAAACAGATGTAGCAATACAGGTGATCAATGGCCAAGCATACGTTTGCAGCGAAAGAATTTGATACGTTAAGTGGGACAGTTCAAAAACTGCAATAATGGAAGATGTGTGGGTACCATGGATGTTGGCTGACCACCAAAAGAAAGTTTGGTTTTTAAAACGGATCAACTTCATGACACAAGGGTAGTAACCCATTAGTGCTCCGTTCTACTTCGAACTCAAACCTGAGTCCAAAGAATCTCAGCACAATGCACGAACTCCGTAGCACCGGCAAGGATCCTGAAATACTTTGGGTAGATTTTAAACTCCAAATTATGCCCGGGCAGCGCCTTTAGGCTACTCTTTTTAATTTCCAACTGCCAAAAATATACACGGCCCTCAAATCTTATAGCCCAGAGATCTTGTCTTTCTTAACAACAATACTGATGTTACAAGACAATGGCATGGTTGCTGCAATTTCTATCACACTTTTAAGATTTTCTTTTAAAGCCACCTCGAATACATTATATGTTCATTATCATTACTTGGCGATAAAATATTGGCTGAACAATCCAATCCTTTAATTAGAATTCTTTTTAATTACCGCAGATCAAACAAACATTATTTGATAAACTTGATCTAAAAACGGTGAATTTAACTGCAAAAGGGGTGAAAATGATTTGCAAAAGGATGGCTCTGATTTGCAAAAGGGTGAACTGGCTTGCCAATCCTATGTCAATACTAGTGCTTTCTTCTTAAAACTGCAAAGGGGTTGGTCTATTGAAGCTGAATGTGGTGTCAATTAATTGCGGCAATCTTTAAATTTATTCATGTTCACATGTGAAGGTAAAGGTGGTTCAAGTGACAAAAAGGGACAAAGTCCGCAATCAGTCAATACGTCAAGATCTTGATACCCAGTCCTTACAAACCCGAGCGGATCAGTCAAAGCTGCAGTTTGGACTTGTATGCAAAATGGGAGAAAATCAGCCATCAAAGCAGGCATAAGAGGCTAAGAACCAGGGAACCAGACCTCCAGGGCGACCCAGAGTATGCTGGGAAGACAACATCTGACAGACCCTGACAGAGGACTGGAATGGAACAAAGCCAGTAAGAAAACTGCAGACAGAGACGTCTGATCTCTCTGGCAAACTTCTACACCCCAAGGCAGAATAGGAGCACCTAAGTAAGTAGTCATCAGCAGGTGTATGAAGAAAAATTAGAATAAGATAAAGAATCCAGTACTGTGTGTATTGTCATTATCACTACTGTAAACAGCAGACAGACAGCAGGAACACCTTGCACCATTGAGAAGCAGAAGATCAAATGGTTCAGCCATCTCATTAGAATATACCACAACTACTACAATACAAACTCTACCTAAGATGATCTGATGTGAAAGCAAGAAGGTGCATACACACATAAATAGACCGTACAACAGAGCAGATAGAGAATCCATACATTGAAAAACTAATTTAAAGGGAAAATAAGGGGGAAAAAGGGGGGAGGTTATGGAAGATATTCACAAATGAAGGGGAAACAGCCAGACTTTAATCAGGTTGCAATTGATACTATCAGCATTTTGACTCTTTGAAAGAGAGTGGAGAAGGAGGTGGAGCAAGTGTGGGGATGTTTTGAGTGCAGTCATCATGTCCACTCTTAATTCATTTATTCATGCACACAAATACAGATTTATGCCAAGGTCACTACTGTCTGTTTTACCACTTTTTAGGGGAGTAGAGATGGGAAGGGGGGGTTGTGAGTCTGAGTCTGGTCCCAATGCACTCTCATCCGATGGTTGTACGGTTTACATCCTTTAAATCTTTGAGATGCATACAGTGTGTTCCAGGGCCTAATTTTGAGGAACAAAAATAGCAAAACAAAAAAACCTTCTAAATGACCCTTAACACAAGCATGTCATAAAAGGTGACTAATAAGGATTTACTGAAATTGGATGTGTTAGGTCGAAAGGTGTAGATATTGCAGCCTAGTTTCAAATACCAACACAATAAGGCAAGCGCTCTTTCAAAAGCAAACACAGAAAAATAAGAAAATACTTTGTATAACCATTAGAATGTAAAAATCACACAAAGTATTCATGGAATTATGAAACAGAATTCACAGGTGATAAAATTATTCTTACCTTAATTTCATTGTCAAGCAAACGAGTTCTCCCAATAATATCATCTGTCGGCATACGCAGAACCTCTTCTCCAAGGGATTCCTAATGATAAATATTTATATACACAAAGTGAAGGGCAAGAAAACCACATAATACATTTTCAACAAATACATCCTTAAACAAGAATTTTGTTGTCCTATCGCTGTGTATTCTAAGTTTAGACTTTGTTTAACGCAACTAGTATACCTAACTATGATTCATAATCATCATCATGTTGCAAGTCCCTCATAGAACAAGGAATTCCAGTACTGTTCTTGAATACCTTACCCGTTTCTGGGCCTGAAGTGATGCATAGGTCTGCAAGACAGTCCTCATGGAGATGATAATTTGGTACCAGGTTTGAAGAAACAGTCACACCAACCTCACTTTGATACTCAATTTTCAGGACTTAGACAACCTAAACAACAATATATCAGACTCTGTTAAAACTCAGCCTTCCACAAAACTTGAAACCAGCCATTCAAAGTCTGTGACATTTCTTCATCGTAGATTTTAACTTGTGGCTGATTTGTGGTTGTGTCTAAATAATGCAGACACAAAAATACATTGCACAATTTATTGCCTGGCTATTTTATTATACCTCATCAGGTACATTACCACAGTTACATCAACATGTAACCAAGCAAAATAACAAACTCTTTCAACTGAATTACATCAAGCACACTGTTTTCTCTAGTTAGACTGGACACCTCACGACCAGAAAGTTAAGGAAGCCACATGGTTATCACAGAAAATTGACATTTACAATATGCTCTTTTTGTCTGCACAAGGCAGGATTATTTACTGTTCCAGTTTCCAGTAATGCCTATTCAGTGTGTGGTAATACATGCTGATGCAACTTTGCAGTAATGCAACTGACAAAATGCAGCGAAATATGCCAGGAAATATACTGTGCAATGCATTATCGCATTATCTGTGTCCGCATTATTTAAATTCACTATGGGAAAACACTTCTGAATTTATGTTGATGTTTTATTTCTATTATTATTATCCACAAAAAGGTTTCAAATTTTACTGAAATATGACAGAAGTTATAACCTCTTAGCACTGTCTGAGAGCAGGACCACCTTATAAGTATGTATATCTATGATCAGGATTTGATCTCCATAATTGTCTTTTGTTATTCTTGTTGAACTGATATTTTTATGTTGAGCTTTTGAAGATTTATTATTTTTGATTTATTATTATTATATATTATTTTTCTACTCTTGGTTGCATGAAATTACAGGCAATAATGAGTTTTTCAGTTCCAGCTTAACAGGAGTAACAATGTGCAAAAGACCTGCTACATGAGGCATCTAAATTATTCCTTACCAAGGAACAAGGCAACAAGCCATGCATTTTCTAGGTTTCTACTTTAACTTAACTTATGTTGGTCTCAGGACTTTTATTCTAGGAAAAAAGATATCAATAATATCAGTTCTCATCACAAAGTGTCTAATTATGTAAAAAAAAAAAACGAATGCTGTTACTTACCAGAGTCTATTATAGTAGCAGTGAGTGAAAAATTTATGCTTAAATTTAAATAAAGGTGCCAGTACTGTGTATATGATTATTTTTAGCATTATTATTTTAACTTCTCCAGGTCCCAACGGCAGGTTACAACTTCTCAGGAACTTGTTCCTGGCAGGGATTTAATTTATGTTTTCATCTGTTTATTTTTTAAAAACCACAGGCAGAAGGAAGTGAAACATGTATTTAAGTTTAACTCAGCTTATAAATTTACAAACTTGATAATATGATTTATGTATTTCAGTAAAGATTTCACACTTTTGTGTCCTTAATTTAATGTTGATTTACTCTCACTCTGTAGTAATGCACCGGGTGAAATATGCCAGGTAATAAATTAAGCAATCATTGCAATGTATTGTTTTTGTCCCCATTATTTAAATTTACAATAGGAAAACACTGTTTTGGATAAACTGACTGTTATGTAAATGCACTTTCATCGTAATTTCTAAAATTAATCATCAGTATTACAGTATTCATAAGTTTGTTCTAACTTAGTAGTATTTAAGTATTCATCTTCGCACATATATATTTCTTGCAATTCACCTCTTTGGGTTAAATGTAAGAAGTTTCGGCACTCTTCCAAATTATTCTCTGCTAAAAACATCCCTCTGAGAAGAGTATGTGCACACTAACTTAATATAATATTTAATAACGATGTAAAGGACAGCATCAGTGGATAAAACTTAAAGTTAACAGTTATGTTGTGAGTGCAATTTGTAAGATAGTTTCATCAGTTTCAGATATACCCGGTTTGATAATGATTCCAGCTGGGGGCGATTTGGTAGAAAAACGCCTTGTACTGATTTCAACAATTACAATCACATTTTCTTTTTCTTCACTTTCACCAGCTGTAAACTCTGAAAGCTCACAGTGACTGTTCATCTACCTCTAGACTCAAGTCTTGTTCCAGAACCTAAGTGCTGTGTGCACATCCGTTTACCGTTTGTTACTTGTAACAAATCTGGCTTATTTGTGTGCAGGAGGTAGTGAAGTGGGTCTAATTATATTAATTTATAATTAATTTAATTTATAATTAGTCTATAATCTATTCAGATTTATTCTTGTTTTCCCCCACAATGAGACAATGACAATGGGGCCATGGAACCCATACAGGGTAAACAATAGTATTAAGTATTAAGCGCTGTCTGTCCACCACTTGACTAAAATTAAATGTTTATTTTTTCAATGCGATGTAAAAACTTTGAAACTATCGATAATTGGTGTTCGTTGTATTTATGAATAAATTGAAATCGTTTCGTTCTGTAAGTTAAAATCAGCGCACAAGGACATCTATTTAATCAACACTATAACTGATAGCTCCATATTACACAAGCTAAATGCTCTGCTGTACTTTACTTACTTCGCCGTCATCCCAAATTGATCTATCCTCTAAAGAAGACATGTTTTCAAATGATTTAGCAGAATTGGTTAGAATCGATGATATTCCGTTAATTTCCGTTTTCTTGCGCTATAAGCAACAAAACTGTTCTCCCGAAAATAACCGTCAAAAAACGTGTGTATATTCTGTAATAAATAGCTGTTATTAGGATTATTAGGAGCATCTTGATTTCAAAGGAGGATATTTTGATATGTAAAAACAACACCTTACGCAAATAAAATTATATCATTTTTTTGAGTAACTGCATACTGTAAATACTGTAATCACATCTACCGATTGGTCTATAAAATATAAGTCTAGCCTATATGCCCAATACCCCCTAAGGCGTGGAAAAGGGTCCTTTACTTATATGCTGTTGAGTTTAGTTGAGTCGAGAATTGACATTACAGCACTCAGGACATTCCATGCATGCTCCGTCCTCATCTTCAGCAGCCAGCGCAGAGTTCCAATACTGATGGTACCGGTCACAACCTGGTTAAAAGTCCGTCTTGCCTTTCCTATGAGGGCAGTGAGCCGGTTATATGCTGTAGAATGTTGAAGGTTGAATTAAGAATCAGCATCACAGCACTCGGGACAGTCCCATAAGCGTTCCGTCTCCATCTTCAGCAGCAAGCAAAGAGTTCCATTTCCGATGGTACCAGTAACTGTTTGACTCTATATCGGTATCGCCCTTCCCTTGAGTGGTGAGCGTCGGCCAAAATAGACCAGGATATCCACCAAGCGATAAACACCCGGTGACACCAAGTGCCACCATGCGATGCGGATGAGGATCACCAAGGTCTAGAAACCCCGTTCATCCGTTATGTTATATTAGGGCCCCCGACTACAGTTGAGTGGGACTTCTTAAGTAACGAAAAGTTGCGACCCATTTCAAAACACATTTTTTTTTTATAATTTTCGGGGAGAAGGGGGGGGGGGGAGAAGTCGGCCAGATTTTCAGGTGATACTATAATACATAGCTATTATCAGGAACATCTCAATTTTGAAGACGATGTTCTGATAAGTAAAAACAACGATATGCAAATAAAAACAGATAATTTAGCAAATATAGCATCTTCACTTGAAATACAAATAAGTTATAAAAAGACAGAGACATTGTATACCCGTCTCGTTAGTGTTGAGAGCCGACCAGATCCCCCTGTAACTCCTCGCAGCGCCAATCTCTCCAGACCGTAATGATCTATCTGTGCCTCAGCATTTTTCAATCGCTCCCAAAGAGCCCTAACAACATCCAGCTTGTCATACATCAATTCAACACCAAGCGGCGCAGAATCGGCCATTCTCTCTGCCCGTTCATTTCCCGACACACAGACATAACCTGCAGAAAATATCCAAAGGATGCTATCTACACGGGACCTCTGAAGTGATGCTTGCCACTCTGCACGGAGCATGTCTGTCTACACATTTCTCAGCAGGCTCTGAGAGTCAGTTACAACCACTGCATGTATGTACAGCTGATTCTCAAGCCGGCGGAAGGCAGCAGTGACTGCCTCCACCTCCATTCTCAGACTAGACATTGTGATATCATATGCCAGGCTTTGCTGCATCAGACAACGTCCATTCGCTTTTGCTATGAACCCCCATGCACTTCGTCTGCCCCTTAACACAGTCATCTGTATAGATAATCACATCATCTGGGCGGGAATAGTCATGAGTTATTTGTTGAACTTCTGATTCTGCAGCATCAGCTGGCCAGTCCCTGCACTCACGACTCAAAGTGACCTTGAACCACTCATATCTCGCTTAAATTTATCGATCTTGCACACATGTCCATTTGTGTCTTCAGCTTGCGCCATCCAGTCTATATCCTCTTCATGTCACTTTAACATATAAGACATTCACAAGTGATCTCCATTGCTGCCGGTCTGCTGCTTTTCTGTCCATGGTATCCCATGTCAGTTTAAATTCCTTTATCCCCTGTTCTAATGTGCTTCTCCAGGTTTCCTTAGGTCGTCCACATCTCTTTTTCCCATCTGCAGTCATCCGGAGAGCTATTTTTGCCAGAGTGTCACGAGGCATTCTGCAAACATGTCCAGGCCATCTTCATCGTATTACTTTTATAACATTTGCCAGCGATGCACACTCTGTTTTCCTCCTCAGTTCTTTATTTGTGATCTTGTTTGGCCAAAATATTCGTAGAATTCTCCTAAAATATTTTTTTTGAAAAGTCTCAAGTTTATGTGTAATTCCCGCTGTCATTTTCTAACATTCACTGTTTTCCTAAAATGTATTCTGAGTTTTGTCTGTAAACTAAATCCCGTTGATTTCCATTTATTGCTGAGCATGGCAAATTCTTTTTTTTTTTTTTTTTTTTTACTTTACATCCTTTTCAGAATCTCCATCTGGAGTAACTTTACTTCTGAGGTATATAAATTCTCCAACTTCCTCTATTGCTTCATCACTTAGGATAATTGGATTTTCTGTTTTGTAATTATTTCTCATTACTTTAGTTTTACTTGTGTTTATTTTGAGTCATATCTTGAAGGCTGTTGTTGAAAGTCTATCTTCTCCTGAGCGTCCGCATAACGGATTGATATAAAGCAGATGTCATTTGCATAGTCCAAATTTTCTAAAACAGAGGTGAGTGACCACCTGATGCCTCTTTTTGTATCTCGTGTAACTTCTTTCATCAGTCAGTCAATGGCCACATTGAACAAAAAGGGGGATACTATGCATCCCTGTCTGACTCCTGTGTTGACAAAGAAACTTTCTGTTGTATGATTATCACATACTACCTTGCATTAAAACTCCAGTAAATGGCTTTGAACAAACTATTTTCTGTGGTACACCATAGTGACGGAAAATCTTCCATAGTGATTAATCTTTTCAGTCTGTGACCCTTAGCTCTACCCAAGGATTCATGCAGGAAGTGCTTCTTGTCTGCAGTTACTCTAAGATATGACTTTGCTTGCAGAACTTTGAGCAATAGGAATAAGTGCAAGTATATATCGCATACATACTTCCGGGGTATCTCTTGTACATCCCAGAATTACCCGCATGGCTTCATTCTGTATGCGTTAAAGTTTCATCAGCTGACTCTTTGATATGGTAAGCATTCCAGTCCCATAATCTATCACCGACAGGATCACATGCTGGGACACTGTGAACAGCATTTATTGTTCCATGTCCATTTCTGTCATAATCTTGACAGCATTGAGTCCTTTCTGGCATTTCACCGCTGCCTCTACATGATCCCCAAAAGACAGGCTTCTATCGAAAATGATACCCAGGTAACTCGACTTTCTCTTTTGATGTTATTGTCATTAATTGTGAGGCTTGGAACATTCGCTTTTACAATTCTATTGTCCAGAGAGCACCACAAAACAGCCGCCTTTTCTGAATTGATGACAACACCCATTTCTGCAAACTAGTCAGTCACTTTGTCTACAGTTGCCTGTAGCTCTTTGGCTATCAAGCAGATGTAAGACTAGAAGCAAAAAAAAAAAGTAACAGAGACAACACTAAATTGGGAAATAGAAGAGATTGAAGAAGGGAGGACGCTTAAATGACATACTAAAACGAACTTTGAGGAAAGAGACAAAATGTGCTGGACTGGATAAGTTTGGATTCCATGGATTCCATCTATTATATCGAAGGTATTGCGTAGGATAGAACGGAATGGAACGACAGACTGCGAGCCATGAGTTACATATAGTGGCACAACAGAGCATTGGTGATGAAATATTAGATAGGTATTAGCAAGCTGAGGGGCTGATATTAGAGGGAACATACATGCAATAGAAAACATGTAAAATTAAAACCTAACCTGCGCAGCTGGTGGCGAGTGAACTAGTCAAGAGGCTTAAACTCCCAAAGCTCACGACCCCATCTCTAACGTCTCCCTATACGTGGTAATGGCTGAATCAAATGTGTACAGAGATTGGGGAAAATTACAGGAAAGACTCACATTCCATGTACCAACAGATAAATATGTTAACAGGAAAGATGATACGTATCAGCACAGGATGTTTAAAATCAAAAGATGGTGACTTATTAATGGGACATAGTAATAAAATTAGCAGATGGACAGAGTATATAGGGGAATTGTATGATGATAATAGACCAGATGTAAAACTGCAGACCAACAATGATGGTCCACCAATAATGACTGCAGAAGTTGAGAATGCAATACATCATATGAAGAACGGAAAAACACCCGGGCCAGACAACATCTGGAATAAATCGAAGCACTGGGAGATTTTGGAACTGAAATAATAACTAAACTTTTAAATTATATTTATAATAGTGGGTATATTCCAAATGACCTTTTAAAATCCATATTTTTAGCTCTGCCAAAGAAACCAGGCACTTTAAAATAATAAGCCTTATGAGTCACATGACTAAGAATTTACTGAGAATAATTATGAGAAGAATAAGAAACAAAATTAAACCAGAAATCAGCGATGAACAATGTGGATTTATAGAAGGAAATAGTACAAACAATGCCAAATACATCCTAAGGACATTGTCAGAAAGAGCTATAGAAGTAAAGACTGATTTTTACTTATGCTTCATAGACTATACAAAAGCATTTGGCTGTATGAAGCATGAAGAAGTAATCAAACTGTTAGAAAAATTAAACATTGATGGAAAAGATCTACGAATAATAAAGAATACGTATTGGCAGCAAACAGCAGCTATAAGAATAAACAACTGTTTAGGTACATTTCAAAGCATAAAGAGGGGCAGACGACAAGAATGTGTACTATCATCTGATTTGTTTTCTAATATACAGTGAATATATAATGAGATCTTTAATTGATATGACCGGAATTGTAGTTGGTGGGCACAATATAAACAATTTACGTTATGCTGAGGACACAGTCTTGATAGCAACAAGTCAGAGAGAACTTCAGAAAATGATAGACATTGTGGTGTTAGAAAGTGGAAGAATGGGCCTCAGTTCGAATAATGGGAAGACAGAAGTAATGGTGGTATCAAGGAAACGAATTATTCCTAAATGTGTAATAAAAGTCGATGGTGTTATTTTAGGACAAGTACAGAAATTTAAGTATCTGGGCACATGGATAACATCAGATGGAATATGCATAACTGAGATAAGAAACAGAACAGGACAGGCAAAAACGGCATTTTATAAAATGAAGAATATCTTGTGCAATATATCCTTGTCATTGAGAGTTAGAAAAAGAATTCTTGCTTGCTACATACATCCAGTTTTAACATATGGCTGTGAATCCTGGACAATCGGTATGCAGGCGAAACAATTTCTTGAGACCTCAGAGATGCAGTTTTGCAGAAGAATGCTTAGAATACCTTGGACAGCCAAAAAGAGCAACCAAGAGGTTTTGAAAGAGGCGGGAGCCAGAAGACAACTTATCACAGACATCAGAAGGAGACAGTCATCAGTTTTCGGCCATGCTATGAGAAGATGGAAAATAGAAGTTGTGACCACTGGAAAGATCTGTGGAAGGAGGGACAGAGGAAGACAACGAGAGAAGATTCTCGAGTCTTGTTGCATGGCATGGAGGTGTGTCGGCACACGAACTGATACATGCTGCAGGAGATCGCAGATTGTGAAGAGGCATGATCGCCCACGCCAGTCGGCAAGGCACCTGATGATGATGATGAAAGTGGTAAATACTGACAGAAAAGACAATATAGACATTCTGGTACTAAATTTTCTTAATATATATTAAGAGGTCTTAAAATCGTTATAGTTATTGCTATTAAGTATATGTGGTGCCCATTGTGGGTACCAGGGCCTCATTGTGAAAAACAAAGAACAAACAGCCTCGAACATGCATGTCGTAAGAGTAAAATCATTAGGGGCGTTTCCTTGAAAATCTGTTTGCGAGGCGAAGAACTGTCTTCATAAAATAAGCCAGAGCAGTTAAACGGAAATTTACTAAAAACTCAGATTCTGGAACCGGGCCAGAGTCCAGAGGTAAACGAACGACCAGAACTTTTTGCCAGAGTTTGGCGCTAGGTAAACTTAAGTCGTAAAACAGGTGATCCTTATAGGTCACCATCGGACCGGAAATATCCCTAGTTGTGTATTCAATGTGCGAAGTGTTTGACCGAAACAACATCGAAGTCATTGGTAACACTCACTAATGATAATAGTAACTGTTGATCATAATAGAAGTTGTATTGTAATTTATACGTATTAGTCAACACTGGGATTTTAACAAACCTTTTGAAAGGCGTTGTAAGTGTTATTTGTCTTATAGTTTATAGTATTTACGCAGGCGACATTTATTTTTACTTGACATTCATCATCAGCTCAGTGCTGCTCAGCAGTCGCCCGGCGTCGGAGATAAAGTGAAATAATATTACAGTGTTAAATTACACTGAAGATTCTTGATAGTCTTGTTGCATGGCATGGAGGTGTGTCGGCACACGAACTGATACACTAAATTACATTATTTTGGGTATCACTGAAATCACTCAAAAGAAAAAGAACATCCATGTCTGAGTTATAGAGCTATCAGATTGTTGCTCGTTATTTCAGCTTCATATGTCTGTAAAAAGATTTTCTCCGCAACTTAAGTTAATAATAATAAAAACAAATACTGATAAAACAGCTGAATGTTGCCGCAGCGCTTCATCTATCAGAATTTAAGCTCCAGCCAGGTATATCAGATTTTCAGCTCTCCTTTGAACTTCTACCAAACAAATACCCTAACAGGGCCTCAGTCATGTGTAAAATGCGGACTTCCTGTGACAAACACATCGCGACAAAACTAGGATTACTTGACAATGTCACGACACGCAACACTGCAGACGATACTAGCGACCATTGACAATTTCGAGACATGCAACATTACAGACGATAATGGAGAGATGGCGGTGAGCCACGCGCTTTGACGCAGATTAGTGATAGTGTTCTTCCGATTAAACTCACCGCTGAGCGTATCCCCTGCGCCGCTACGCGCGGCATGGATGGGGACTAGATGCCTGGGACTCACGAGCAAATAAATTGGATGAAGTTGCAGGAGATGAGATAGATGCTGCTCGTGACTCCCAGCCATCTAGTTTAGCTCCCCATCAGTGACGCGGGGGATTCTGTCGGCGGTGCAGCATAGTCGCAGAAACAGGTCCGCAATTAACATATCGCTGAGACCCTGTTAGAGCATTTGTTTCGTTATTCGGAGCTCATCCTAGTTTTGCAGCCATTTGTTCCTCGGCAGGAACTCCGCATTTTGCATAGGGCTGAGGCCCTGTTAGGGTATTTGTTTGGCCGCCAAAATATGGGGTAGACGTTCAAAAGAGAGCCAGATTTTCTAACCTCTTGGGCTGTGCTTTTTTCTCCAAAAATGGGTTTCTAGAATCTACGCGGGAGAATATTGAAACAACTTGGCATGAACATTGGGTAACTCCTCTGTAGTTTGAAGTAAGTATTAATTATCAGTTAAGCAAGAAGTTATTTGGAACTGTTGTTAAATAGAGCTTTTTTTTTTTAAATTGCCAACCACTTTGTTACTGATGACCTTCTGTTTCTGTTTTCTCTTCAGATATCTGCAGTTTAAGATGCCACGAGTAGGGCCAAAAGTATTTCAGATCATCAAGTTTGCATATCACGGATGTACAAATAGACAGTTCTTTCATATTGTCTTGTTAGATAATAAGTCACCACTGAACGCTACACCATATGAGCAGCTCGGGACCTTTGACCCCTTGCCAAATATATACAATGAAAAACTTGTATCTCTTGATGTTGAACGCATCAAATATCATATTGCACAAGGTGTTGCTCTAAGTAGGCCGGTGGAAAAACTGCTAGGTATGAACAACATTTTTATTAAGATGTATTTTATTGTTGTGTAGTCTTGTTTCATCATTCTCATGTGGGCTCTGGATTATTGTTTGAAGGTAGGTTGTGGTTGGGGGGGGGGGGAACGGGGTGTTTAAAACCTAGTGCTGCCTCACAAACATTTTGTAAATAGTGACTAATTAGGGGTCTGGTGAAATGAAATTGATCGTGGTGGGCTGAAAGACCCTCTCTAGCTTGGAGCCCCATTGTTTGGTGGGGGTTGACCCACTGCCACCTCCCCCTCCCTTCCAACAAGCATGTCGTAAGAGTCGACTCAGCTGCATTTTGTCACAGTGTAGAGTTGCCATACATCCTCATTTCTGCGGACACATCCTCATTTCAGGGGAAAATCTCACCATCCGCAAAAGATTTTGGACATTTGTAGATTTGTACGCAGTGTTACTCTCCAGGTAAAAATTAACACTTACTATATTGAAAACTGTAGGAGCAGTGAAATGTACTCAGAAATCGGAAAGATAGCACAGTTCTGCTTTGATATTCCAGCACAGCATGCTTTGGTAGAAAGACACTTCTCCTGAATCCATGTTTAGTGGCCCAGTGAGGGAAAAACGCCTTAGTGCTGATTCAGTCAAGTCAATTTCACTTGTAAAATTATATTTCAGACATCTCCCTTGCAGGCAGCTTCTGGACATTTGATGCAATAGATAGGCGTTTAAAAAAAAGCTCAGTTCATTAAAAAAAAATATTCATGAAATACAATTTAAATGGAATTTAATGTTGAGAGGTGTCCACATTTCAGAAGATCAAAATGTGAAAGCCTATCACTGTAACTTAGAAAAAATTTAACAGAAAGCTTGTTACTTTGAAGAAGAGACAGGGTCGACCAACATTAAGGTGGGCCATTAAAGATATTCTGAGCATTTTAGGGGGGCTGCATGGTCTTCAGGCATGGTGTCCGCTTCAAGTGCTAGAGGTTCCAGGTTCAGTCCCTTGTAAGAGCTGGGATTTTCTCGTGTGAACTTGGACATCCAGTATTTCCCCCCGGTGTCTGGGTAGTGAGATCGGACGCACGTGTGCATTGTTGCGCAGATAACAAATATCCCTTGGCATTTGGAAATTGAAAAGAGTAGCCTTACGGAGCTGCTTGAAACAAATTTGGAGTTAAAAATCTACCCAAAGTATTTCAGGATCCTTGCCGGTGCTACAGAGCCTGTGCACTGTGCTGAGCATCTTTGGACTTAGACTTGAGTTAGAAGAAGAACAGAGCACTTATGGGTTACCACCTGTGTGCCATGATGTTGATCCGTTGTTCAAACCTGAACATTTTACTTTTACATGTGTAGGCGATCAGCAGGCAGTGATGAGAGCAGGCGGAAACAATCTTTTTAATGTTTGTTTTGTGTAGCAGTTGGTTTCTTTTTCTAGGTGCTGGTGAAAATTTGTCAGTGCAAAATCCTCTATAGTTTTTGTAGTTATGTGTAAAGCTATTTTCTTTTTCTGCAATAGGAAAGTTTGGATTGTGGTTGGAATCCCCTGGAAGTTGACATATTATCCTCACTGTACATCAGTCCATTTAGTCCAGAACTATTAGGACCTCTTCTCAGTATAGCCTTCAGGGTGTAGTGGCTGGTATCAGTTCTGTATTTGTTTAGTATTCTTCTTTGACTTCCTGCATAGTGCTGTTATCTGGCCTCTTCATCTCTGTTCAAATGCGTGATCTTGCAGTCTGGTCATAGTTGCAGATTCAGAGTCATCAATTAGTTTATGCACATTTCCCACTTCTCATTGAGCATTTTTGTGGAAGACTGTTTTAAACTCTTATTTCTATGTCCTGTGAATCAGTCTCCTCATCTTCAACAGTCAGGAGATCTCTACATATTTTTTTTTTTAGTTTCCTTGCCATTACATATTATGCTGTAATACTACATCACATGGCCAACCTTCTGGCATTGTGTCCATTTCTACCCGTTTACATGCTTCAGCTATGACTGTTAGTTTACCGGGATCTGCAGTTTTGTTTGATACTGTACTTTCAAGCTGTCTGACAATCTCCGATTACTTGAGGATAGCCACATATTCAGTAGTTTACACAAGTCCTTCTAAACTGCAAATTTGTATTATGTTTCAAGCATAGGTGCATTTCCTGCAGTTCAATGCGCCTCATGAATGACATCATTTCTAAATGTTGGTGCCTATCCTATGGTGGTGATTTTTCCTCTCAAATATGATTATTTTAAATCCTGATAGTACTAGGCAGATATAATTTAGCTCATTCCCTTCTAGAAAACTTTGACTAAGCAATATTTGGGCCAGAAATTATTACCAGTAAATGAAGAGCACTTTGATAGTGAGGCAGTTATAAAAGCAATTGGAGCAGTATGGTTTAGTGTTAACAACTGGTTCTTCTTCTTCTTCTTCTGTTTTTCTGTCCCCCAAAGGAGCATAGGCCCTCAACCAACTCACGCCAAGTCGTTCTATCCTTCGCCATTACATGGAGCTCTCCCCATGTCCTCCCCATCTTTCTAACTTCATTCTCCAGCTCTCTTCTCCATGTGTTTTTTGGCCTTCCTTTATTCCTATGTCCCTGTGGGTTCCAGTGCAAAGACATTCTGGTTATGCTGTTCTCCTGTTTTCTCAGTGTGTGTCCTATCCAACGCCAGCGTCTTTTCCTCACTTGGCTACCTCATCCTGTAAAAACAATAGCCACAAAAACCAACCAACTATGGATAACCATGGATAACAACTGAGTAGAGTATGTTAAATTAAGAAAACTAAATAATGTTATTAGAACCCTACATATTGTATGTGCAGTATATGAGCCATCTATTGTAGATTAGTTTCTTTTCTTCTCTTCATCAGGGCTTGCTGGATTGTTGCCTGTACATCCAATGAGTTATATCACAGCCAAACGCAACAGGAAGAAGTTACAAGCAGAGGCTGCAGCCCAAAGTGAAGACAAGAACTCAGATCATGATGAGCAGTCTTGATACATTGATTTAGTTGTTTTGTAAGAAAAGTGTTAGAAGGGTGCTTCGGTGTCAGTCTGGGGTGTTAGAATATGAGAATTGTGAATGAAATATTAAAAGCATTGAAAAAACAAATTGTTATGTTTTGTAGTCAGCTTATTGACTGTATTTTGTTGAATTTGTGAACCTTCACATACAATTTCACCGGGTACTGTATGAAATATTTTTCACACTTAAAAAACAATTAGACCTGACTTTCATAGTATAGGTAATCAGATAATTGCAATTCCAACTTCACTGCAAACAGGTCACCACATAGTTGCTCCATTTTCTGTACCGAGACAGCGATGGATGGTTTTCGCTGGTACAGAAAATGGAGCAACTATGTGGTGACCATATAAGCATACTCCACTGCAGGTAAATTAGACCTACACAAACTGGACAAAAATATGGAACACTGGTCTTAGAATCATCCCTGGAGGTATGAGAAGCACAACAACAATCCATGAGCTGGAGGCAATTTCTGGCCTTCAGAGCTTGAGCCTTCAAAGGGAAGAAAATATGCTTACCCTAACAGAAAAATTTTAACGTATGAACAACAACCTCATACACAAAATAGCAAACTACCAAAAACCGACTGAAATTACAGGCTTCCATCCATCGCTGTGTCTTGTGAAATAACTGACATGGTCTGAAATCTCACCAAAGCAAGTAGCATTCGCATGCATAATAAATACATAAGACAGCTGTCAGATGTGTCAACAAGCCTTTGATAAGGTATGAAAGAAAGGACTCCTGCTAAAACTAGCACACAGTGGGATATTAGGGCATATATTTGCCTGGATTAGAGACTTTTCTTTACTGACGCTGTGCGAGAGTCAGACTGGAAGAACATGGGCAGTTTGGTCAATTTACAAGATGATGTTCCCCAGGGAGGTGTTATATCTCCTACCCTGTTTATTCTTTTCATAAATGACCTTCCAAAACAGTTCACAACTCACATTCATGTGGCGCTACATAAGGATAGCCTGGCCATTTGGACCCAAGCTGAACATAGAAACAAGAATGCAGGAAGCTATAAATACAGTTAAGAAATGGACAGACTTTTGGGGAGTCATAATAAACCAGACCACAACCGTCTCGACTCTCTTCTATCTTTCCACAAAGCCAGAACAAGTTGATCTGTACCTAGAAGGCAACATTCCTTCAAAAGAGGATAACCCCACATATTTAGGAGTAAAATTCGACAAAAGACTAACCTTGTCCCCACATTGAAGACATTCAAAGGAAAGCTATCCTGCGGCTCAGACCTGCGAAGAAACGTACTGGAACAAGCTGTGGTGCAGATTCCAACACTGTATGACAAGTATACACAGGATACGTACGTCCAAAACTGGAGTATGGCATGGGAGCATACTCCACTACAGGTAAATTATACCTACACAAACTGGACAAAACACTGGTCTCAGAATCATCACTGGAGGTATGAGAAGCACAACAACAATCCATGAGCTGGGGGAAACTTGTGGCCTTCAGAGCTTGAGCCTTCAAAATGAAGAAAAGATGCTTACCCTAACATAAATATTTAAACGCGTGATCAACCTAATGCACAAAATGGTAAACAACCAAAAACCAACTGAAAACACAAAGCTTCCACCATCTATCAAAACTACTACAATAAACAGCGACATCCTGTCTAAAGATTCTTCAATGTGAGAAATGATCAGGCATAGAATATAGACCTATAGTCTAACTATACAGTCACAACACCAATACCAGGCATAGACGAAGAGGCTGAAGAATGTGACCTAGTACTGCTCGCCAAGACCCTTACACATGTATACACCGATGGATCACTGGAGGTAGCAGAAAACAAAAACATAGGAACTGGATCGGTCATCTTGCTGTAAGATGGGATCACAGTAGAAACATCATCCGCCTCAGGAAGACTCAACAAACTTCCGAGCAGAGCAGTAAGCAATCATTGATGCAATGAAAGAGCTCGAGGGAATAAAGATTAAAAGCAGCAAAATTGTTTTCCTGTGTGACTGCATGTCAATCCTCAAGCCAACTCTGAGGGATCCACGAGAGAACTGACCCGTCAGCTAAACAGACTCTCAGAAAACAATCAGATCGTTCTCCAGTGGGTCCCTGCACACTAGGAAATGAGTTAGCAGACAGACTCACAAAAAAATGGAACAAAGAAGAAAACACACCCATTTATTGTCATTACCAGAAATGAAAACACTCAACAAGGAATTGTGGAGAGAACAAATCAACAGCAACCCCCCCCCCCCCACAAGACCCCATCGGCAGACTCAACACAAAGCAACATACATAAATTTTCCGTCTGCGAACAGGACACTGCAGGCTCAACTACCACATGCATAAAATAAAGACTACAGTCCTCACGGTGTGCCTGTCAGACAGAACCACAACATTTGAGCACATTCTACATGTCTGCGCACTCTACCTACAACTGGCCTCAAGATCAAAGTGTGCAGAGCAAGCTATGGGGAACCACGAAGGACCTGCTGCTGACATGCGATTTCATAGAGGCAATCCACCTGATGGTCTTATCTGAGCATACGAAACCGAACACAAAGAAAAAGAAAATATTTGTATGCAGACTGTTGGTTCCTAGCCTCTCGTGCAGATCTATGACTTCCAAAGAGCCCACCAGTTGGTTGACCTTTGTGACATGCTTGTGGAGGAGGCAGTGAGTTTCTCTCTCTCTCTCTCTCTCGTTGTACCCCACCAGGACATCACACAAGCGATAAACACCCGCAGCTGAGGATCACCCGTGGAGAGGTCCCCGAAACCCTTTCAGTAGTTAGGCCATATTTATGGCCCGGCTAAATTCAGGGCCTCCGGCAAAAGCCTGTGTGGGGTTTCAAATAACGAAAAATTACATCCCACACAGGAATGAATTTAGCGCAAATCCAGAAAAAGAAATGAGTTTATTCTTGTTTTCTTCGCAATGGGCGTCAAAACACACACAGATATGGAGCATTCATTTTACAAGTAATGTAACAATAAATGAAGTCGAACACTGTTTTGGTGGTGCCACTGTTGTCAAGGATTTATCAATGGATCTTACAATTCATATAATATTGTGATGCAGCTCCTACTGTTGATGATGTGGCTTAGATGACGGGCTTGTTCAGGCTGAGAGAAATTGGCATAAAGCGGAGAGTTCCAAGACTTCAAAGACCTTTGTTTTTCTTTAGCATACGACAACCACTGAACCAGTCCCACATTAGTATTTCACACTCGTTCTACTTGGCGTTCATCGGCTGCCATCTCCGGCGCAGTCTCCTGGACTAGTCTTATTTCGGAACTTGGGTTTTGCACACCTGTTTTGCAAATAAAGCTTTCTACCCAGACTGCTGGTTTGTGACCTCTCAAGCAGATGCACCCCAACTTCAAAGGGAACACACCTAATTAGTTACATTTAACGACACGTTGTTTAGGTGGAAGGGGGGAGGGGCACTGTGCGTATTATTTTGTTTCCAGCCCAAAATGATGCCTTCAAACCCATACAGGAAAGTAAAAGGTAAAGGTAAAGTCGGGAGATGTGAACCAGCGTCATGGCACACGTTTATAAACCCTAAGTGCTCTGCCACCAGTACGGACAGCTGATAACAATTGTCCGCCTGTGTCGCCGTTCGCACGTAACTCTGTAGATACAGCGACATTCCTTCGCCCGGTTTCGAACACCGACCATGAGTGGCAGCTGGATTTGAAAGCGAGCTTCTTATCGACTGCGCTAAAGCGGCCCTCTACCAACACACAGGAAACACTCATACAAAGCTTTATAAAATATGTATACTTCTGGTCTTGTATCCTGGGATGTACAAGAGACACCCCGATTGGGTGCATTTTATACACCCCTGTATTGCCGACTATTGCAGATAGGTTAAAGGTGCTGCATGCTAAATCATACATCAGAGTAGTTGCAGACTTCTTCTTCTTCTTCAGCGATCTCTGGTCATGCGCATAATCCACTGTGGGCCATAAACTGGGATGTCTTTTCAAGGTCTCTTAGGTTTCCCCAAAGCTTAGTTGTCAGTTCTACTGGGTGTTGCCATATGTCGCTCCGCAGCTCCGCCAGGAGAGGACAGTCTTGCAGGACATGTTCTGGAGTCTGTTCAGCACGAAGACACTGGCAGAGAGCTGTTTGGCTCATACCTAATTTATATGAGTGTTTATTGAGTCTGCAGTGTCCAGTGCGTAAGCGAAAAACGGTGACTTGGTCTGTTCTGTTCAAGTGCCTCAGAAAATCTTTTCCGTAGTTATAACTAGCTGCAGACAAAGAAGACCCTCTGTATGAAGCTTCGGCTGCAGGTAAAGGCCAGAGGCTGAAAAGGGGGAAGTCCTGGATGGCTCAATCAGAAGACACAATGTTTGTTTGTTTGTTTTAGTATCCAGAAGCCATGAGTTGTTAACCCTTAGGCTAGGTTTTATGGATATCGCAACCTTTCGGCCTTGATTCCATTGTAAATACCGTAAATATGGGAGAAATGTGGCTTTTCTGCCTACCCCCGGGAGTGAACCCGGACCACAAGGAGTTCATATCCCGGTCACCGCGCAATCCGGTTTAGCCAACTACGAGAGCCGGGCATCAGAAGACACAATAAGACAAGTATGCACACTAGAGAACATTGGGCGAGGAGAGGAGTGGGTCAGAGTACCAGAGAAAAAGTCTGACCTGTGTAGGGTTATGATCACATTAGGCTGGGAGTGCAGAGTGTGGCCAGCGGGTGCTACAGAGGTGGAAGTCCAACAGTTGATTCAAGATAATTCATGTCCAGGTGATCTGATTATCTATACAGATGGTTCGGTGTTGAGAGGAAAGAGACGTGCATGGGGGTTCGCAGCGACAGCTAAAGGAACATTTTTAGTGTAAGACAGCCTAGCATACGATATCACAACATCTAGCAAGAGAATGGAGATGGAGGGGGTAACTGCAGCTCTCTGGTGGCTAGATAACAAGGTGCATACACGTGTCGTAATTGTAA